ATTGTCTGAGCTATGGAATTGATTTTCTTCAAAGTTTTTCAGATACACTAAGACGAGTTGTTTCATTATCTATTCCTCTCTTTGCTTAGGGGGACTCTTATGGCATGTCTTGACTGTTGCTAACGTTTATAATGTTGGCTTAGTGCAGACAGCACGCTTGGCTGTATGCCTTGACTGTTCTTAGAGGGTGATTTGGGGATGGGTTTTTTTTTGTTTTTTTGTTTTGAGCCACTTGGATCTCAGTCATGTTTATCATGACTTTAGTTTAAAAAAAAAAAAAGTTTCCATTTCAGTCATGACTGTGGTGCTGCCTGCACTCTGCTGCCCAGTTTGCTTGCTGTGTGGCCTGGCTGGTCCTGCTTTTCCACACCACTCTCACTAATGCAGGTTCTTAGCATTTGCCTTTTGTCAGTCTTACCTTTTCTGGATATCCATTAATAAAATTCATTTGCGTATTTCCTGAGTCAGATTGCCATGGCCTAATATTGAAGGGCAACTTAATATTTGAGAGTCGATGGACAATTCATTTCCTTGCACTATTCAACATGAAGGTTGGGGCTCACTTCTACCTCTTACCTTATAGTCACTGGTTTTTGCTGTTTTTTTTTTTTTTTTTTTTTCAGTCAAGTGTCTATTTATGAAGTGGACAAACAAGACTGTCGCAAATTTTGCACTACTGGCATCGATGGAGCCATGACAATTTGGGATTTTAAGGTATTTTCTACCTTTTAGAATAAATCTTGGTATCAAAACTCCCCCCATGAGGATAGTGTTTCTCATTTCTCAGAACAAAGTGTCAAGCCCAGTACACATCAGAAACATAGGCCATCAAAGTAGTTGTCTTTATTTTTTTTTTTTAAAGATTTATTTATTTATTATTCATACAAGCACTGGTACAGTCAGAAGCACAGGAGGGTGAGAGAATTCACCAGAGCCAGAGCGGGGAGCAGAGCAGGCAGAAGGACCGAAGTACACTGCTGAGGGGAGCAGCGGGCGGCAGGAGAGGTCTGCACGCCATGTGGGACCCTCCTCCAGTGGCCGGGGAGCAGCCAGGGATCGAACCGGCGCTGCAGAGGCTGCGGGCAGCTTTGCAACCCAGCGCTCAACCTCTGTGCCACCGGGGAGGCTCAAAGTAGCTGTCTTTAAAACCTAAAATCATCACGGCCTCCCTGGTGGCGCAGGGGTTAAGTCTCAGCACTATCAAGCTATCGCCAGGCACTGCAGTGTGAGTTCAATCCCGGCCTGTCTTGCCTGCTGCTCCCCTCAGCAGTGTGTATTTGCCTGTTCTGCGTTCCCCCCCCCCCCCCCGTCCCTAGTGAATCCTTTGATCCCCCATACCTCTGGCCTGGTCCCCAGTTCTTGTACGCATAAATAAATAATAAATAAATCTGAAAAAAAAAAAAGGAAAGAAACCCAAAATCATTAACAGAAGAAATCGCACTTTCTTAATGAATTTGAATAAATACTTCTAGATGCCCATTTACTCCTTTTTTTTTTTAAACAATTAGTAATAATGCTTTTTCTTTTCTTTTTTTTTTTTTTTAAGATTCATTTATTTATTTATTTATACAAGCACTGGGTACAGTCAGAAGCGCGGGAGGGTGAGAGAATTCACCAGAGCCAGAGCAGGGAGCAGAACAGGCAGAAGGACTGAAGTACACTGCTGAGGGGAGCAGCGGGCGGCAGGAGAGGTCTGCACGCCATGTGGGACCCTCCTCTGGTGGCCGGGGAGCAGCTGGGGATCGAACCGGTGCTGCAGAGGCTGCGGGCAGCCTCGCAACCCAGCGCTCAACCACTGCGCCACCGGGGAGGCCCAGATGCCCATTTACTCTTGAAGAAAACTTGACTACTGTTTTTGTAGCAGACTGTGTTGGACACCAGTCTAGGTTTAACTCTTTGGAAAACATTCTTCCTTGATGTGTCTCCCCTTTCTCTCTTCACATGCTTTATGTCCTGTGTCATTGCCCCACCAGCTGCTAGAACTCCCCTCTCATTTGTTGCTCCTTCAGATCAAGTCCCTTTCTCCCTTTCTGTGAGTGTACAGACTTGAAAGTCCCAGTGCCTTTTTCTCTAATCCATACCCTTTTGAGCACCTGTTTTGTGTTCTGTACTAGGCTGACTGCTGTGTGGCCTCAAAAAAAAAAAGAGTGCCTGCCGTCAAGACATGTAGGGGCAAGGGACATGCACACAGATGGCTCTCATCAGTAAGGGCAAGGAACACAGTTTGGAAGAATGTGCCCCAAGAATAGGAGTGTGGGCTGGGAACAAGGGAGCACAGCCCTGTAGGGCCCAGCTGTTCTGGGTAGTCTGCAGGGCAGTGTCCTGGGAGAGCAAGTCTCAGGGAAGGGAGGAGAGCCAGATCTGGGGGCCGTTGGGTCTGCACTTAAGCCCAGGAGGAGGGGGCAAAGTGTAGTGATGGGGAAACCCTAGGATGAACGGTCCTCAGTAATGATGGGTGTTCTTCCTGCCATTTTCAAGACCTTAGAGTCTTCCATCCAGGGCCTTCGGATAATGTGAAGCTAAGTGAGCCTCGGGATCAGCATAACAAACTGACAGATGTCACTGACGGCGGCCCACCATGTGCATGATGGTGAGCAGACCAGCCGCAAGGAAACACTGAAGACATATCTCGCAAATGTTTGTGTGTTTTGTTTGAATATAATTGGTGAAAGTGTTGGTTTGTTAAAAGCAGCAGTGATTTGGATTTTGTTTTGTTTTTTTGTTTGTGCTATTTCATTCCATTTTTGACCAAAGCTTCTCTTTAAGTAGTTAATTATGGAAAATTGTCACACTAACTTAAAGGAAAGGGTGGGAAGATAATGTAAATTGCTAAAAAATTAAATAAAAATACTGAATGTGATTTTGGAATTGTTTCCTTGTGTCGTTTCTGATTTTAGTAGAAAAATATGGGTGGAAGACTAGTTTTTTGGTAATGACTAGTTTTTTGGTAATGTTTAACCAAAGAACTGTTTGCTGAATGTTATCTGTTAATATTGCAATATTTCTGCAAAGTAGGCATGCTGTTCCCATTTGCATGCAAAGCAGCAGAGCAACCCTGCTCCACCGAGTAGGAAGTCCATGAGGGGCCTGTTCAGAGACCCGAAGTCTGGCCCCTACACCCTGTGCCCACAGCAAGGGCAGCCCGCTGACCCCAATGTACCCGCAAATGGTGTGTGTGAGGGAGTGTGCAATAAGAAAAGGAGCATGTTATAATTTTGGTTTAGTAATTATTGTACCCAAACTTAGTTACTTTCATCATAATCAGGCACAAAGTTTGATGCTCTGGGACTGAGAATCTTAAGAGTTGCAAATATAAATGAATACCAAAGTCAGTAAGTACGGAGCAGCCTTGAGTATGGCCGTGTTCTGGTCTCACTGGCGCAGACGTACTCGAGCAGTGATTCAAACACAGCTGTGGTCATGGACACTAGTAACTGCTTCTCCAAGGACACCATATCCTCAATGTCAAGGAAAGCATTACTACCCTCCGGGAGAGAATACTCGCTGCTGGGTTGCAGGCTGGAGTGTCCTCTCGGACCCCAGTGGAGAAGCTCCTTTGTGTATATTTGTTTGATCAGTGCATCAGCAAGGCTGTCATCCCAGGATAGACAAAAGCAGGCCAAAAATAGGAATTAACTAAAAGTTTCTTTCTGGTTTCATTAAATCGTGGTTTGGCCAGTAAGCCCAAAGGTTTTTAGAAAAACGATACTTCATGAGAGAAACAACAAAAACCAAAATTGACTTACTTTGCCTCTAAGAATTTAATAGCCACAGAATTGTGGGTTTGTTTGTTTTTTTTCTTTTTTTATCTTGGCTAGTTCTTACCTATGGAAGAAGGCCCATCCCAGTTATGACAGCTGGAAACTCTGAATGCATTGCTGGATCTGGGAGTTGGTGCCCCACCCCACCTTTGAGACACAGATCAGGTCTGGGTCCACCATAACGCCTGATCGGAAGGGGTTCTGGTTGACTGCTGAATATGCCATGACCACTGGCCAAAACCCTTTAATTTGATGCTTTAGTGTCAGGTTATAGTTCTGCCAAGTTGTATGACCTTGAGCAATGTAGTTAATGTCTCTGAGCCTCATTGTACTCACCTGCACAATGAAGTATTCTTATTTCTGTTTAGGTAACTGAGGAAAGCCACAGTTTGCTTTCAGGTATGGCAGTGGCCCTATTGTAGGTCCTTAACAGACTGAAGTAGGGTGGGAAGTAGTGTGTAAAGGATTTTGCTAACCAAGAATAAAATTAGTTCTTTCCACAACACTATGCTGAGAAAACGGGGAGTGGTTTCAGAATCAGAAATGCTTAGGCGTGATCTTCAGCCTGACCCAACAACCACACAGGTGGTTTAATTCCTGTGAGTCCCCAACTCTGGGGGCAACAATGTGAGGGCCCAGCATCCCCCCAGGTGCCTACAATGTAGATGAGGCAAAAAAGCCTCCCTGTGGGGAGTAGTCAGATCAATATATACACTACAGGGCCTCCCCCGTGGCGCAGCGGCCTGAGCACCACGCTGTGAAGCTGTCCTCAGCCTCTGCAGCACGGGTTCGGTTCCTGGCTGGCCAGGGAGAAACCCACATGGCATGGCACACCTCTCCTGTCTTGCCCGCTGCCCCCCTCAAATAAATAAATCTTAAATATATATATATATAAACTATAAGGATATGTTACTTAAGTTCTGTGTGTGTACTTAAGTACCAGATGTGGTGGGTGGAGTATTAGCTTCCCAAAGACGTCCATGTCCTAATCCCCAAAACCCATGAGGTTTGCAGATGTCATTCAAGATTCTGAGATGGGGATGGGAGCCTCGCTTATCCAGGTGGGCCCAGTGTAATCACAAGCCTCCTCCTTCAGAGGGAGGCAGGGAGGGTAAGAGGGGGGAGACATGACTCTGGAAGTGCAGATTGGAGCATTGCAAGGCCAAGGGACGCTTGGCTGCCTTTCAGAGCTGGACAAGGCAGGGAGAGAGCCTTCAGAAGGAACACCGCCCTGCCAACTCCAAGGAAGCCCGCTGAGACTGCAGACTGCTGCCCTCCAGAACCGTAAGAGAATAAGAGCACTTGTGTTGCTTTAAGCCACTAAGTTTGTGGTAAGCTGCAGTAGCAGCAGGAAACTGATACTCCAGGTCAGTTTAGAAAAAGGAAGAAAGGACAGTCTGAAGCTGAGTTCCCCAAATTGAGGGTCAGAATCCATGGTGGACTGTAAAAATCAACCTAGTAGGTCATGCCTGGCATTTAATAAAATGAACCTAGTCAACCAATTCTGCTTTACAAGTTTTGAGTATTATTTCATGGTACTTATGTTTTAGACAGACATGGTGTGTAGAAGGTGATAAATGTATCACTGTGGTCATGACAAAAGTTCAGAAGCCACTAGCAGAGTCTGGCTTGAGACAGTTCATGAAGAAGGTGTTTTAGCCCTACAAAGAGTGAGCCACACACCACAGAGGGTCACTGACAGACCCTTACTGCTCCTCACAACAACCCTATAGGGCTGGAACTGTTTTAAAAATAACAAAGCCAACAAGCAACTATAAACCAGAGACAAACCACGGGGGGCAGGGGTGGGGGGGAAGGACTAGGGTCAAAATAAGAGGTGATGGGGTGCAATTGTACAGGGAATATAACCAAAATGATAATGCATACATTGTGAAAAAATGATGTAAGAATTATATAAAATAGAATATTAAAAAAAAATAAAAACAACAAAGCTCAAGTCCAGAGAGGGAAGCACAGCTACCCTAGCTTGGGACCATGGCCCTAGAGTAAGCACTGACATGGTCCCTATTGGACAAGGGCAGAATGGAGACGCCATCGTCCAGTCACCCAAGGCAGGAACGGGGTGATGTCAGTGGGATTGATGGGATGGCAACCTCTGGCACCTTTCTTTGTAGACCTGAATGTCTCAGCTGAACTGACACAAAGCTGTGTGGCTTGGAAGGGGATGCCAAGTGAGCATGTCCCAACTCCATGTGGTGGACCTACCTCTGCCCTGCAGGCTTTGGCCACTTCACTTGTATGTGTGGCTGTGGAAGGAGGCATAGGTTTCCCTGGTGTAGGCATGCCTGACAGACATCAGGTGCACTCCCTTGATCTCAGGGAGAGACCGAAGGCCCCAATCTGGGGTGGGCATGTGCTAAAACAGAAGGGAGATCAAGCTGGGTGCTTCTGGAAAAGTTTTCCTGCTTTGCATCCCACCACTTCCTTAGTCCAGATGCCTGGAGCTTGGCTGCCATCTTGTGACCAGGAGGCAGTAAGGCCAAGGTTGTCAGGAGGAAGGAGCCAGAAGAAGCTTGGTAACCTAGAGCCATCTTTCCTCCAAGTCCACCAGCCGGGAAGAGTCAAGACTGCAGTTTTTGGAAACCTGAGAAGGCAGAAAAGAAAGGAGATTGTATCCTCTTCATCCCAGGACATGGGGTGGGGGGCGGTGGAGGTACATGTGGTGGGGAGGCCAATACTAGGAAGAAACAAAGCCCTGCAAGTTCTCAGAACTCCAAGTGAAATTCTCCAACCCCCCTATCCGCCCCCCCAGCTCCCCTCAGCTAAAGAGTTGCTTTGCTTAAGGTTCAGAAAACTTAGTCCCCCAAGTGAGGCATTTCAAATAGCACTCCCCACCCCGGACCCCCATGGTTTCCCAGTATGAGGTATGCCTTCCCATCCACTGGGTCTTCCCACATCACCACAGGCCCAGGAGGCAGCACTGCTGCTCCCCACGGGAGGGGGGTGGCCAGTATAGTCCATTTGAAACTAGTTATGACTAGACTCCGTCACCTGGATTTGCCAAGGCTGGAAGGGGACCCTGATAACAGCCCCTCGGTGTCTCCTTGGACCAGGAAGTTGCAGTGTCACACAGATAGTAGCTAAAGCTATTTGCTCACCATGGTTGGCCACTTTTAATCCTTCCAACCACCTCGTGGGTACAGAACTCAGGGTACTCAGAGCTGGGACTTGCGAGCACATGATCCTGTTGGGAATCCAGGGGACAGGAGCCTGTACCAGAGAGAGGGCTGAAGAAAAGTGTCCTAAGAAACAGTGACATCCTGCAAGATGAACCTGCTGGCCACGGAGGGGCAGGGTGGGGAAAGTGTTTAGCCAGAAGAAACAGCAGGTATTCAAGCCCCCAGACCTGACAGGGTGGGGAGTCTGGAGTGGGACCTCCTGTCACCTAGCTGCTGCTCAGTGCATGGTTGATGGGAGAGGTGAGGGGCGTGAGGAAGTGCGGGTGTCGGGTTTTCTGCCAGGCAGGGGCCACGTTCACACAGACGGGCAGAGGGCAGGAATGGGAAGACCCCTGAGGACCACCTGACTCAAGACCCACAAGAGGAGTGGAGGGGGCTAAGGGAATAGGGGGCCTAAGGGAATAGGGGGGCTAAGGGAATAGGGGGGCTAAGGGAATAGGGGTCTCACGGAGTGCTGGCGCCGGCGCCCGGGTTTTAGGTGAGGCACGGACAGCACAGAGGTGTGGGAGGTGGGACGGGGCTGGCTGCCAGGCCTGGTCTCGCCTGCCCCGCCCCGCCCCGCCCCGGCCCGCCCGGCCCACACCGCCCGCGCTAGGCGGGAACGCCACTGCCCGTGATGTTCCGGGCGGCCGGGCCGGGTGACCCACCGTGGGAGCGCGAGCCCAGGTCCCCACGACCCCCCGCGCCCCCGGACACCCGCGCCGCACCCGGGCTTTCCCGAGCCTCCGTCTCCCCATCCATGAAGTGGAGAGGGGCCGTCGCGAGCCGTTTCTGAGCGTCCGGGCTCCGAGGCCCCGCGCCCCGGGAGCCCCCACGGGCCGCGGGGTGGGCGGGGCCCGGCCGGGCCGTCGGGCTCCGCCCCCGCCCCGGCCCGAGGCTGGAGGCCCCGCCCCCCGCCCACGAGGAAGTGGCGGCCGCTCGCGCGGGGGCCCAGAGCCGGTTCGGCGCGTCGACTGCCCAGAGTCCGCGACCGGGGCGCCCCGAGGTGAGGGGGCAGGAGGGGCCGGGAGGTGGGGAGCCGGAGGGGTCCTCTTAGAGGTGAGGGGGCGTAGGAAAGGGGACGCAGGGATAAGGGGCGCGGGGAGGGGGCGCCTGAAGGTGAGGTGACATTGGGGGGCTGCATGCAGGTGGGGAGGACGCGGGGTTCCTGACCGGAGATGGGGCGTCACGGGGAGGTGGTGCCCGGCGGTGAAGGGGCGCCCAGAGTTGAAGGGTGCCGGGTGGTGCGGGGGCAGAGCCGGGGAGCGCGCGTGCGAGTGGGGCAGAGGTCCCGCCGGGAGAAGAGGGGGCCCGGGAGGGGACGCCCTAAGGTGAAGCCCAAAGGGTGATGCGGAGATTGGGGGTGCGGGTGGAGGGCCGGGCTGAGGGTGGGTGCTGCCTCCGGGCGAGGGAAACCGGACTGGACTCCCTATCTCGACCCGCGTGTCTCCTCCCCTAGTCTCTCGCCTCCCCGCTCTGTCCCATGGTCTGTGCCCCCGTTATTTAGGGCCGGTGGCCCCCGTTATTTCGGACCGGGAGGGCTCCACGCCCAGTCACTTCCCCCCCCATCCCCCAGGCTTCCGGGTTGCTGGGGCCGGGAAATGAGCTGGCGCCCCCGCCCCGCCGTGACTGGAGTGGGGGGCCCATCCCCGCTGGGGCCGGATCCCAAAGGGCTGGTACCGGGAGGTTGTGGGCGGGGGACCCGCTGGCCCTTCGGAGCTCGGAGCCGGACTCCAGCAGATCCTCGTAGTCCCTGCCCTGCCAGCAGCGAGGGGAGTGCAGCCCGGAGGGTGGAGCAGGGCCGTGAAACAGTAGTAATTAGCATAAAACTTTGGGAGCCTGCCTAGCGCCATCCCGATGCTGAGCTGGAGGCCCTCCTGGGTCATTCCAGGCTGCCCAGGGCCCTTGTGCTTGGCCAGCAGTGCAGCCCCTTAGTTAAAAGCACCCATCACCTTTGAGTTCTCAGGGATGTAGGCAAGAGCGCCAGCCTCTTGTTTCCGAAATGCCTAAGCTTAGCAAGCCACCTAACCCCAGGTCTCAACTTTGCTTATCTGGAAAATGGGAGCCTGTCAGGCCGAAGCTAACTGGTGATAAAGTGTAATACACCTGGGGGTGTGCCAGGCACACAGCACGTATGTGTGCTGGTCTTACTGTTTTGGCCATTGTATGGCCTGCCCACAGTTATCATCGTGTCTGCCCAGCCTGACTCTGGGATTTGGGTACAGAACCCCAAGCTGTGTAGTTTAGAAACTGATTTTGGAGCAAATCACAGCTTAATGTATGAGCCTGTTCCCTCCTGTACAAAATGAAGGTTAATAAAGAAACCCCCAAAGTAAAAAAACTTCTTAGGGTTGCTTTAGGGCATAAAGAGTGTACAGCCGGAGGCCTGGGTGGATCCTGAGCATTTAAAGATGTCAGTATGATAGCGCACCCCAAACATAGATTGAAAAATGAAAAAAATAAAGATGCCACTTAGAGTTGATTATGTATATCTTTATACATGATCTAATGGTTAAGTAGGTCTTTTCTAATAGTTAAGTAGCACTCCGGTGTGTGAGTATCACTAGGTACAGTTCCGTATTTGTAGTCATCTGGATTTTCCCACTCTGTCATCATCACAAAGAGGGTTATTATGAGCATGTGTGCTTTAAAAAAGAAAAAGTCAATGGCTGTTTTCTTACCACCAAAATGCATTTACACAACCAGTGTTAACAATTTTCAAGTCCTTGTTCATTCTGTCCAGTTTGTTCCTACCCCGTTGTTGAATTGACTGTTAAAGCATTGCTCCTCAGAAAGTCTGGACAAATGAGTGACAAATGAGGATTTCTCTGCAGCCCTGCCAGCATTGAGTTTTCTGTGTTTGGGGGGCTTTGCTTGCTTTGGGTCACTTTAACTGCAGTTTTATGGTGCTTGTGATTGTTTTGGTTTGTGCCTTGACTATGTGTGGTCAGTCAAGAGCAGTGTGGGGGAGGAGGTGGCAAGAACTGCTCAGCTCACAACAGGAAGTTGAGTAACTGCTTAGGACCCGTGCAAAATGGCTTGCTGGCAGCTCCCTCAAGCCTCTGAGCTGGGTGGGGACTTCCCTGAGTGCCTGCAGAACCAAGATTCTTGCTCCAGGCAAGAATCTTGCTTGGTTTAGTCTTAAACACAGCCAAACCTCAGAGCACAGCTTCTCTGAAAGCAAAAAGGAACTCCTGTGCCTGTCTCAGCTCAGCCTTTTCTAGTTAAGAGTTGCGAGGGAAGCACTGGCTGAGGGTACCCAGCCTGGAGGGAAAGGATCACAATTTGAACCCAGCACTGTAAGGAAGGAGCACTGAGACCTGAGACCCCAGCAGCCCAAGGCTGGGGTGATGGGGGGCAAAGACGGCTGGACATGGATTCCTCCTTTCAATGCCTGCTGTTCCCAGAACCCCCCTCCTTTTCCTCTATAGTCAAATAGTCCCTGGTGCTTGCGCACAGGACCATGGTTGTTATAGAGCAGCCCCGATATTGAACGGGTTCCTGGCTGTGGGTCCTCACCCGGCTTCCCCCTAACATGGTGACCAGGGGTTGGGGGTGGGGGGTGGATACCAGAGGCCCCAACCTCCCTCGGCAGGAGCCTAAGGCAAAGCAGCTGCGCTTAGCAGGGTGGCTGGGGCACTTCCCACCCCCACTTGGTAGGGTAGAGGTTTCCCTGGGAATGATTAAGAGTTCTCCTAGCTGGGAAGGTTGCTTCCCTGGTCTGACCACACAGAATAATCCAGAGATTCCTGAGTTAGGAGGCTGGAGCCCCAGGCCACAGGGTCTAGAGAAACCAAACCCTCTGGCCTCCCACTTCCTTGTGTGGGGGTTGGGGGGACATCCCTCAGGCCTGACTGGTTTTAGCTTATTTGCAGAAGTTGTAAAAAAGGAGAAATGTATATTCCTCTCTCCCACTCTCTACACCCTCCCTCTCCCTTTTAAGGTTTAGGTTCAGTGAACTATCAATAGCACTATCTGTCTAAATCATGCTGAAGTATGGTTGGCTGATAGATGTGGTCTGATCATCCTCCCCTGGCGGTCACACTATGCCTGACCATCTTTACGAGCCATTTCCTCCCCATTCCTTGAGAACTTATAGGTCCCAGGAAACAATGGTCAGGTCCCCCCAGCTGCGTTACTTGCTAGTATGGGTTTGCCATTCTTGACTTAGTCGGCTTCTCCATCTCTAGAGCCAGACAGGGTTTTCATGCCTGGGCCCCATATTTGGACACTTACCAAGACCCCAAAGGTACAAATGTGTCTGACCACATGATGCATCTTTAACACTGGAGCTAGGAAGTTGGGTTCTGCTGACCAGTTCTGGGCTCAGGGAACCCCAGGAGCTGCAGCTTCTTCCTTCTGGGCCACCTGAGCTACTGGGGGGAGAAGGGGCTGGCCTCAACTGCAGTCCAGCAATCAACAATAGGAATTTGGCTACTGGCCTGAGGCCTGCTCCTGCCCCTGCTGTGACCTTGGGAAATGTGGGAGAGCAGATGAGTGTCAGACACTCATCAGGCCTGACATTCCTCCCGAGTCTTGTCCTCTGCAATGTGGACAGTGATGACCTTCTGCCCAGCCAAACCGGACACCAGTGCAAGATGCACTGGGGAACTCCCCTGCAGGCCTGCTGACCTAGTTATGGGCTCTGAGGTGCCACTTCCGGGGCCTTTGCTGTACACAAAGAGGCCTTATAAGGCGAGAGGCTGGAGAGGCAGCCATGGTGGGAGAATGTGAGGCTGAACATGCATGAGTGTGTGGAAGCAGTGTGCAAGCATGTGTGAGGCTAGACATGTACAAACAAGTTTGTGAGGGTGTGTGCAAGACTGAATGCCTGAGTGTGGGAATAGTGTGCTGGGCTGAACAAGCATGGGCGTGTGATTGTGTGTACAGGGATGAATACACAGCAGTGTGTCACCTGAGCGTGGCCATCCAAGTGTGTGCACCTCAGCTAATGTTGGCTGAGGACCCCCTCAGGTGCATGACTCTAGAAATATAGGAGCAGGTGCGGTCTCTGTACAGGTGTGTGTGCTCCTGTTTCACCCTAGAAACTTTCCAGGACTTCCTGCTGTGAATGAAAGCAGGTGGTTTGTACCTGGGGTGAGTGGGAGGTGGGAAGGACAGGCAGGGCCCATAGGTGGTGAGCTGGAGCAAAAGCCAGGCCTGGTGGGATTTGTGGTACTCCCTTGAACATGTCTATCCCTAGACCCTGGGTTCATTAGCTGTATGATGGGGCTACACTACAGCTTGGCCCCCTCCCTTATGCCTGGGCCTGAGCTCAGTGCTGTTCCCAAAGCGGCCCTACTGGATCCCAGCTAAGGGAGGAGAGGTGCGCCAGAAGTCCAGCAGGGCCCTGCAGGCAGCCATGTGGGTGAGCTCAGCTTGAATAGGCAGTGACAGGTCACTCCCCCGGCTTCCCAGGGTCAGGCCCTATGCTGAGGAGCGGCCTTCCCATAGCGAGTCTGGGGGAAAGGCAGCCAAGTTCCTGGTGACTCTCATGAGGTGCTGTGTGTCTCTGACTTCCCCTCATTGACCCCCGCTTCCCTATCTGTCATGTGGGCTGTGGCAGCTGAGCATTAAAAGCAAGAATACAGTGTACTCAGAACCGACAAGTAAGGAGCATTCTGGGAATGTTGGGTGGGTGTTTGTTTTTAATTTTTAAGTAGAGAACTTACTCTGCTGGGCACTAATGGCAGTAAGAAACTGTGCTCATCAAATATTTATTGAACATCTATTATATGCTGAGTATTTAGGCACCAGTCACAAGGGCCTGTCCAGCACGCTTGTTATATTCCAGCAGGGGAGGAGGGCAGCAGCAAAGCAACGAGAGCCATGGGAGACTCTCAGCGATGACCATCTGTGGAGAAAATGGCTGGGGAGTGGGGAGTTCCGGGGAGGGGAGAGGAGACTACTGTTTTACACCACGTCAGGGAGGGTCTCCTCAGGAAGGTGGCATCTGCACAGACTTGTCAGTGGGCACCATGTGGGGGGAACCTCGACACTCCAGGGAACAGCCCCTGTGAAGGCCTGAGGCAGGAGCACGGGTACAGAGTCAGCACCTGCGCTAGCTAAGGGGCAACTCCTAAACAGGAATCAAGGCACCTTGGGTGCTGTCACATCCATTATGGACTAAAACCTGCCTTTTCAGCACCACCTACCATGAGCCAGACTTGCATATTAATCGGCCTAGGAGTGGGCCAGGATTCCTGTTTCCATTTTGCAGGTGTGAAAATTAAGATTCAGAGAGGGCAAGTGATGTACCCTGGGGCACACAGTTGGCATGCAGTGCCACTGGGCTCACCCCCAGGCCCCTGGGACTCTGGGAGGCAGACAGGGGCTGAGGAGTTGTGTTTGCATTGGTTCTTTTTTTTTGTTTGTTTTTTAAAGATTTATTTATTTTTATACAAGAGCCGGGGTACAGACCAGATGCACAGGAGGGTGAGAGGATTCACCAGAGACAGAGCGGGGAACAGAACAGGCAGACTGACAAAACACACTGCTGAGGGGAGCAGTGGGCGAGACAGGAGAGGTCTGCTGCGCCATGTGGAATTCTTGCCGGCCGGCCGGGATCGAACCTGCGCTAGAGGCTGCGGGCAGCTTCACAGTGCAGCGCTCAACCACCTGTGCCACCAGGGAGGCCTCTGCATTGGTTCTTTAAGGATGAGAGGACTTAGCACAGAGGCAGGCATTTGGAGGCTTACAGAGACCAGCAAGCAGATGCGAAATATGGACAGAACTGACCAGAGCCACCTTTCCACAGTGGGAACAGCCTGCGCGGAAGCCAGGGGGTCTGGTGCCCTTCAGGCACAGAGACTCAGCATAAAGGACAGGCAGGGCCATGGATGGCCAGGGAGGAAGGGGGTGGCTGAGAGGGGAGTTGCTGGGAGCTCCCTGGGGCAGAAATGAGCAGAGCTGGGTGTTAGAGGTGAGGGTGTAGGGAGGTTGCTGTGCCCCTCTGTGGTGTGTACCTCACCCCATCTCAGGCCCAGGGAGCTCCTGAAGTCAATGGCAGGGGAGGAGGCTGGGAGCTGAGGGGCGAGCTCAGGGGTAGGGACTGCCATGGGGGTCGGGGGGAGGCAGAGTAGCTGCTCTCTGCCAGGATTGCCCCTTCAGTGCAGGGCCTAGTCCCAGGGCTGCCCTCCCTCTTCCAGGCACCAGCTGCCCTCCACACCCCTTTCGCCCCCATGGCCAGGCTACTAAGATGCCACCACCCAGGCCAGGCCTCATCCTGCATCTGCTTCAGGCCCCAGGACAGCAAGTGGGTTTTCTGGCCAAGAATGAGGTGTGTCTATCTGTCCACCTGGGCCCTGGCCCATAGGCCCAGGCAGACCTGCCCGTGTCCCTCCCTGGCCACCCCAGACGTGGGGCACAGAGGATGGACCTGCTGTGTGCTGGGTACTGCTCTTGGTCTGAGTGTTTAATTTCATCCTCCACCCATGCTTGGGGCAGAGGTGGCTTTACAATGAGAAAACTGAGGCCAAGGTGTATGGGATGGTCTGTCTGACTCGAGGTGCCATCACACCCCACTTCACCGGCAGTGCCTGTGCCCACCCATCCTGTATTTTTGTTACCTGGAGCCTCAGAGACATCCCGGGAGGTGAGGGAAACTGAGGTTCCGGCAGGAAGCAGGATGCCAGGCCACAGTCAGGAGGCTGGGGTGGCCTCTGCTGTCCTCCCTCGAGGTTGGCTGGGGCAGGGGCAGGGCTGACTGGGTTTGGCCCTCTCTTGGACACAGGACGGAGCGACCATGGCCTACCACAGCTTCCTGGTGGAGCCCATCAGCTGCCACGCCTGGAACAAGGACCGCACCCGTGAGTGCTTGCTGCCCCGGACCATGAGGTGGGAGGGCGGGAGCCAGAGCACGTGTGGGTGACAAAGACGCAGGGCGCCTGGACTGTGGGCTCTGCGGGGGCTGGCTGGACCCTCCTTCACCCCGGCCCCCAGTGTTTGGCAGCCAGGGAGTGGGCAGGAGCAGCCGGGAGGACTGGACTGGGCTTTGCAGAGTGGAGGTGAAAGCAGGGGCGTCCTGTGCCTGGTCCTGCTGTAGGTGCCGGGATCCAGGGGGTGCAGCCACCAGCTGCTCTCAGGGGTCACAGCTGGGGGTGAGAAGTGGAGACGTAAACAGCAATGGCAGGTGGTGGAATGAGCTGTGAGGAGACACGTGGGCTAAGGAGAGAGAGGTGCCGCAGAGGCCCTGGTTTATAAAGGTGTCCGGGAAGGCCTCGCAGAGGAGAGGAGGCGCGTTGCCAGACCCAGGGGGCCGAGGGGTGAGCACCAAGGAGGCCCTGGCTGCAGCAGGGAGCAGAGGACAGTGGTAGGGCATGGGAAGAGCTCCCAAGGGTCACATGACTAGGGGTGTCCAGAGTGATGGGTGCAGGGTAGGGGTGCTGCCGCCCCAGGAAGTGTCTCGGGGCCTGAGGGACCCCACGGGACTCTGCTGAGGCGGGGGAGGAGAGATTGAATTGCAACGATGAGACCTTGCCCAGGTGGCCTGTGAAGGGCCTTCCTGGTAGGAAAGGGGGAGCCTGCATGTCCCCACCCTCTCTCTGCGCCCCACCTGTCTCCTGCAGAAATTGCCATCTGCCCCAACAACCATGAGGTGCACATCTACGAGAAGAGTGGGGCCAAGTGGGCCAAGGTGCATGAGCTCAAGGAGCACAACGGACAGGTGACAGGTGGGTTGGGCTGGCTGGGTCACCCCAGAAGGAGGCAGGGTGATGGGAGGCTGGCCAGGGCCATCCACCCCCTCACTCTATTAAGTATGACAGTTTGATTGCAAGTAACACAACCCCGATTCAAAGTGGCTTAAGTTAAAATGAGGTTTTGTTGGTTCGTGTTACCAAAAAAACTCAAGTCTTTGGCTTTCTGAAAAAGCTTGATCCGGCAGCTCAGCATCATCAAGGACCCATGTATTTTCTGGCTCTTGGCTCTGCCTCCCGGCATGTTTGGTGTCAAGGGACCTGTAACATCCCAGTAAGCTCTAGTAGCACCCCCTCAAGTTACTCCCAAACAGACATCAGATCTTGGTACAAAGTGTGCTCCCTGCACAGCATGGCTTTCATCCAGCCCGCGGCTCTGACGTGGACGCTGTGGAGCTGCCTTACCTGGGTGGTTCCAGCCTAGTGTCCTCTCCCCAGGCATCGACTGGGCCCCCGAAAGTAACCGCATCGTGACGTGTGGCACCGACCGCAACGCTTATGTGTGGACGTTGAAGGGCCACACGTGGAAGCCCACCCTGGTCATCCTGCGCATCAACCGCGCCGCCCGCTGTGTGCGCTGGGCCCCCCAGGAGAACAAGTTCGCCGTGGGCAGCGGCTCCCGTGTCATCTCCATCTGCTACTTTGAACAGGAAAATGACTGGTGGGTGCCTGGTGGGCCAGTGTGGACCGGGAGGGCCCCAGGGCGGCAGGACAACAGGCAGTGGGTCTGGAGCGTCCCAGAAGGCACAGGACGGGGGTGGGGGCCCCGTTCACAGGACCTGGGGAAGACGAGGCAGGGGCTCGGTATAGCCCCTTCTCCCGAGAGGCCAGACGGGAGCTCAGGGAGTCCAAAGCCAGTCATGGCTGTTTGGTAGCTGTGAGATGTCAGCCCTCACTACGCCTGCCCCAGGGTTATATGAAGTGTGAAGGGGGTAGACCCTGGTGCTGAGGCCATGGGTGCCCACCTACCTGTCTCTCTGGCCTCACTGTCTGATGCTATGTGCAGGTGGGTGTGCAAGCACATCAAGAAGCCTATTCGCTCCACCGTGCTCAGCCTGGACTGGCACCCCAACAACGTGCTCCTGGCAGCCGGCTCCTGTGACTTCAAGTGCAGGTGAGAGAGTGGGCACCTGACAGCAACATCTGGACAGGGATTCTGGGGAGCCCTGACCTGGAAGCTCCATACCCCACCTTCCAGGCCAGGTCCAGACATGCTCTCCTGCCAGCAGGGTGACCTGGGGCATCAGTTGAGCATCTGTGAGGTTTTGCTCTGAAGGTTCAGAGTCTTAGCAGGACACATAGCTGCCATGTCTGAACTTCAGCAAGGTTTTTTTCCTAGCCCTCCTCTCCTGCATCTTAAAATCCCCCACCCTTCAGTTTCCTGGCTTCTGTCTAAAGGAAAATGAGTGGGTGTACTTTTTCATACTAAGGTATAAATGACTGATAAGCTGGGACAAAACTTGCCTCATGATCTCAAGGCCTAGAACATAGTCTCCAGTTGCCATTCACTGTTTTCACTTCTGGGTCCAAGATGCCGGAGTCTCTCAAGGCAGACCACCTGAATCTCTGTATCCCCGCCTGGGAAGCGGGAAGGGATGGGGAGGGTGTGGTCAGCCCTTAGGTGAGATCCCCAGGAGTTCCTAGGTCTTGGAGCTAGAGACCTGGCCCCAGTCCCTTGCCTCTGACACACACAGGCTGTGCAGAGCTGGCTCTGGCACACAAGATCCTAGCCGGCCACTCCGGTGAGGCTGGTGAGGCTGCCTCCCCGGGCCCTCTGCGGTCCCTCCTCACCTTTTCTGTCTTTGCCTCTCCCGGCAGGATCTTCTCAGCCTACATCAAGGAGGTGGAGGAGAGGCCAGCACCCACCCCGTGGGGCTCCAAGATGCCCTTTGGGGAGCTGATGTTCGAGTCCAGCAGCAGCTGCGGCTGGGTGCATGGTGTCTGCTTTTCAGCCAGCGGCAGCCGCATGGCCTGGGTCAGCCACGACAGCACCGTGTGCCTGGCTGATGCTGACAAGAAGATGGCGTGAGTACTGGTCACCAAAGTTGGGGGCAACCAAGGCACAGAGCAGGAACAGTGTGGCTGACATCTCTCTCTCTCTCTCTCTCTCTCAGTGTCGCGACTCTGGCCTCTGAAACACTGCCACTGCTGGCACTCACCTTCATCACAGAGAACAGTCTGGTGGCAGCGGTAAGGGGGCTTGGGCATGCAGTGGCCAGTTAGAGCAGGTCTCCCAGTAAGCCCAGAGATGTCCAGATTACTCTCCACTGGCCTCCTCCATCCCCCTTCCCTTCCTCCATCTGTCCATCCATGCATCCATATTGATCAGAATAGTTTGGATTATGCTGCAGTAACTACCCCCCACCTCCAATTGCAATGGCTTAACATAGTGATGAGGTTCACTTAAATGTCCAGGTGGGTATTGAGGGGCCTCTGCTCAGTGTACCTCTCCAGCATCCTCCCCCACCCCCTGGAGGAAGAAGGGAGAAGCTAGAGTCAGGCTCTGAGGCCTAGTGTTTTTTTTTTTTTTTTTAAAGATTTATTTATTATTTAATTCGTTCATGTATACAAGAACTAGGGTGTAGGCCAGGTACGGGGTAAGAGGATTCACCAGAGAGTGGGGAGTAGAAAAGGCAGATGTACTGAAATACACTGCTGAGGGGAGCAGTAGGGATACAGAGGTCTGCTGTGCCTTGTGGGTCAGCTCCCTGGCTGGAGACCAAACCCATGCTGCAGTAGCTGGTGGTAGCTTGAGAGTGCTGAGACTTTAACCCCTGTGCCAGCAGGGAGGCCCTGAGGCCTAATGTTTCTACTGACATTTTGTTGGCCAGTGCAAATGACAATGCCACACCTAACTCAGGCTGTGCACTTGAGGGGGGCTTTGAGGAATGCCATTCTACTGTGTGTCTTAAAAGGGTTTTACTCTACTTTCCCTCTGCCCACCTAGCTGTCAATTTCTTTTCACCCTTCTACAAATACAGTGGGGGGTCCCAGAGGTAAATCAGGCCTGCTTTGCCTAGAGAAGTATCCAGTGGTGGGACTCCCAGAGTAGATGTAGTGGGCTGGGCAGGTGGAAGGCCCTTGGGCTCCCGGGGAGTCCAAGACAAACTTTCACAACTAGACTGGTCTTGCTGGGGGTCAGGAGTCAGACAGCAGCCCCTAGATGCTTACCTCCCAGCACCCGGTCCCTATTGATATACCTGGGCTCTGTTGCCTTCTGTACGTGCCGGTGTCCCTGGATAACTCCGCCCAGGTCCCGCATCTGACCTGAGCCCCTTGGCTTCCCACCCTCCAGCCTTGGTATCCCTGTGCAGAAAAGGAGGTGTTTTGGCTGCCCTCAAGGGTGCACCAATAGCACCCTGGTCTTTGCAGGGTCACGACTGCTTCCCAGTGCTGTTTACCTATGACGGAGCTGCGGGAGCCCTGAGCTTTGGCGGGCGGCTGGACGTGCCCAAGCAGAGCGCGCAGCGTGGCTTGACGGCCCGTGAACGCTTCCAGAACCTGGACAAGAAGGCCAGCTCGGAGGGCAGTGTGGCAGGGGGCTCGGGCCTGGACTCGCTGCACAAGAACAGTGTCAGGTGAGGGCAGTGGTGTCCCCTTCTTCCCAGCAGCATCCAGGTGCTGGTCTGGACTTAGGAAGCGGGTACATCTCTTGGTGGCCAAAAAAGGCATCGGGTGGGAGCAGAGCCTTCCCTGGAGCTCAGCATTTTTAGGGTCTGGCTGTGTGGCCCTGTTGTAGGGGTGGGGCCCACAGTTCCCTGGGCGGGGCCGCCACTGAAGGAGCTCTGGTGCTAGAACCTGGTGAGGTGTGGTTGGAACTGAGGGTCCTGCTGAGGAGCCAGGCTGGTAGGAGGGAGACACCCTCCAGACTCCCAGATCTTGCCAGCCACAGGGGCTGACCCCACAGGGAGTCACAAGTGTGGCTGGACTTCTGGCCGAGCCCCTCACTGGTTAAACCCTCCTGCGGCCACCTGGTTCCAGGTCATTTTCAGACTAAATACCTTCCCCTGGCTTTAAGGTGCGTCACAGCCAGCCCAGCATCCTCCCAGCTCCATCCTCCCCCCCATTCCAACTGCGGTCACTCTGCGCTGCGTATGTGCTCGAGTCCCTCCCTTTTGGCCCAGGCCTGTGAGTCCGCTTCCATTCGCTGGGGCTGCCCTTTGCTCCTGGCACGCTACTGCTGGTCCCTAAAGCTGGCTCATGGGCCCTGTCCTCTAGCACACCTCAGAGCCATTTCCCAGGCAGTCCCTGCCTGGCACAGGGTGTCCCCGAGTCTAGCGCAGGCATAGGCTGTGACCTGAAAAGCCCCCCTCTTCTCTGCAGCCAGATCTCGGTGCTCAGTGGGGGGAAGGCCAAATGCTCTGAGTTCTGCACCACGGGTATGGACGGCGGCATGAGCATCTGGGATGTGAAGGTAAGGCTGACCCCAGCTGGGTCCCCATTAGGCCCCAGGGGCCCTTCCTCCCAACTGCTGTCGCAGGCAGGGACCTGGATGCCCCCGTCCTTCATTCCTGCGAGAGGGACGCTTCATGGGAGCCAGAGGCATCCTCTAGGGCACAGGCCTTTGGCTTGGGATTCAAACCCAGGTCTGCCCGACTCCCAAGACCAGGTTCTCTCCTCTGCCGGCTGGGCTGGCCTGGGGGGTCTTGGGGTGTGCAACCTCTCTGGTCTGCTGTCTCTTCCAGAGCTTGGAATCAGCCTTGAAGGACCTGAAGATCAAATGACCTGTGAGGAGTGTGTTGCCTTAATCCCAGCTGCTGGGGAGGGGCGAGGAAGCTAAGGTTTGCTCTGCCAGATGTCTCTAGGGTCCCCACAGGGCCTGCTTCTTCAGGAGCTTTTCTTACCCATTGAAGGAATATGTGCCCTTTTTCTTTTTAAGAAATGCTTTCAATTATTGTCAAAAACTGTCTCCAAAGCACTCTGCTGGTCATGAACTGCTTCAAAATGTGGCAATAAAACTGCAACCATAGACTGCTTGCTATGTGTTTGGGAGGATAGTTTTCTCAAGTGACCCTTAAACCCAGGGGCCTCCCCCAAATGGTTCTCCCCTTTCCCTCTGCAGTGCAGCCTGAACGCTGCAGGCCCAGGTGTCAATGGTCAGACTCCAGGACATGTGGCTGCCATTCCAGACTGGCTCCTGGCCTTGAGTGGGAATCTAGTCACATAATGAATGACACCCATAGGTCTCCTGATTGTGAATATCCTTACATTTGCAGGTTAAAATGTATCTAAAGCTGCCTTGTCCCTCCTAGGCCTGTCCCTCGGGATAGCCTCTCCTGTTGGAAGAGAACCGACACTAGATATCAGTAGAAATGGTAAGACCCCAGAAGACAGGCCACACAGCACCCCTATTCTTCACACATGGTCACCTCAGCCTGTGCCAGCTCGCTGCAGTGAGGTTCTGGTCCTGGAGCTGGGGGCTGCAGGAAGGCAGGGTGGGCCTGGGTCAAGCCCTCTTTATAGACTGGAATCTTGGCTTAAAATGGACAGGCTCGGAGTCTGCTTTGCAGAAGGCAAAGGCATTACATGGCACTGCCAGGGCAGGGCTCCTCTGAGGGTGGTTGAGGCTCTGTGGCAGGCAGAACATCCCAGGACAGGAGGGGACCTTGGACCACGTCACACACATTACCAATGGCTACTACACGGCTGGGCCTTCTCTGAGGGGACAAGTTCAGTCTGGTGGGAGACAGGTGAGGATGACCTGGTGTCCCAGGAAAAGAAGGGGCTGGCTCTGAGGGAGGGCTCCAGGCAAGCAGTAGCATGCACGAAGGCTGTGGACAAGAATCTGGCCTCTCCTCAGATTTGAAGGACCAATGGGGGGCAGGACAAGGACAGGGAGGGAGGTGAGGCTGGTAAGGTCTCCTGGGTCCAGCTCCTGGGGCCCCTGGCATCATGGGGAGACAGGCCACTTAAGCTGGGGTGAGGCAGGGCTAGGTTTGCCTCTAGAAGCCAGGAGGAGGTGCTGTGGTGTGAGGAATCGAGGCTTTAGGAACCAAGAGGCTGTAGGGGAAAATAGCAAGCTGCGAGGGGCAGGGCAACTTGGGTAGGCAGCATGATGGGAGAAGTCCTAACACGTGAAGGGCTTGTTACCCCCACTTTAAAGAGAAAACCAAACACCAGAGGAAGATACTTCCCCCAAGCCTCACAGGCAGAATGTGGCAGTCAGGACTCAAACTCAGGTCTGACTTGCACTGGAGAAGCAGCTGCTCCAAGGCCTGAGATGAGGGAGGGACTCCTGTCCGCATCACACCCAGGCTCACAGGTAAGATCCGCAGATACCAGAAGCTCCTGAATAGACCCCTGTGCCTGCTTCCTGGGCACAGAAGCAAGCATCGACTCTTCACTCCAGCCAACTGTGTAGGACTCCTGCATCTAGCGCGCCCCATGCCACCTCACCCCCACCCCAGGTGGCCCCAGTTCCACTGACTGGTGGTCCCTGATCCAGTGAATCTTGCCAAAGTGCCCCCTGCTCCAGCTCATCAGAGCCCCTCATTTTCAAGACACAGACCTGAACCCCAGCAGCTGCCGCGTGATCTCCGAGGGAGGGGGAGGTGGCTTGCTAAAACCTCGGAGGTAATTCCCGCTCCTCCTGGGCAGTTGACGCGTTTGGTCAAACCCAGGAGGGCTTGACCAGGGTTACCCAGAGCCTGGGGTTGAATTCCATCTCTGTAATGATGGGCCAAACCCCCGCCTGGCATCTAGCCCCTTTCAGGACCTGCACAAAGGATGCTGTATTTCATGGGGTGGTTCAGGGACCGGTCAGGCCCTGTGGTTACCCTTCCCCATCTGGGCCCACCTATGACTGTGCTAAGCCTGTTTCCACCTGCCATTCCACCATCCAAGAGGACTGGCCTGGTGGTCAGGCCAGGAATGGGGTGCTTCCTCCACGGGGCACATAAAAGGCAGGTCAGAGAGGCCTACTGTAGACGGGTACCTGACTACTGCAGCCTAAGATCCTGCTTGGTTAAAGAATGAGTTGGGAGGGCTCCTGTATCATGTTCTCCCAGCTTCTTGGATATCTGGGGTCCATTCCAGCAACCCATTTGGTGCCCCCTTGCAAGTGGGCCTGAGATCAACATGATGCTCTGCTGGGTGACATGGGCCCAGGCATGAGGGCCCAAAGATGACCAGAGAGCCAAGATTACGATAATGTCAAGTTTAATATGCCAAATATACAAGTTGAATTTGTGGAGCATGTTTTGCCTGGGTGCCGCACAGTAAACAGGTTTCTTGAAATGATCCATGGGTAGGGTTAAAAACGGGCCTGGGCCCTGGCCACATGGGTGGGAGTGGGGCAGGGAAGGGCAGAGGGGGCAGGCCTCAGTCAGAGGTGAGTGGCCCAGGGATGAGCCCTGACCCTCAGGGACCCAGGGCTCCCAGAAGACAGCCCCTCTGAGTGCGCACCCAGGTAACACAGACTGGGGCTGGTGTTGCAAAGTCGTCAGCAGCTGCCCCAGCACGACTGCTCCATGCAATCTACTGGACAAATGGAAGTTCTTCCCCCACCTCCCAGGCACCCCCCTCCCAGGGTTCTGAATTCTAAAATCAGCAAAGACATTTAAATGGTTACCTATGAAAGGCTGTCCTGCATCTTTCCGTCTCAAAGATAGCAGCTGCCCCCTCCCCCCAACCCCCCTATCATCCCTCCAAACGATTTCTGTGCCAAGATGAAGAGGAGACCCCAGCGGCCATGGGGGCCTTCTTGCTGTGGGGGGGCTGCTGCAGCGGCGCCAGGGCACAGGGTAGGCGAGACAGGCAGAGGTGCTGGCAGCACAGCCCAGTTCCCTGGTGTCTCCTCCCACAGGCCTGGCTACTTATTCAGGGAGAGCGACTGCATTCGTTTTCCTGACAAAGTTGCGTCGTCTTTTGCTGAGGATATGAAGGGAAGGGTAAGAGTTAAAGACAGAACCGTATCTTACAAGCAAAACACACTCAAAATTCTGGAACCGCAGGTCTGAAAGGCCTGGAAACTGCAACTGGCTTGGTGAGCAAGTGAGGAAGAGACCCAAGGAAGGCCCAGCCTGACAGCTTAGGTCGCAGTGTCCAGAGAGACCCCACCACATTCAGGAGGCTGCCCACCAACTCCCGCACACTGGAGGAAGGGAAGCACTCCCCCACCCTAACTTCCAACCCCTCCCTTTGGGTTCGGAAGCCTAAGCTCAGCAACGTTCAGTTACACATGAAGTCCTTTCCTGTTTGGGAGGCAAGAGGCACTAGTAGAGACTGGGCATAACCAACTATCTCCAGTGTAGCAACAAAGGTGGGGGGGGCGGGTAGGGCTAGCTAGTCCCATTCTGTGATTTGGTGAGGAGGTGGGACAGCAGAATCTCTCAGCCCCTCACATGTGGGGAGTTCATGAGGCCAGAAGACATGTCAGGGGTTGAATGCTCCCACACACCAGACCAACTCCCCGCTGCTAACCTGGCCTAGAAGAAGCCCCTACCTTTGCCCCGTTGGAGGGAATATTCTAGAATAGCTGGATCATCTGGGTCTACAGTGAAAATTCAACTCACCCCTACCCCACCTGCCCAAGTCCCCAAGAAAAATAGCGGTGACCCCAAGCAGCTCTCCCAACACCGAAGGTACCAGGACCTCAGTGAAAGGGCTGAGGCTCAAATGTCTGCACCAGGCACCTCCCTCATCCAAGGACAGTGTGTGCTGAGATTCCACCTAAATCCAAGTCTGCCGGGGGTGGGGTGGGGTGGGAGAGGCATTCACTGAATAACATGACTCGACCCCACTTCACGAGGACAATGAGTGCAGGGGTGGCCGGCTTGCCCAGACCCAGTCAGGCAGTCGTCGGAGAGAGAAATGAAAGCACAAGTGCTCAACACTTACCTTTCCTTTCTTCTTCTTTCTTCCTGGCTGCTTCCTCCCGCTGTTTCCGGATGATCGCCAGTCGGGCCAGGTCAGCCTTGGCTTGCTCTGTCTTCCCAGCTAAATGCATTTTCATGTAACGCTCTTTTGCTTTCTGCTTCTCAATTTCTTCTCTGTTTGGATGAAATGGTGTCACAGAAGATATCCTCCCTATTTTCAGCCGAGCTGGACATGGGTGCCAGGATAAAGGGCCCCTCCTTGATGGATACTCACTAAACAGGCATGCAGAGACAGGCCCGAAGCTGGGCTGAAGGGGCCAATGGGGAGCTCGAGTGGTTTGCACAGAAGGGGAGTGAGTTCAGCTATGACCTCTGAAAAGCCTTAGCATGGAGTGGACAATGTCAATGTGTACAGGGGTGGTGTGGAGCACGGGGAGGGGGTGCTGAGTAGAATCTGGTGTCCACGCTAAACAAAAAGACAAAAGCCAAGTGACCTGTGTGCCCAGAAGAGAGGGCCAGGAGGAAGAAAGCGATGGAACCCACATTCTGTAAAAGGAGAGAAAGGAGTGGACAAAGTGGCCATGGTCAGACACACCCAAACTCAGGTTGACATGACACAGCTCATTTTCAGAGCAGCTCAGATGTGCAAGAGGCTGTCCCCAGAGAGTGGGGGATACCTGCAATGGGGGGACAGAGTATCAGCCACCAAACCACCAGGTAAAGAGCGGCGAGAGGCATTAATTTCCCTTTGAGGATCTTCCCTTATCTGAGATTCTGAACTGAGTGGCGGCAATCCCACCCCAAAGGGTAGAGATAGCAACTGGATCCTACTTTGACTGTGAGACTAAAGGGGAACTATTTGTGCCAGGTTCCTGAACTGCCAACTTCTACAGAAGGGGTCAAGAAAGCCCTGCTGGCAGGAGGCCGAGGAAGAACTTGCTCTTCACCACACATGGCTGGGGAGCGATGAGAAACCAGGCCTGAGGCCTGGCTAGAGGGGAGGGAGGCAAACGCAGCTACGGCAAGGGGGATGAGTAGATGTCTGTGCAGGACACTCTGGACAAGCGGACAAGACATTTGCTACAGATAAAGATGACACCCATCAGCCCAACAGATCCTACCCTAGAGGCGGGTCCTGAGTGAGGAGCCTCTTAGTCAAGCCCTAGAGTTCTGAATGCATGGGGGCCATGGAGAGATCTGGAATGAACAAGGCTGCCAGTTGGCTCCACAGGGCCCCTCTGAGAAGGCCAAGTGACAGGCAGGCTGCTGGGATGCTGCTTTCATCTCTGCAATCCCAAAGGGCAGGAAGAACGAGTGGATCCCCTTTATACTGATGAGAACAGTGAGGCAGAGCCTTGGGAGCACCGAGGTGCTTCCGTCTGGGAGGCTAGCAGCAGATCAGGACGCTGGGATTCTGGGGACTCAGTCCTGAGGATGAAGCCACTGGACAGGTAGGTCCTTAACAGCCTCCAATCACACCCCAAGCTTGTGGGTCTTCTCATCGTGGTTTTCACAGACCCCCCAACAGTCACGGGGTCTGCATAAAAAGGTGGATTTAAATCCCAGCAGCCCAGTCAGAAGAGAAACCAGGCAGCTTTCCCTAGTGGCCTTCAACCTCTTGTATGGTCCTTGAGGTTACCTGCAGTCATCAAAAGTCAGGGCACTGCTTGTAGAAGACTGGCTTTGTGCCAGGCACTGAACACTGCACTGCAATCTCACACCACGTCTGAGGGAGATAACTGCAGCTCCCTCCTCACTGGGGACTCAAGGAGAGCTGGGGCAGTCGGTGGGACCCAGCGGGGACCTCCCTATGCTGTGCTGCCTTCTGGATTGCCCCCGAACCCCCCACCCCCACCCTAGAATGCCTATGTGCCCATCATGAGGCCCAGCTGCTGAAGTTACCGTTCTCTCCTGGAAAGTTCCTTGGGCCCGTCCAGGTCCAGCTGTGTGACCTTTTTGGTTGTCTGTGCTACCCGGTTGGGGTTCTCGATGTCGATGAGCCCTTCTACGCCTTTGCGCTTTTGCTGCAACAGATAAGCAGCAGGTCATTGGAGAAGTCAGGTCCCATAGAGCCCCTGAAGGCCACTTCTGCCACCCCTCAACAGTTCATCTGGATGGGGACAAACTTCTGCTCCACCCCCAGCCCAAGCCTCACAGCAGGGACAGCACTCAGGAGTGTCTTCACCAGTTCGGGGGTAGCAGGGCCCCTCAAGGAAAGTGAATGAGAAGTCCAGCCCATGCTGAGTTCCAGCGACTGCATTATGACCCCAGTTCAGGCAACAGAACAGAGGCAGAGGGTACAAAAACTTGCCTAGGGCCTCCCCGGTGGCGCAGCAGGTTGAACGCAGCGCTGTGAAGCTGTCCGCAGCCTCTGCAGCGCCGGTTCGATTCCTGACCAGCCAGGGAGATTCCCACATGGCGCGGCAGACCTCTCCTGTCTTGCCCGCTGCTCCCCTCAGCATTGCTTTCGGTCCGTCTGCCTGTTCTGCTCCCCACTCTGTCTCTGGTGAATCCTCTCACCCTCCTGCACCTCTGGCCTGTACCCCAGCTATTGTATAAATAAAAAATGAATCTTTAAAAAAAAAAAACAAAACTTGCCTAAAGGCCAACCAGAAGTAGAGTGTAAATGAGATGGACCCCAAGTCAAGCACCCAAGCTCTCAGCACAGAGCTCTACATCCCCACTTTAAGTCCCAGGGTAGGGTGGGCCAAGGCATGTGTTCCCAGTACCGAATCCAATTCCTGGCCATCAGATCACAGTTGAGGGTTGGGGAGCTGGCCCCAAAACCTGGCCTATACCCTCCACCAAAGAAGGACAGAAAGGAATGAAAGCAAAAGTTCTCAACACAACAGCCCTGGTCAAAACTCAAGGCTTTGTCAACCCAACCAGGGAGAGAGCTTCCAAATGCCAATCAACCTGACCTCTGTACAGGGTTCCAGAGAGCTTGATCTAATCTACTATGTATACATCACTCCACTGGGCTCTCTGACACCGGACAATTAACTTGTCTAAAACGAAACTTGAGATTCACCCCGTGCGCAATCCCTAAGCGTGGTCTACTCTTCCCCTCAGTCCCTCACCCAGCCCTCAGCAAACCCCACTGAGCCTATCTCTGATGTATGGTTTGAATCTGCCTGCTCTTCACAGCTATTTTTACTACCTGAACTCAAGCCACAGTTTCTCATCTGAAAACCTGTTGCCATCTCCCTGTTTCCACCTTCAACATCTTACAATTCATTCTCTGCAGAGAAGCCAAAACAATCTTATAAAAGTATGTACAGTTGTCTCTCTACCCCTCTTCAATGCTTCTACCAGTTGCCCGCTACCCGCCACAGTAAAACCCAAGCCCCTTCAACAGCCACACAGGAGCTGCCCTCGCAACCTCTCCTCTAGCCCTAAACCACTCTATACCTTATCCACTAAGTCACAGCCCTTGGTACTTTCTGTTACTTGAACATGTCATCCAGGCAATTCCCACCCCAGGGCCTTTGCACTTGCTAATCTGGCTGTCTTCACTGCTCTGTACCATGATTTTCACATAGTTGGATCTTTGTTTTTAAGATTTCAGTTTATTTATTAAGGATTTACTTATGCATATAAGAACTGGAGTATAGACCAGAGGTGAGGGGGTGAGAGGATTCACCAGAGAGAATGGGAGCAGAACAGGTGGATCTACTGAAATACACTGCTGAGGGGAACAGCAGGTGAGAAAGGAGAGGTCTGCTGCGCCATGTGGGTTGCTCCCTGGCCGGCCGGGATGGAACATGTGTTGCAGTGGCTGGCGATGGCACTGTGTCTTTATCCCCTGCGCCACCAGGGAGGCCCTAAGATCTCAGTTTAAATGTCACCTCCTCACTACACACTGCTCCACACACCATCAAATATACTTCCTATTACTTGAAATCTCATGTTTATTACTTGCTTATTTTCTGTGTCTCCCTATTAGAGTGTAAACCCCTAAAAGCAAGGAGTCTGCCTCTGCCATGGAAACTGGTAATGAACAAGTCCTTGAGAAAAACTTGTTGAAGGAAGGAGTCTAGGTCCCAGGTCCCCACCACACTCAGTACCTGGTAATCATCTTCTTCATCCTCACTCTCATCTGAGTCTAGGGATTTCTTCTCCTTTTTCGGGTCCCCTGCAGCCCCATCTCCACCTTCTTCTTGTTCCTCTTCTTCCTGTTGCATAAATGGACAACCTGCAGAATCAAAAATGCAAAACAAGCCCCCAAGACTGTGACCCCCGCCCCCACCAACTCCAGACTGTGGGCCTTGAGCATTTAAGCACCTGGAGGGTGGGGCCTATGAGAAGGGTCCCACTCTGCAAACCTGGTCCCTACCTAGGGAGCTGGGAACCCAGGCAGCCTGTATACTTGGCCCCACAGCCTGGCAGCCATTCCCGCAGTGCAGCAAGCTTCTCCTACAGTCAGAAAAGGTCCCGCATCTCTTCTCAGCCCAGGGACCTTGGGCAGCTCGGATGAGAAGCTCAGCTCCCGGGTCAGGACTCAGCTGTGGGACCACAGTCCTACTCAGTTCTCGTCCGACTCCCCCAGCTGCCACATGCAGCTGCCAAGTTGTACTGGCTTTACTGGGCAAGTCCCCTCACACTTTCCACTCCCACGGCCGGCCACTCCAACACGCTCACAAAGATGCCGGCTGCACCAGCTCCCCAAGCCAACACCCATAATGCCACTTTTCTCCACCTTTCTGCCTCTTCACCCAGAACATCCCATATAAACACTTAATGTCCCTCCCCCTTAGCGCTTGCCCATATTCTCAAAGGTCCTCTCACCTGGCAGCCCCCCCACCAGCCCCACCCCATTAGGTGTGGCCTCTCCCTTTTTAGGGTTCCCAGGCACCTCACATCTGTGCCACATATCCAGTCTGTGTTCCTTTTGGCCCTTATCCAGGTGAGGACCTAATGGTCACCAACAATGATGGAAACAATGTTTCCTAACAGTGGACTGGAAAAAAGCAGTGTGGGAAGAGCAGAGCAGTGCAGCGAGACAGGGAAGGGCGGGTCCACAGTTGAGAGTCATGAAGGAGGTGATGTTGAGCAAGGGCTGGAGGAGCAAATGGTATTTTGCCTGCTGAGGCTGTGGGCAGACAAGGCATCATGTGCTGGTTTTGGCAAGTGGTCCCACCTGGCTGGACCAGACAAGTGAGGGATGCTAAGGTTGAGTTGCCAATGGGTAGAGCTTGGCAAAAGAAGAGCCCCCAGAGAGCAGGAACCCAGGACCAAGAACAGGAACCTACCAAGACAATTGCTGCCGAGTGAACAAAGTTCTAACTGACCTCAGAAGATGTGCCCCTTCCACCCACCCCTCCAGACCCGCTGGTTATTCTGGGATTCCCACCTGCTACCTGCCACGCTGCCTCCCCCATACCACCACCCCCATAAACAAACCCCAGGTGCTGGCTTCTTCCTGAGAATGGGTGATCCTTGCTTGGAGAGAGGACACCACCCTGGGGCACTGGAATGGCCTGGACAGGCACATACTCACCCTGGCCTTCTGCTTTTCAGCCTGGAGCTGTGCGTCGATCTCCTCAGGACTCGTGTACTGCCTTGCCCGGCCTTTGTGGCCTCCCTTTCTCCCTACACAAGAAACGGTACTTAGGAAGGCAGGCAAGAAGCAGTTTTCTTGATTGCCCAGATATCCCAATGGGCTGCAGTACTTGGGGTGCTCTCATCAGAGGCTTTAGGGACCTCACCTTCCCTTCACCATTCACCACCCACACCTACTCCCCACCCTCCCTGTTCAAAGGGACATAAGAGACAAAAATGATACAAACTGTGTGCTAGGTGTAGGCACCCATGAACAAGACTTGAGGAGGGATATGGAAGAAGGTGCAATGCATGGTGGAACTGGCTAACCACCCTGGTCCCTGAGAATCCAAGTGAACTGAGACGACATCCCAAGAACATGTAACCCTTCTGCCCCTGCTGTCACTGAAGTGCTTTGCAATGCTGTCACACCTTATGTTCATCTGATCCTCAGAACAAATCTATGGTACAGGAGTCACTGCTGGTCCCATTCTAATGACACAAACACTTAAGATCAAAGCAGAGTGGTGAAAAACATAAATGCTGGAGCCCAGCCATTAATGTTAAATCGCAACTCTACCACCTACTAGCTTGGTAACTTTGGGCAGGTACTTAATTAACCTTCTCAGCACCTCAGTTTCGTCACGTATCCCCACTGCATAGCGCTGTCATAAAGACGGACTTAACATGTATAAAAGCTGTTGGAATAGCTTTCATAATACACAGTGCATTATACTGCAAGAATGTTTGCTGTGGTTGCTACCTTTCTAATATAGTATTTGGTGAAAGAAGAGGGTCAAAACTGCTGGCTACATCAGCGATATACTACAGATGTTAGGGAATATCATAAAGAACTTTGTGTTCACCTATGTGGTATGGTAGAATCTTAAAACTATAGGAGAAAACTCTCTTGTGTCTGAAGAAAAAAGCATAGCAAACAAAGTTGAACATAAAGCTATGAGTTCAAAATGAAATTAAAGTTCACCTCAGACTATCAGTTTTACAGTCTAACCCTCTTGAGTTAAGACACTAGACTGACTCCTGCTAAAGCCATCAGCCAATTCTTTAGCTGGTTGGCAACCCCTCCGCTGGTCCCACAGGATGCTGGGGTGGCTGTGGCCACCCACCTCTGGAAACCACAGCCCACCTGATTTCCAGAGCTTTACACTCTAAACAGAGAATCTGTAACTAGAGAGAAAGAGCTGTTCCATCTCCAGAGACAGCAGCAGACATACTGGCCTCCTCTGACTTCTTAGACAGCAGCTGCACAGCCATAATTGGGCTGCTATACACCACACCACCCATATTTAATGACTACCTGGGCTCCCAGGGGCGTCTCAGCCTATGCTCATGAAAGTCCTATTGTGAGAGATCAAGCTTGCCATTAAAGAAAACCAACACCCCTCTTACACGCACAGAACAAACTGAAGATTGCTGGAGGGGAAGGGGTGGAGGGCAGGGCTGAAATGGGTTAAGGGGGTCAACTCTATGGTGAGAGAGAGAAACTAAACCTGGTGGTGATCATGACTTACAAAATACAGATGTTGAATTATAATGATGTATACCTGAAACTTACATGTTATAAACCAATGTTATCTCAATAAAAATCTATTTTACAGAACACCCTTTCTTGCCCTCTTATTATTCCAGATAATAACAACAGCTCAAAACTGGCTATTTCAGGTACCCATCCTGCACAGTTGGCTATGCGATATTGACCTTAGCTTGGCCTACAGTAACTTCTTCCAGAAGTCCTTCCTGCCTTTAAAAATGCTTCTCAGTTGCATAATGAAAACAAGAGCTGGCCCTTTGCTTTTAGGGAATTTTAGTCCTCTTTTAAAATCATGTTTTCTTTTGCTTTTCATGCAATATTAGCAACACAAGAAGTGTAAACCTGTCTGCCCACAAAGCACAAAGCTTTTCCAGAGCCAAATTACTGGCTCTCAAGTAATTTATATTTAGGACTTTAATCCTGTAACCTCCAATGTTGGCTCAAAGTATCTATTAAGTAGGATTCTAGAGAACCAGAATTTGGGAATCAGAAAAACTTTTAGCAGAACAGAAGATGGAAGAACACAGAGGATCACTGGTTCCTCCCACCACAGGGTAAATGAGTGGAGAGCTAGGTTAAATGGAATCAGCTCTGCAAACCCCAGGACCTCTGGAACTAGTCATGATGTCATTTGGATTTGAAAAAACTCCAAGAAATCTTTCAGCAGACTGATGCATCTTAACCAACACGTGACACCGATATTAATACACATAATATAATTAATACACATAATATAACCAACAGACACCTAAACCAATATTTAAAAAACACCTGTTCTGTGCCAGAAGCTAGCCAAGCACTTCCAATGCTCCATCATTTTATGACCCAACTCTCCAAGCTAAGGGTTATTACTAACCAGGTGTTCCAGATGTTAAAAACAGACTGGAAGAGGTTAAATAACTTGTTCAAGGCCACAGGATGAGACACAGGCACAGGTGGGCATCAAATTGGTAACTACTGACTCACGGGAAAGAGGATGGAAGGCAGTCTACGATGTACTGGGAAGTCATGGATCCTGGCAGTCATACAAATAATAGTTAATGCTGACTGGGCACTTCACGACTGCCGGACACAGTACTGCGCACTCCACGTGGATTACCTAGTTTGAGCCTGGCATCAGTACTATTAGGTAAACACAATCACAAACCCCATGCAAATCAGAAAACAGATGAGGGAGGGTAAGCGGCTGGCTCAAAGGGACACAGGGATCCGCCGCCGAATGCAATAAGTGCTCGGCAGGCTCAAGAGCATCACGTTAAGCTTCATTAGGCAGGCCTGGCTCGCCCAGAGCCCGAGAGGGCCCACGTTGTACGCGTGAGGCAGGCCGGCCCAAAACAGACGTGAAACACGGTGACTCAGTGCCCGGCGAGCCTGGAAGTGGGAGGCAACTCCAGACCCCCAGGTCCGGGGAAGCGCATCCCAAATCCGGCCTTCCAAGCCGGTAAGAACCCAGGGCCTCCGAGTGGTCTCAGACCCCGCAGGGAGTGGTTTGAGACCACTCTGGTCCTCAGTTTCCCCACTGGGACAATTGGGCGTCGAGGCCCGGGCCTGGTCCTGAGACTGCGCGGACGTCCTCACTCTGCGCCGCTCTCCGAGACGTCCGCGGGCTGAGCGGACAGCGAGGGCCGGACTCAAGCCGCCCCTCGAGGCCCGCGGGCCACGCGCGCCAGCCTCTCACCTCCTTTAGGCATCGCGGCTCCGGCGGCTGCGGCGGCGGCGCCTCGAACTGACACCGGAACCGGAAATACTTCGGGCTCGACTTCTTCCGCCCGGCCCAGTATCTCCGCGCGCCGCCGCCGCCGTCGCCGCGAGGCCGGGGCGCTCAGGAGGCCGGCGCACGAAGCAGGACTGTCCCACGCGCCGCCTGAGCCCAGGCTCACCGGCGCGCTGCCGGGCAACAGCGCCCCCAGTCTCCGCAACCCAGGAGACGCGTGATCCTGCCGGCCACCCTCCCGGGAAGTGAGGGCAAAAGACGACAGCGGCCTGGGATTTTATACAGGCAGCGCCGCGGACACCTACGATGACGCAATCTCCCTGCGAGGTGGGCGGGGCTCCGCGAGGACCTCATCTGAAGCGATCACCTGGGAAGCGGAAGCCGTGGCTGGAGAGGCGGCGGCCACCGTCGACGGCACTTCCGGTAGGTGTTTTTCCTCGGTTCTCCCGCAGGTTGGTAACGGCGGGGACGCGGCCCCGGAGCTCTGCACTGGCCGGGGTAGCTCCCTGAGCGGCTGAGCGGGGAGAGATCGGGCCTCTGGACCCGGAGGCCGGAGTGAGTGCCCGAGAGGAGGCGGCGCCTCGTTCCTACTACTATGGGGGATGGGGGAATGAGAGATTGGGAGGTTCTCTTTTAGGCATATTTTTAAATGCCTTTTTTTTTTTCCTGCCGAGAACGTTTTCGGTCTAAATACTGTTTGTTCTTACAAGCTCGGTTCCTGTCAATGAGCCTTTCCTTCAGTGCCGCCTTAACGTCTTCCTTTCTTCCAAACGCCTCGATAGCTCGCCGTCTCTCCCGAGCGCTGCAGCCTTTCTTAGACCGCCCGACACCGCTTATGGATTAGTTACCGTCTACCTTGTTATCTCCCTCGAGAGGCCTCTGTTGACACCCAGGCGGGGCCAGGGCCCTCGAATTTCCCTGGGTCATGGGAAAGTGATCGTCCTCCTGTCTTTGCCCTCTCTGCCTGTGCGCACAGGGTGGGGAGGGGGGCCGAGGGGGGAGCCTGGTCCAGATCCATCCACCTCTAGCTCCAGTTCAGGGGAGATCAGTGTAATTTCCCTTTAGAGGTAGACTGCCGGTTCGCAGTTGTGCGGGACCCTGATTCTGACTCTTGGAGTTAAAGACTTATAAATCTCTTAGGAGAATTTATGTTTTTGTGTACTTTACACAAGTGTACTTTGTAAAATCAGGCACCTTACAGAAAGGAGGGACTGAATGAATTTAGGAGAGATGAGTTAGCTGTGCTTAAAGGTTAGAGATAACCTGATTTCTCTTCCCTAGCTAAGAAGTGCTATGTGGTTTGAAAAAATGCTGTTTAGAGTTAGCCTATTTATGGGCTTTACATGATAGGCCTTTATGTGGCATGTGTGATGAGTTTAAGAGACGTTGGCAATCTGGCTAACCCACTGCTCTCAACGTATAGGTGAAACTGAGGACGTGACCTACCCAAAGTCACAGAGTGGTAGAGTTGGCTAGGAACCCAAGCTTGTGACTGAAGAGACTGTGATCTTTCTGTTACATTCTTTGGCAGCAGATCCTAAGGTATTTTGGTTGTACAGCCTTTCCCCCTTTTAAACACACATCCTCTTAGCTCCCCAATCATAATTCTCCTCAAACTGGGTTGTGGTTGCCTTTCACTTGTCTATGTTATTGCTACAATGTCACCTTCTTGGTGACAGTTTGTGTCCTGTTCCTTATTCTGTGTTACCAGCATCCATACAGGGCCAGGATGTTAGCTGAAGTTAATGATAATGGCAAATGCCTGTTAAGCACACATTATATACCAGGCATGTTACATTTAATGAAGTCTTTTCAGTGATCCAATTAGGCAAGTTGTATTATCCTATCCCTATTTTATGAATAAGAAAGCAGTTTTAGGGAAATGAATGGTAAACACCTTTAAGGATCTGATGTTCAGACACCAACTCATTTTTTTTTTTCTCTCTTAGAGCTTTGTAAATTATCTTGTGGGGAAAAAATGCCTAAAGTCAAAAGAAGCCGGAAAGCTCCACCAGATGGTTGGGAATTGATTGAACCAACATTGGATGAATTAGATCAAAAGATGAGAGAAGGTGAGTGGAGGAGTTCCTATCCTAGTGGACCTGTGTGTATCCAGGGCACCTCTGGAGGTGTGGTATTAGATGCCTCCAGAGGTCAGGCGTGGACGAAGAGAGACAGGCAACACCACTGTGGCCTCCTGACACCAACACATATTGCTTGCTATTAACTCAGGAATGCTGTAAGTGCCAGAGAGTAAACTCAAAAACTTTTTTTTGGCCTTATATATAAAAACTTTAGGAAATGTGGGTCAAATAGTTTATTGTAATTATTTCTGTTTTGATTATGTGTGTGTTTTATTCTATTTTATTTATTTATTTTTAAAGATTTATTTATTCATGTAAGAACTGGGGTACAGGCCAGATGTGAGGGGGGTGAGAGGATTCCCCAGAGACAGAGTGGGGAACAGAACAGGCAGATTGACTGAAATACACTGCTGAAGGGAGCAGCGGCCAAGTCAGGAGAGGTCTGCTGCACCATGTGGTAGCTCCCTGGCTGGGGATTGAACTCATGCTGCAGTGGCTGTGGATAGCTTCATAGGTTGCATCTTAACCCTTTGTGCTACCAGGGAGGCCTGTGTGTGTGTTTTAAATCACACAAAACAAATTTACTTGAAAAATATTGGTTGTCACTTTCACATTTTCTGAAACATTTTATTTAGATTTTTCTTGTGCCTCTGACACTGTTTTCATCATCAATTAGTTTTTACACTACCTACCATTTTCCTGAATGTACCATTTTCCTGTCCCTCTAAGTGTCGTGTGGCTGTGCACTTTGTGGATCAAGTGTAATATGAGTCTTAGTCTTTGGAAATTTTATCTGAAGCCACAAATATGGCCCTGTATGATCACAGTGTAATCACATAGTGAATTGCAATCTGGCATTACTTACTAAATCAATGTTAGGAAATAGGCACTTTGTCTTCCCTTTTCCAAAACTGATTGATTGTGTCTGGTAACCTCTATTAAGTACCCAGAACTTGTGATAATCAGGGTCATTTTGGGCAGAGAGAGTTGAATAGTTCTTTACTCAAAATATAGGAACTTGGGAGAATACTGTAAGAGAAGTGATTTTGTGAGTCCTTAAAAATAAATCTCCTCCCTTTAGGGGATGATTTTTGAGAGTAGAAAGGACTTTTATCTTGTATTTAGACATGAGTAATATTTTTTACCTCCAAAGGAAGTATTGTTTTTCCCATTTTTAAATTTAACCACATAGCCCTTCAGTATTTCTTTGCTTTCCCAGTTTGAAAAATACACAGGTTTAAGACCGGATTTCAAATAAAGCAGATGGCAAGTGGCACAGAGTTGGTTTCAGTATTGGGAATGATATAGGGAGCTCTTGGCATGTGGCAAAATGGAGAGGGGTAGAATTTGCCATTTATTGGCGTCCATTATACCATGTGGGATTTAGGCTCAGCATTGCTGCTTTCCTCCCCCACCCCTGGAGAAGCCAGAAATCTTCCTGTTTGTTCTATGTCAGCTCTTCTCATGGACAGCTAGAGAACAAAAGTAAGATTATATCATTGTCAGCTTATCATTGTGGCTTCCCTCCAACAGAGCAAAACCTAAGGTCCTCCCAAGGCCTGCCAGGTCCAGCATGCTTTCATCCTGGCCCCTCCTTGAGCTCTGTCCCCTATTTCTCTCCTTTACACCCCAGCCACACACATTCCTTGATCCCTCAGTACAGTCCTGCCTCGGGACATTTGCATTGCTGTTTTCTCTGTCATAAGCAGATTCACCCCTCTTTCCTTAAAATGTCTAGCCAGATGTCTTCTTTATGTTTTTATTGATCACCCATACAAAATGTCAGCCACTAATTTCCCTACCCAGAGCAGGGCCTTGCCTAAAGCAGGCTGGGTCCTCAACATGTCTTTTATTGGATCATTTGCATCCTGTACGTTGAGCTGAATTCTAAGTCCTAAGTAATAGAAAGCTTTCCAAGTTGGAGACATAGCAGTAGAGTTTTCTTTTTTCCTTACTTTTCTCCTCTGCCTTAAAAACTGAGAGGAGGGGCCTCCCTGGTGGCGCAGTGGTTGAGCACTGGGCTGCGAAGCTGCCCACAGCCTCTGGAGCACCGGTTCAATCCCTGGCCACCGGCGAGGGTCCCACATGGCATGACAGACCTCTCCTGCTGGGCCTGCTGCTCCCCTCAGCAGTGCATTTCATCGGTCTGCCTGTTTTGTTCCCCACTCTGGCTCTGATGAATTCTCTCACCCTCCCGCGCTTCTATTTTTTTTTAGAGGCATGTTTTATTTATTTATTTGTTTGTTTGTTTGTTTTTGTTTATACTTGCACTGGGTACAGTCAGAAGCGCGGGAGGGTGAGAGAATTCACCAGAGCCAGAGCGGGGAGCAGAGCAGGCAGAAGGACCGAAGTACACTGCTGAGGGGAGCAGCGGGCGGCAGGAGAGGTCTGCGCGCCATGTGGGACCCTCCTCCGGTGGCCGGGGAGCAGCTGGGGATCGAACCGGCGTCGCAGAGGCCCCGGGCAGCTTCGCAACCCAGCGCTCAACTGCTGCGCCACCGGGGAGGCCCCCGCGCTTCTAACTGTACCTAGTGCGTGATAAATAAATACATAAATCTTAAAAAAAAAAAAAAAAACTGAGAGGAGGTGGTACATAAAGATGAACTCAAAATGACCAAAAGACTAGCCTTGTGAGCTGATCCTGCATGGACTGAGGTAGCATTTACTTTCCGCAGGCCAGCTGTCCTAAGAACTCTTGGACACATCCAATTAAAGTCTTTGTCTTGCTCTTCCTTATTACTAAAGGACTTTTGCTGGGAAATGAAAGTAGAGGTACCTTAAAGATGAGGAGGCTGCTCCTCTGTGGATATAGAATTACTTGAGAAATTATCAGGCTATAGAGAAATAGGTCTCAAATAGAGGACAGGGTGTTATCAAATTATCTTTGAATGATTTTTTTAATCTGTTTACTAATTTATCTAATTAAAAAGACTTTAAAATATTTATGTTCAAACTTCGGCTAGTTAATTGATTTTTTTTTTAAAGATTTACTTATTTATGCATACAAGAGCTGGAGTACAGGCCAGAGTTGTGTGTGTGTGTGTGTGGGGGGGTGTGTATGAGAAGATTCACCAGAGACAGAGTGGGGAACAGAACAGGTAGACTGACTGAAATACACTGCTGAGGAGAGCAGCAGGTGAGTCAGGAGCGGTCTCCTGCACCATGTTGGTTGCTCCCTGGCTGGCCGGGGGATTGAACTCATGCTACAGTGGCTGCGGACAGCTTCATAGGTTGCATCTTAACTCCTTGCGCTACCAGGGAGGCCCCTAGTTAATTGATTTTTTTAAAAAGTTGAGTTTTATTGAGGTATAAATCGTGTACTGTTAAATTCATTCTTTTAAAGTATCCAATTAGGGCCTCCCCGGTGGCGCAGCGGTTGAGCGCTGGGTTGCGAAGCTGCCCGCGGCCTCTGCGGTGCCAGTTCAATCCCCGGCTGCTCCCCGGCCACTGGAGGAGGGTCCCACATGGAGCGCAGACCTCTCCTGCCGCCCGCTGCTCCCCTCAGCAGTGTACTTCGGTCCTTCTGCCTGCTCTGCTCCCCGCTCTGGCTCTGGTGAATTCTCTCACCCTCCCGCGCTTCTGACTGTACCCAGTGCATGTATAAACAAAAAAAACAAACAAACAAACCAGCAAACAAATAAAGCATGCCTCTATAAAAAAAATAAATAAAAAAAAAAAAAAAAATAAAGTATCCAATTAAGGGATATTTAGTATGGTCACACAGTTGGGTAAACCAGCACAATTCATTTTTCATCTCATTACCCCAAAGAAACTTCTATACCCTTTAGAAGTTACTTGTCTGTCCATGTCTCCCAGTTCTAAGCAACCACTTGTTTACTTTCTAATATAATATGTGGTCTTTGGGACTACTTACTTTCATTGAGCATATTTTCAGTGTTCATCCATGTTGCCCCATGTATCAGTATTTCATGTTTATGACTGAATAATATTCCATTGTGTGGATAGATTACATTTTGTTTATCCATGCATCAATTGGTGGACACTGGGAGTGTTTCTACTTTTTGGCTGTTGTGAATGAAGCAATGTGTATTAAGTTTTTTTGTGCTTGTGTATTCAGTTCTCTTGGGTATACACCTAGTAGTGGAATCACTGGGTCTACAATTTTACAATGGTAACATTAATAAACTCCTTGAGGAACTGCCCTACTATTTTCCACACCATTTTACATTCCCACCAGCAGTGTATGAGAGTTCTAATTTCCCTACATCCTTAATACTTATGTCATTCTGATGCTAGTCATCCAGGTGGGTAGAAAGTATGATTTACTCTCTATCCCTACTTATTAAATAAATGCTACATCTTGCATACTAACCCTACCCACTTTTCTCCTCAGCTGAAACAGAACCTCATGAGGGAAAGAGGAAAGTGGAATCTCTGTGGCCTATCTTCAGGATCCATCACCAGAAAACCCGTTATATTTTTGACCTATTCTACAAGCGGAAAGCTATAAGCAGAGGTAATTAGCCAGAGTTCCTTTTGGTTTTCCAATTCATACTTTTCATATGTACTTAGTGACTCATATTCTTGCAACCTCAGCGAGTGTTGTGATTTTTCTTACTGGGGGGGCAGCAAAAATATTAGTCAAATGTTTTTTTTTTTTTTTTTTTTTAAAGATTTATTTATTCATTTATACAAGCACTGGGTACAGTCAGAAGCGCAGGAGGGTGAGAGAATTCACCAGAGCCAGTGCAGGGAACAAAACAGGCAGACCGATGAAGTACACTGCTGAGGGTAGCAGTGGGCGGGAGGTCTGTGCGCCATGTGGGACCCTCACCCGGCGGCCAGGGATTGAACTGGCGCTGCAGATTTGCAACCCAGCGCTCAACCGCTGCGCCACTGGGGAGGCCCTCAAATGTTCTTTTTTTTTTTTTTTTTGGTGGGACCCTAGCCCGGTGGCCTGGGATCGAACTGGCACTGCAGAGCCTCGCAGCCTTGCAACCCAGCACTCAACCGCTGCGCCACCAGGGGAGGCCCCCCTCAAATGTTCTTTTTAATGATGGCTAGTGATGGGCTGGAGTGAGGGAAGCTTTAGTGCACGTGGTCTGATGCCCTTTCTCTGTATTTTTGACAGAATTATATGAATATTGTATTAAAGAAGGCTATGCAGATAAAAACCTGATCGCAAAATGGAAAAAGCAGGGGTATGAGAATTTATGCTGCCTGCGGTGCATTCAGACACGGGACACCAATTTTGGAACAAACTGCATTTGCCGAGTCCCTAAAAGCAAGCTGGAAGTGGTAATCTCTCCATCCCTGTGGTGTCTTATTGAGCTTGACATTACTTTCAGTTCAGAATTCTGCCCTGGGTGACGTGAAAGGATCTTATATTATTTTGTTGGGCTAGAAGATAGTTTGTCATTGGTTGTCCTGTTGGCCTTCTTTCCTGGTAGTGAGCCCTGTGGGTAAGGAATCTGTGAGGCAGTTTGGCAATAATCACCTTTCTTAGGTCTGGGGCCAGTCTCAGCTCCACCTTTGGACAAGTAATTGAATGTTTGTTTTTTTAAGATTTATTTATGCATACAACAACTGGGTACAGACCAGAAGTGTGGAGGATGAGAGGATTCACCAGAGATAGAGTAGGAAGCAGAACAGCAGCAGCGGGTGAGACAGGAGAGGTCTGCTGTGCCATGTAGGTTCGCTTCTGGGTCAGGGATTGAACTCATGCTGCAGTGGCTGCCGATAGCTTCATAGTGCTGGGATTTAACCCCTTGCGCCACCAGGGAGGCCCTGAATGCCTTTCCTTGGTTAAGAAATGGAGGTGATAATACCCTCAAGGCAGCTAGGAGGATTACTTCAGGGAAGGATGGGCCAGTCAGCAATGCTTACCCTTAGGTAGGTCTTTTCCTAAGCCTCCTTTTCTTTGCAATGACACTTTGTTACCATTAGTGCATTTCTTCTGTCAGAACTTTCTGCTCAAACTAGGCTAAGCAGCTTTAAAAATGGAGCTGGGTGTGCAGTAGCTATGCTAGGGGTGGTGGCCCCTCTGAGATGGAGTTGCAGGAGGCAGAGAAGTTACTGGGATATTGGCTGTTAGTGGCCTTGAGTGTAGTAGCCCTCGGCTCAGCTGGGAAGTCAGGGCAAGCCACCCGTCTCCCAGCGTGGCTGCCCTTTCCCCAACTTCACACAGGTACCTCCACGTGGTTTTAGTTACAGGTTAAAAATTTTATTTTTAGGGGCCTCCCCGGTGGCGCAGCGGTTGAGCGCTGGGTTGCAAAGCTGCCGGCGACCTCCGCGGCGCCGGTTCAATCCCCGGCTGCTCCCCGGCCACCGAAGGAGGGTCCCACATGGCGCGCAGACCTCTCCTGCCTCCCGCTGCTCCCCTCAGCAGTGTACTTCGGTCCTTCTGCCTGCTCTGCTCCCCGCTCTGGCTCTGGTGAGTTCTCTCACCCTCCCGCGCTTCTGACTGTACCCAGTGCATGTATAAAACAAAAAACGAACAAACAAATAAATAAATTTAAAAAAAAAAAATTTATTTTTAACAGTTTAAAAATTTTATTTTTAAATTTTTAAAAAAGATTTATTTATTTATTTATACAACCACTGGGTACAGTCAGAAGTGCGGGAAGGTGAGAGAATTCACCAGAGTGGGGAACAGAACAGGCAGACTGACGAAATACACTGCTGAGGGGAGCAGCGGGCACGGCAGGAGAGGTCTGTCACACCATGTGGGACCCTCGCCGGCGGCTGGGGATTGACCGGCGCTGCAGAGGCTGCAGGCAGCTTCACAGCCCAGCGCTCAACCACTGCGCCACCAGGGGAGGCCCTCTAGTTACAGTTTATATAGAGCTACAATTCTGGATCAAGAGCTTTAACTTAGCAGGCAACTATCTCCCTGAATTACCCAGAAGCTGGAGGACAGGCATGCAGAACAGTGGAGAGTAAGCACGGGCTAACTCCCCAAGAGGAGGCTTTCCTGGGTGCTGGTTTTCTGGTGGGAAAGGAGAGGGTAGCAGAGTGACAGAAGTCCCCAGGATTCTGTGGCAGCATCTGGTCTGGTGCTGCCCCAGTCATGTGGCCAGAATAAAGTCACCTTTAGGTTTGAGTTTCACTAGATTGTTTGCTTGCTCAATGGTCTTGCTCCTCCCCCAAAATGAAAAGGTAAAATAAATGCAAATCAGTGTACTAGGCCTGTCTGCTGGGCAGAACCCCCAGCCACACACTGAGCACACCTTGTTTGGGGACAAGACTATTCTCTCATAGACATTCAAGTACACATCCTATTTCCCTCCTCCTCCCCCCTGCCCCCAAGGTCCCCAGCCAGAGGTGGCCCTGAGGCCCTTGGCACTGACCCCTCCTGGGCAGTAGCAGATCCACCTCTAGCTCATTGCAGGACACGTCATGTTCACATAGGATAACAATCACTCTCAGATTTTTTTCCCCCCTTTTGTGGGGCAAGTATGTATGTTGAATCTGCATAAATACACTTAGTGTTATGTAGCTGTTTCATCTTCACCAAGGAACCTAATAACCGCCATCCAGAACTGTCAAGGAGGGATTTCTGAGGCATGTCCTGTGGAGAATGAATGACCTTTCTCAGGATGTGAGGCATTTGGCTGGCGGGAGTGCGGGGTCTCAGCTGTCCTCTTTTGCAGGGCCGGATCATTGAGTGCACTCACTGTGGCTGCCGGGGCTGCTCTGGTTGAGGCCCTCAGGCTCTGACCCCTCTCTACCCTGGACTTTGGACTTCGCAGGACTCTGCCACCCTCAGAGAAAGCAGCTTTTCTTGCGGAGCAGTGCCCCACGCCCATGCTGGAGCATGGCCTCTCCAGGTGAAGGCTTTGGGGTTCTTCATCTGTGATTTGTAGAAATAAAACTTTGAAATCTCTTGGGCCCTGCATTCATTCTTTCACAGAGCAGCAGTCTGTGGGAGAGCAGCAGGTGCTGGAAACCAGAGGCCTTGGAACTGGATCCAGACGCTTACCTCATAGGTGCTTTGTAACCACGAGCCAAGTTCACTCATAAGCCATGATGACAACAACCTGTCAGGCAAGGATGGCCTGAGATGAGGGGCCAAAGCTTGAGCTTTGAGCTGCCCTTGAGTCTGCTGTGAACTTGCCAAGCACCCTGGATCCAGCATTTGTCTTCATACCAATGCTGGCAAAATGCTGTAGCTTACTCTGAGCTAGAACTTTCCCTCAGGCTTGAGGCTACAACAGCACATTCATGTGTCTTTAACATGAAAGGGACTCCTGGGGTTCCCCCAAGGCACGCTGAAGGCCATGCATGTTACTCCACCTCTGCTGGAGGTCCTTGGGGCTTCCTCATCACCTGCCCCCAAGGCCTCCATCCATATCAGCCTCAGTGATGGTGTCTTGGTCCTCCTTGCGTTTGGTCTGGAACTTCTGCCACGGGTGGGGGGTTTCCTCTGCTGGCATCACTTTCAGCCACTGCTTATAATAAGCACGGAAGCCATCAATCTTCTCCAAGTAGGTGTTTTTTCCTTTGTACTATGAAAGGAAAAGTGTGGGGTTCAGGGATTTGGAGGAGCAATGGTTTGAATCACTGCATGTTGCCTACAGCTAATCCCAAACGTGGCAGCTGTCTCTGGCCTCAGGGGAGAGGGTGGTTTACAGCAGAGAAAGTCACTGTAATGTGGGGCAGGCCCAGATTCCCATCTGCTGCTTTTCCCAAATACATGTAGCTGTGCTCCCATACTCAGGTCACCCCAGCACCCCAAGCTAGGTTCCCACCAACTCTGCCTCCAGAGTAGAGTGGCTCCCCCTCAGTACAGCCACCTCCCTGCTGACCATCTCGACAGGGCTGCAGTATGGGCTCTATGAAGAGAAGAAAAGTAAGAGGCAGATACCAAAAGGAAGCCGGTAGAAGAATACATAGGAAAAAAACAGGTAAGGGGCTATCGGAGACAAAGACTGTTACCAGACGACGAAGGGCTTGCTCCAAAAGATGTACCTAATGTAGCCTGAAAATACAGGAAATTGACAGGCACAAACAGAAGTCACTGTCACCGACAGTATGAATGCAAGGGCTGGATACATGGGCTTTAGGCCCATGATGTGTGGCAACTGCTGATTGTGCCTGGGAAAGACGCACACAGAGACTAGTCTCTGGGATACATAAGGAACTGAGCATAAGACTGACAAAGGTGTTGGCTCTGCCCTCTGCTTGGAGCACTCTGTTGCTGTCTCACTAATTCTTTCTTCGCTTTTTTTTTTTAAAGATTTATTTTTATTTATTTATACAAGCACTGGGTACAGTTAGAAGCGCGGGAGGGTGAGAGAATTCACCAGAGCCAGAGCGGAGAGCAGAACAGGCAGACTGACGAAGTACACTGCTGAGGGGAGCAGCGGGCGGCAGGAGAGGTCTGCGCGCCATGTGGGACCCTCCTCCTCTGGTGGCTGGGGAGCAGCCGGGGATCGAACCGGCACTGCAGAGGCTGCGGGCAGCCTCGCAACCCAGCGCTCAACTGCTGCGCCACCGGGGAGGCCCTCTTTCTTCGCTTTCTAAATGGCACTCAAGCAATGCACCTACAGAGGCATCCATAACCCACGTACCACCCCGCCCCCTACCCTTGCTTTGTGTCTTCAGGGTTGTGGCCCTTGAGGCCACAGCTGCTTTGGAGTTGTTTAGCACAGACCAGAATCAACAGACCCAAAACCTGAACCCTCAGAGCCCGATATCCTCAACAGCAGAGAGGTGACCATTATAAAAAATTGCGTACCGCCCCCATCTCCCTCAGGCAAATGAGCAGGCACAGGGAGTCCAGGGGAGCAAGGCAGACAGTTTCTGTCTCTAAAGGCTATGAGTGCATGAAGGGGAGCGCTGCACATGACTGCAGGCTGGGACACCTGAGAAAGGAATTGCTTGCTATGTGACAGGAAGAGACGCAGTCAGCAGGGATCTCTAAGATGCCATTTAAGTTGAGGCCAGCAGGAAGAGAGGAGCTGGTTTTGTGAAAAGCAGGAGGAGCCTATTCAGAGGGAAGATGAACACCCCAAGGCAGGGGTAGGGTGGGGTGGGGTGGTGTGATGGAAGGCAGGTGGGACTACAAAAGCCAACAAAGGGAAGAGTGGGCTCAGAGGACTCCTGGCTCTCGAAGGAGTCTGACTTCTCCAAAGGGAAGCCACTGGACCGTTTAAAGCAAGACATGGCAATCCTCAAGGCCAGAGGCAGGAGCAGGGGTGGGTGGTGCATGGAGATGGACATGAAGAACTTGGTGCACATACCCGGTCAAAGGTGGGGGGATACTGGGCTGCAAATTCCAGCTGGCGTATGATCACTTCGTTCACTGGGACTTGGGTTTGCCTCATGTCCTTCAGGATGTTGATGAGATAGGAATAGTCAAGCTTCTTGAGGGCTGCGTTGATGAGGGTGCTGTAGATGTGGGTGTTGGGGGTCATCTGGGACTTCTGGAACAACATGGACATACTGTCAATGAGGTGACAGTGATGACAGTGATGTGTCCAGCTTGGGCAGTGAAGCTGCCAGCCAGATAGTTCTGCAGATCAGCAGCCAGGGACTAGTGAGGTGGAACCTTGGACCAACATGGCTGTACCCTGCCTTCAAAAATAAAGCACTGGTGCCCCACACGGTGAGTCTACTCCACAGGACCCTGCCCTATCAGTTCTGAAAAGCTGGGGAAAAAAAGAGTGTTGCTCACAGAGAGTAGCTCTAAATGATGAGCAGGAGACCACTGACCTTGACTGTTGGCTCTTGGTTACTCTACCCCTTGCCCACTAAGAACTCTGACACATCCCTACTCTGGTTTACCCTCCATCCCTCCAGCAAGTTGGAGCCAAAACCTGTCCCATCCCTAAATCTCACCCCATGGCTGCCACCTTCAGGATCACATACCCCTTGGTCTCAAAGCCTACTCCGACAGCAGCTGACTAGGGCCTGCTCTAGGCTGATGACCACCGAAGCTAGAGCGACCCCACTCTCCTTGCCCCCGTGAACAGTTTATCCCATCCAGGTACAAAAACGGAGGTTTGGGAATGTCCCCCACCCCCAACCAGCTTTCTCCCCAAGCACACCAAATGCTCCTCAGCACCGCCAACGTCCTGCCCACACCTGGGCCTGCTCACCTTCATGTCTACAAGCAGCTGCAGACCATCACCTGGCCTATGGCACCCAATGGCCAGGTTACAGAATGTCTGCAGATTGGGGACGATCCCCCTCCTTGCCAGAACTGGCAGCAGCGCCTGTTGGGACAGACACACATGGCATCACTGTTGGCTGTAGCCCGCCAATCCTGGGGCAAGTCCCTGCTGGTGTAGAAGCCTGTGGCTGGATGCTAGAGAACCCAGGGGCAGAGTTAGTTCTGAGGCTTCATGGCTCCCTCTGCTGGCCACACTGGGAGCTGGTTCAACTTGGCATTCAAGGCCCCTGTCCTCGCCAGCCTAGCTTTCAGGGCACAGCTCCCCAGAATTCTCTGCAACTGCATCCTGACTTCTAGTCTGCCTGTCTCCAACATGCTGTTCCTTCTCCTCGAATGCCCTTCATGTCCAGGCCCTTCCCGACTCCTCAGTTAGCCAGTCATCCCCACACTCAGGCCTTCCAAGTCAACCAAGCACTGAGGGCCCTGAGGGCCTGTGGTCCCGGGCAGGAGATGCCCACGTCAGTGTGGGAAGTGCTGGCCAAGGGGTCCCAGGCCCAGAGAGCCAGCCCCACAGTCCAGAGCAGAGCAGGGAGGCCCTTTACCTTGGCGCCCTCCAGATCACCGAGCTTGCTCTTCTTCCTCACCAGCGTGTTGAAGAATGTCACGTCAGCCTCCACCTGGTATGTGTCCAGGATGGTCAGCAGCGAAGATTCTGCAGGGCTCCCAGGTGCCACAACTTCAGCCAGCAGAGTGAGGGTTTTGATGTCGGGCTGCAACCCATCCTCTGCCATCTTGCCCAGAAAGCCCTGCAGACCCCCCATTAAGGCCAGTCTGTCAGCTGGAGTGGTCACAGTCCCAAAGGAAACTACAGCTGGGGAGACTGCCTCGAGGGTCAGGAGGTTGGTCCCCAGTCCCAAAGGAGATGGCTTCAGGGCCACAGAGGTAAGGGCCCCCCTGTGGTCAGGCACCACCTTGAATTCTGCCACAAGTTGGGTGTTGCTGGAGGCTCTGGCCTCCTGAGACTCTGGAGGCTCTTCAAATGCCTGAGAAGGTTCCAGAAACAGCTGCTTCTCCAGGGCTTCCACGTGCAATCTGGCTGCCAGACTATTGCTCACCCCAGCTGGGGCTCTCCTTCTGGCCTGCTGCACACCTGCTGGGGCCTGGAGTGGGACTGTCTCCTCTGTGGGCCTCAGCAGCAATGCTGAGGCCACCTCCGGGTCCCCCAGGCCGCAGTCCCGAGCTGCTCCCAACAGCAGATTGTAGCCATGCCGGCTCGGCTTGAGCCCTAGACTCAGCATCTTCCTCCACACCTGCCCGGGAGAGACAAGGCTCAGCTTTGTGCTCCCTCAGAGGAGCGTCGGGGGAAGAAGCACTGAGGGTCAGTGACCAATCAACAAAAAGGGTGGAGAAGGTCCCAGAAAGTGTCTAGTCAACTACTAGGCTCTGGACAACTAAGAATCTTAAAAACATGGCGATTCTGGGAGACTTCAAAGGGGCTGGCTTACCCCAAAACTGTTCTTGCTGTTATATCCATCTGGCCTCTCCCAGGGTCTTTCCCAGGCAATGGACTTTGTGCTGGATCTCGGCCCCCCACTCTATATTCTCTTGGGAGGGACAACCAGAAAGACTAGGTTTTGGAAGAGTCTAGGTCATCTTAAGGATTGGGTTCTGCTGCACTTCCTGAGTGCCTACTGTGCCACACACCCTGCAGCCTTCTGACACTTCCTTAGCCATGGCTGAGGAGCAGACGTGGAAAGGCAGAGCGCCTCATTGGCTGTGGACCCGGTGGGCCCATTTCCTCAAGAAATGAGGTCATTCTCATGCCTGCAGCACAGAGTCTTGTACATGCTACACACAGCAGCTCTGATTGCCTGGAAGGCAGAGGCAGGAGGGACAGACCTGCAAGGCGTGTCGGAAACCCGTCTTCTTGTCCTGGATGCACCCCATGAGCAGGAAGCTGAAGGTCTCCTCTGTAACCGCATGCCCCTTGTGGACTATTTCCTGGGGGAAGAAACAAGATCTAGCTGAGACGCTGCAGCAGAGCCCGGCCTGCCCTGGGGTCTACGTGCTGCTCAAATCTGGCGCTGGGCTGGCTCAGAACCAGCTCCTAAGCAGAGCTGTCCAGCTGCTACGGCACTCCTCCTCCTCCACCTCCCAGTCCCCCTTCCCGGTTCTGCTATACTGCTGTGCAGCCCCCAGCAGGATGACCAGGCGGTCACCTCTAGCCCCTATAGCAGAGCTGGTTTCAAGGCCCAGCTTCACCATTTGCCTCACTAGGAGTGTGGACAAGGCAATAAGCTCCCTGGTTCCCAGCTGCCGCATCAATGGCAGCTCTGTGAACTGGAAATAAACACCCTTCCCAAAGGGTTGGGGGTAGAAGAGGATACAGGCCCCCGCCAGCATCCCCATGCCTCCCCTCATCTGCTTCCCTTAAACCTGACACAATGACCTACATTTTCCACGGCTCCCTGATGCCAGGTCTCCCTGCTCTTCCTAGCAGAAGGCCCTCCCCAGTGAGCATTTATAAAAATGCATCTTTAAGGCTATGAAGCCCACCCTCCTCCCTGGCACCATGGAGTCCCACCCAGCACCCAGTACAACCCATCCCCTATTCCGTCAGAACCAGGCCTCTGAGAACAGAGTTTTAGCAGATTCATCTGTGAACCTGAGGCCAGCAGAGGGGTATCTCACTGGTCTTTGAACCGTCTTGCATAAGGGGAACAGACAGTTGCAGCCTCACACCTGCCACACACAACTGGCCCCAAGTAGGGGACAGGAAAGAAGGGGTAGCCCCACCTTGAAGATATCGAGGCACATCCTGAGGTCTGCGCACATGGCAGCCATTTTTAGCAGGGCATGGTATGTTTTCAAGTTGAACTGGAAGTTTCTCTCCTGGAGCTGCCGCCGTAGCTTCAGGGCACTCTGCAGAGCAGAGTCCTTCCAGGGGGACTCAGCACAGACATTGAACAGGGCTGTGTATGTTGCATCTGAGGGCACCAGGTCCCGCTTCTTCATCTGTGGAGATGGGAAGACAATGGAAGTGGCTCCAGGACCAGCACAGCTGACAGCCATCCCCAGGGAAGCCCGAAAGGATGTGTTGCTGCACAAACAGGGTGAGCTCAGGCAGAGCTGAATGACAGGGTCCAGCTCTCCAAATCCATCACTCACCCTGAAAGCTGACCCCAATGCACCAGACAAAAGACCATTTTCCCCAAGGTGCTCATCAGTCCTGTGGGCCTGAGGTGCCTCCAGCAAGGTCCTCTCACAGCTCCCATCCTGCACTCAATGGGGTTGCCCTGACTGCCGAGGGGCCACACAGCGGATCTGGTGTAGGGAAGGGGGTGAGGAGGCAATCAAACCTGAGCTCCAGTGCCTCCCCTTGGGAAAAAGTAGGCGATACCATCACCTTGAAAGGCTGTTTCAAGGGTGAGGTAGGAGTGGCCCCAGCAGCACGTGTGGGGTGAGGATGGGAGAGAGAAAGGGAATGTGACAGCAGGACTAGCAGTAGAAAGGGAAGGGACAGGTGAAGGGAGAGGTGGAAACTGCTGTGGTCCAGGCACCTGCTGGAGGCCTTTCGACGTCACCTCTTGTAATTCTCTAAGATGACCTCATTTTACAGAGTATGACTGAGCCAGAGGTTAAATCGTCTGCCCAGAGTAATGTACTAGCACGTGACACATTCAGGATCCTCACCCAACTCTTTGGTCCCAAAGCTCCTGCTCTTTAGAGCTTCATCCGCGCTGCCTGAGCCCCACACTCACGTCGTTATAGAGCCGGAACGCCTTCTTCAGGTAGCCAGCCCGCCCACAGCCCCCAATCAGCACTGTGTAGTTGCACTCCAGGGGCTGCAGCCGCTCCTCCTTCAGCATCTGCCTCTCAAACAGGTCCAGGGCCTCGGCGAGCTGGGGGCAGGGAGGAGAGAGGGAGTAATAAAGGAGTGGGCTCAGGACAGCCTCAGTGAAGGGAGACTAAGGCTGAGAGACCCTCCCTGAATGCAAGACCAGGCCTGTGCAGAAGTCAAACACTCACCCTGGACTGTGTGACCAGCTTCTTGGTCCCTGTACTTTGCAGCAAAGGAGCCACATGGTGGTGAAGAAGGAAAGCCAACCAGACTCCCACAATGGTGGGAGCTCTCAGCCCCACTGCCAGACCTGCCCTCCCCTGGCCGGAGGGTGGCTTTCTTGAGGGCAGGACTGTCTGCATTTCTGTGGGCTAGACTGGAGTCAAGGCCTGGCACTCACCAAATCCTTAGAAATGTTAATTCTGTGAATCCCAGGATCCACCCTGCCCTTGCTTCCTGGGTGACCCCATCTGTAGTGCCAATCACTGGGTCTGAGCTAGAGGAAAGACTGGGCTCTGACCAGTGTGATACACATCTCAGAGCCACACGAGTGCAGGGGCCATTCACAGAGACACTCCCGGCTGCAAGCAGCCTGTGACTAACCCCCTCTGGTTGCAAACCCCTTAGCCCACAGCTGTCTTTGCCCCATCCCCACCCCTAACCACCTCCCCTTTAAATATTTGATTCACTCCTTCACACCTTAAGATTATTTTATTCATTCATTCAACCAATAATAATTGAGTCCTACTAAGAGGCGGGTAAAGTCTAGCTTGGGTATCCAACTGTGAACAGAGGAAACTCAGCCTGGAGTTTCATGAAGCTCATCCTCTATATGAAATGACAGACACCAAATGAGATAACTAAGAATAACATATCCTGTGCCAAATGGTGACAGGTGCTATGAACAAAAATAAAGCAGGATGTGCCAGAAGTGTGTGGGAGATTCACTTTTTGATGTCAGCCAAGAAGGGCCTCACCCAGAAGGTGGCAGATGAATAAAGATCTGAAAGTGAGGGAGCTGGAGCAGCACACAGCAGTGGGGGTAGCTGAAACTGAGTAAGTGAGGGGAAGGGAGATGAGCAGAGAGAGGCAAATAGCGGTGGAGGGGGGCAGATCTTTCAGGTTTCATTAAGCATGGCGAGGACTTTGGCTTCTTTTTGATTTTCAATTTTTCATTATGGAAAATTTAAAATATATACAAAAGTGGAGAGAATATCATAACTATGATTATTAACATTTGGTCAATGGTATTTCACCCATACCTCTCATTCCCTCTTCAAATTAAGTTCTTTAAAGCAAAGTCCAGACTTCCTGTCATTTCATCCATAAAATCCTCAATATACACCTCTGTGAGATTTTTTTTAAAAAAACTATTTATGCATACCAGAGCTGGGGTACAGGCCAGAGGTATGGGGAGTGAGAGGATTCACCAGAGACAGAGTGGGAAACAGAATAGGCAGATGTACTGAAATACACTGCTGAGGGGAGCAGCGGGCAAGAATGAGAGGTCTGCTGTGCCGTGTGGGTAGTCCCCTGGCCGGGGATTGAACTCATGCTGCAGTGGCTGCGGATAGCTTCATAGTGCTGCAACTTAACCTCTTGCACCACCAGGGAGTCCCCCCCGCCGTGAGATTTTTAAAAGATAACTGGAATATCATTATCGATTCCTAAGAACATGAGAGTTCAGGAAAGAGGAGGAACATGACCTGTGTTCCGTTTTCACAGGTGCAGATGTGGGGGTAAGAGAGGTGGGGAATCTAGAGACAAGTATCAGAACAGCTGAGGGGAGCAAGGAGTTGCTAGGTCTAGGGTTCAGAAGTAGGGTCGTGAGAAGTGTTAGGGTTGGCAATATTTTGAAGCTGGAGCTGGTAAGCCACGTTAGGAATGACCTGACCACCACTGGGCCTCAGTGGAGAGAACAATAGGGCTGCCATTTAGTGAGATGAGAAAGTGTAGGGAAAACTACACTTGCCAACCCAAGTTAGTCAACTATATTTGGGAACAAATAAGTCAGGCCCATGTGGGTAAACGTAACGGAGATGGCAAGGAGGTAGCTGGAAACACAGATCGGGAGTTCATAGGAAGGTAGGGCTAGAGATGTAAAGGTGGGAACTGCAGTGAGGAGTTCCAGAAGGCTGCAGGTCCCCTGGCGCAGCACCCAGGGAAAGAGAAGACAGAGAAGGGTCCTGAGCATCCCAACAGTGGGAGATTGGGAAGGCAGGGCAACCACTCACAGCACTGAGCTGCGCAAAAGTAGGAGCCAGGAGCAGGAGAAGACAAGAGTCCCTCACCTTTCCTTCCTTGATCAGGCGTTTGCACTGAAAGAAGTACCAATAAGGAGTGTTTCTCTGGCCCCGCCATGGTTTGGGTTCTAGTTCCCTTTGTTCATCTTCACCGCTCTGTTCCCTGAGCCGTAGGTTATATAACTGGGCCGTTGATTTGCGGAACATTCTCCGGGAAGAGTATTTGTCAGAGAGAGTCCCAAAGCTCTCCTCCTCCTCTTCCTCCTGGCTGGCCCTGGGAGTGGGCTGGCTGGGGTCAGAGCTGAGGCTGCTAATGTTCTTCTGGTTCCCCTGACCAAGGGGCAGCTGAGAAAGGGAGCTGCTGAAGGTTGCTGGCACCAGCCGCATGAGCCCTATGGCCCTCAGCCCTGGAGGCCCCTCACTGCCTCCTGCCCACTTGGCTCTGCAAGGGTCCAGGTATCGCAGCACAGATTGTCCCATGGGCCGGGAGCCACAGAAGAGCCGGGTGAGTCTCATAAGGTCCATCTCTGGTTTTCCTCTCCAGAACCTGATGGAAGAAAAATAGTTGACTAACTTGGGTTGGCAAGAAAAAGCAGAAAAAGCTCATGATTACAAGCATGAGCTCTGATTAGAAAGACAAGTTTCGGATTTCAGCTCTGCTAAGTAACCATGTCTTACTAAATACTCACTACTCTGGCCTCAGTCTCCTCACCTATAAACTGGGATTACAGTAACATTGTAGCAATAAATGAATGAGGTCTCAGATACACAGTGTGCAGCACAGAGCTGGCACTCAATAGACATAAGCTCTTAATATTTTCAAGTCATGACATAAGAGATCTGGCACTGAGATGGGGGCTGACTTTGAGTCCTGGCCAAAGTTATGTGACCCAGCTCATGACTTGACCTTCCCATGCCTCAGTTTCTTCAGTTGCAAGGTGAAGAGACTCCTACTCACATCACCAAAGTTATTATATGAGAAATTTTTAGAATAATTCCTGGCATTTAACAGCTACTCAAAATATAGTAGCTATTATAATTTATCATTAGTATATCTGGCCTCTGCACAGGGAAGCTGAGTATTTCTTTTCTGTAAAATTTGTGACTATGTGCTAGTTATGCTGTTCAATACAGTGGCCACTGGCCTCAGGTGACTACTGAGCACTTAAAATGTGACTAATCTGAATGGAGATGTGCTGTTAAGTGCAAAATTTCAAAGATTTCAAAGGCTTTGTACAAAAAAAAAATACACACATAATTGTTTTCACCGGTTGAAATACTATTTTGGATTCTATCACCTAAAGAAAATTTAATTTCAGTTTTTTAAAACTTAATGTGGCTAGCTGAAAATTAAAAACTACACATTTGCATTACATTTCTGTTGGACAGTGCAGAACTAGAGACCCTGGTCTGCAAATTCTTGTTCTTGAAACTCTTTAATGAAAATAGCAAAAATAACCAGCATAAAATATTTTAAGTTTCGGTGATGTTAGAAGGTCACAATTGGAAAGACCTCAGAAGTGATGGCAGATGGAAGAGATCAACAACTGAAGACCTGGGAGGAGAGAGACTCCCTGGAGCCCTGCAGCACTGTGATGAGTTGAGCAGCTTGGAACCCAGGTCCAGGTTGTGGATTAGCCTTTCTTATTCAGCCCCTAGTGAAATCCCGGCACTGGCCTTTAACCATTTCGCATCTGGCGACGCCAGTGACTCCCAACAGGAATATAACGTGAGCACATGTCTTCAAGTAGCCACGTCAAATAAAGCATTTACATGCATTAATTAAAATAGTTACCAAAAAAGAAAAACCAACCCAATGATATCGAAATAGGGATCAAAAAATTTCAAGTGAAACTTGCCCTACGCTAGTCCAGACGCGTATTAACGCACTAAAGGACAGCCCCGTCCTAAGGCAAAGCGAGGAGGAGTGAAGCCTCGAGCGTCGCCTGCAGGCGCAGCGGGCACTCTCCGGTCTCGCTGACACGCACCCCGACCTGGGGATACGACCTGATTTTGGACTTAACGCTACTTCCAGGTCTCCGAAGGAAAAGACGACTTTCAGAGAGAACACAGGTGAAATTTTCTTCCTACCCGAGCTCGCTAACCTCTCAATTAGGGGCCCGCAGACGCCCCCGGGACTCTCGCGCCGAAGCCGAGCCCTCCGCTGGGCTCCAGACGCAAGGTTTCCTCACGGCCACTGCTGCCCCTCTGGCCAGTCCGCCCCCACCCCGGCCCCGGGCTCCAGTGCGGGTCGAACAACAACTCGCGCCCGGAGCCCGACTCGGAGAACGTCCCCAGCCGACAGGGCCCCGCAGGGCCGCCCCGCGCACACGGCGCTCCGTCCCCGCCGCCCGCCTCCGGCCGCGCAGGCGCAGGCGCAGGCGCAGGCGCGTCGCGAAGGCCCTACCCGCGAGATTTTAGGTTACCAGCGGCCCCAGGGCTCCGCGGGCTTTCGGCTGGCGGCTAGTCGAGCCTAGCGGAACGACGCTTCCTCCGCGCTCGATTGGCGCAGTCTGGACGGGCCTCGAGCCGGCGCGGGCTTCGGGCGCTCCCGGCATCCCTCGGGCGGCGGCGGCGGCGGGGCGGCGGCGGGGGAGCGGGCCGTGTGCTGCGGGCCCCGGCGGGTGGAGGTGTGAAGGCGACCGAGGACCTGAGGGGGAGTCGGGCCGGTGGGGCCGCCGCCGCCGCCATGCAGGAAATCATCGCCAGCGTGGACCACATCAAGTTCGACTTGGAGATCGCGGTGGAGCAGCAGCTCGGGGCGCAGCCGCTGCCCTTCCCCGGCATGGACAGTGAGCGGGGGCCGCGGCGGGGCCGGGGCGGGGCGGGGCGCGGGCCGACCGGGCCGGGGCGCCCCCCGGGGCCCGGGACTCCTCCCTTAGGACCCGCGACCCTCCTGCTTGAACTCACAACTCCCTCTGTGGCCCCGGGACGTCCCCCTCCCGCTCCGTCCCGGGGCGCTTCTCCCTGCACCTCCCGTCTTCCCTCGGACCTTCCGTTCTGGGACTTCTCGAAAGTAACTTAGGAGGGCAGGACCGAGTCCGGTGGTTCAGCATCCTGGCCTGGAAGTACTGGTCTTCAGCCCCCGCCAAGCCACCGCCCGCCCTCTTTGAGCCCCCTCTTATTTACATTAAAACGGGGCGCTTGGAGCAGTCTTGCAGAGAGAGAGAGCTCCTCTCCTCTCCCTAGGAGACCCCCAGCTACACTTTTCCTCCTGTGACTGGCACTTTCCGGACCGCTCCCTCACTTTTTCTGTGGACCCCAACTCCGAATCATTCATCACACCCCGTCAGCTGCCTGAGCTCCCTCCCATGGTGACTCCTATCCCCCACCAACTCGCAGGGGATGTCTAACACTGTAAGGGGAACTAGCACTTTTCTTTCTGGACACACTTGAAATCTAATGCTATAATGTGAAAACGCAGAGGGCTGAGTTCATTCCACCATGGGGCGCTGGGCAAGGGGACTCATCGCGCGGTGGAACTAGGTGAGCGCTCTGTTCACGACTGGATTTGTCTGCAACTGCCGAGGACTGTGGCCTGTCCTCTCCCGCTGGTCGCTGAGCTGGTAGAGCCCCATTCCCTGCAGGTTACTGTACTTCTCATGCACATGTGACCTCTAAGTTGTCCCTCTGACACTTCTGTGCAAAACAGGGCTTATACCTGAGAGACATAGCCTCAAACAACTGTTTTACACATGCACAAGCTCCATATTTACCGTACACTGCTTATAAGCAGCTGCTCTAGTTCAAATAGTCTCTTAACTACACCTCCACCACATTCATCTCATACACAGGCCTTTTCCTGTGCTGATGGCACTAGTTTGAATTCATGGAACCATCCTATACGCAATTCTTTACCTCCCACCTTACTCCAGCCCAGATCCTTGAGCCTATGAGGCAGCTTGTGAGGGCCCACAAATCTTTTTTAGGGGTGGGCGAGGGACATGTCTGGCCATGGTTGCTGCCCCAGACCTCAGATTTGGTAAGTGCTCTCAGAACTCACTGCTGCCCTGGATTGTTTAAAGTCCAGTGAGGCCACAACGCTCCCTCATCATTTATTCCTGTCTTAGTTTGGGGAAGTACTGTGGATACTGCCCTGAAATCCAGTCCACAGGACTGTGGACTTCTCGCTTTAAGGAATGAAGCAGTCTTAACCTCCGAAAAGACTAAAAGCGCAGAAATATTCTTCATCGGTACAATTTTTAGTGTAAGACTTCAGATTTTTTGAAATGCAAATAAGTGACACCTCTGTGACTCCCAGTTATACAATTTTAAGTCTGTCTTAGCAAAATCTACCTGTTTCCAAGAAGCCAGGAGGTCTCTAATGTGTTATTGAGGAGAGGTACATAAGTGGGCTTCAGAGCTGCTGTTGGTGCTTTTAAGCAATTATAAAATGTCTGCTAATAGAGAAAATTATAAAACACTGACAGTTGATTCTAGTAGTGATGGCAGGGAAATTCCTGGACTCATTAGAATAGTTTGTCCCCCACGGAGCCTATGCCTTCCCCCACATTCAGCCTTTCTTTTCATGCCCCCCTCACCTGAACTGACTGCATCTGCAGAAGGGAGAGCCTGTGCTCCTTTGATCACTGTGTGCTGGTTTTATATGTTCACGGTAGTCCCACTTCTGTGTTTTTGCTTATACTCATCCCTCTGGAATAGCATCTCTATTATGCCAGCCTCTTCTCTGGAGCCAGTTCCTCTTTAGGGTCCCCGTTCCTTATTTGTGCTTCCTGTAAAATCACCCCCTCCCTCTGTCCCTCTGCCTCAAGTACCTGTCACTTAGCCCTCTGCAAAGTCTGAGCTGGGGGTAATTAACTCTATGGTCTTATGCTCCAGCTTCCTTCCTCACCCACTCTTAACTCCTTGCTTATAGAATGCTTACAAGCATCTTGCTTATAGGAAGCTCTGAGAAAGCACCGAGTAATGACTGGTCTCAATGCTTATGCCTTATTTTGCAGAGAATGACTGATAAATAGCTTTTTCCCTTCTTTGGCCAGCTTTGTGGTATTTTTGCCAGTCTGTTTCTTGTACCCTACACTGTTCATGAGAATAGTTTCCTCCTCCTGTTTTCAGACATTGTCAGTTGGGTTGCAGTTGCACCTAGTTTTGTCTGATGCCTCACCTTCTCTCTCCTCTTGCAGAGTCGGGGGCTGCTGTCTGTGAATTCTTCTTGAAGGCCGCCTGTGGCAAAGGTAAGAGACCTCTGGCTCCCTGAAATTCCTCCTGGGCTGCCTTTCCACCACTCTGTCCCCTTGCTGACTTGTAGGCTCTTGGGTTTGCGTTGCTTTCTGCACATTAACGGTGTCCCTACATGAAACTGGGGCTTGGGTGGGCTGGGAACATAAGCATGTATTCTGTGTGAAGCCTGAAACAGGACTGAAGTTGGCTCTGGGTCTGCCTCCTCGCCTCACTTTTCCTGTGGCTGTGAGCTGACCTGTGACATAGACAGGTCACCAACACTGAGGCGTTCAGGACCTTTGTGAAGGTTGCTGTGAATGACTGAGACTAGCATCTGAAGCCAGGCCTTTCTGATTCTCTACACAATCCGTATAGGCTCTGTGGCCTCTCCTAAAAAACCCATGAGATAGTCTGTCTCGTAGAGTCTTGTTCACATTAACCCTGCCCTAAGAGCTAGATGCCTCAATCATTTGTAAGGAGAAATATCTCTGGTTAGGACCTTATTTGCCATGTATATAGTTCTGGGCAATTTTCTTCCTGTAGACAGATTTATTTGGAAACTAAATTTTGATTAGAAGTTTGAATATGGAGCATGGAATTAGATTAGGGTTGATGATTTTGTCGAATTGTGGTTCTATAACAGTCAGTTTACCACCGAAGCAACATACCTGCCAGGTAGGTCAACTAGGTGGGCCTCAGGCTATCCCCCACTAGGCTTCTGTCTCCTTGGCTCAGTGATTCTGCCCTTCTGAGCAGCCACCTTTTCTTAACATAGCCGTCCTTAGCATGCACGACGACCGTCTCTGCGTTAGCTAATATAGTAGTCACTAACCACGAGTGGCTATTCAGATTTAAATTAAAATTAAATAGAATAGAAAATGCAGGCCCTCCCTCGTGGCACAGGGTTTAAATTCTCAGCACTATCACGCTATCGCCAGCCACCCACATGGCACAGCAGACCTCTCCTGTCTCCCTGCTGCTCCCCTCAGCAGTATGTTTCAGTAGATCTGCCTGTTCTGCTCCCCACTCTGTCTCTGGTGAATCCTTTCACTCCCCGTACCTCTGGTCTGCTCCCCAGTTGTTGTATACATAAATTAAAAAATAAATCTTAAAAAAATGTATATATAGAAAATGTACTTCCTCAAGCATACTAATCACATTTCATGTGCTTAATATATAGCCGCATGGGGTAATAAGTAGCCATAAGAGGTGCCATCTTAGTCAACATAGATGTGGAATGTTCCATTGGACAGACCTGGTCTAGATCTTTCCTGGTGACTACCTCATTCTGGTCGGGCCTTCCCTCTGACTTACCAGGGCATGACTCTTGTCACCTGGGTGGATGATTGCTCAGGTCCTGCTACCGAAGGCAGACCCCCGCCCCCATCCGTTTGTCTACAATGTGTGTCTTCAAGTCTGGAGTTGATATTTCTTAATTCTTAGAGAGTGTTGATGGGGCCTGCCTGGAGTGTCGGCTACTGCTGGTGGTAGCACTGGGACTAATCTTTAAATTAGGAGATAAATTTTCCCCTCCCACCCTCACTCTTAAGCCTCCATCTTACAGTAATATATAAAATCCTGATTTAGTGTTTTTCCAAAACCTAGTTAAAATAAAATACCTATTAAAATGCGTACCGTCGCACTGCCTAAAGGCACGCTGCCTTCCGCCAGGGGCAGCCAACACCTTCCAGAACTTGCTGCTTCCCGATACTTCAGGAAGGTGTGGGGTGAAGGCACCCTGGCTCCTGCAGGCCAGTGCCTACACCCCTCTGTCTTCCTTGGCAGGGGGCATGTGCCCATTTCGCCACATCAGCGGTGAGAAGACAGTTGTATGCAAACACTGGCTGCGGGGGCTGTGCAAGAAGGGGGACCAGTGTGAGTTCCTGCATGAGTACGACATGACCAAGATGCCCGAGTGCTACTTCTATTCCAAATTTGGTAAGGTGCTCCCCCCCAGCCCCCCGCTGAGACCCTCCCTGGGAAAGCTCCATCAGGAATCAAGACCTGGGGGCTAAGCAGCTACTCAGGTTCCTTCCATCTTCCCATCATACTAGCTCCAGACGAGAAATGTGGGCAGTGCCTGCCAACCTCGGCTAGCCCTTCAGTTCCAAGTGCTTGGGGAAGTTGAGAAGAGTGGGGGTCTCACACTGTATGAGTGAGCAGTGCAGTGGCTGGAGGCTTTCTCCCCCAAATCAGCCTCCTCCAGCGTAGCACCTGATTGACCTGTCACACCTGAGTTGGTTCCTCTCTCTGGGAATGTGGTCCTGGCTAATAGTTTGACCTGTCTAAACCACAGGGGGCTTTCTTCTGGTGGCAGAGCCCTACTCCTCACCTTGGAACTGAGATTACCTTAAGAGGACTGCATGGAGAGGAGGCACTGGCTGGGGGCAGTGGCACTGGCTCAGCAGAGTTGTTTATTCCCTGATGGGACTAGAATCCCCTGGCTCTCTGTTCTGGGCAAGGTTGCCCGGCAAAAAGCCCTGTCTGTAGGGATGAAGGCGAGCTCTGGTCCCAGGACGGCCAGCCCCATTCCTGGGCAGGGTTTAGTGGGAGACTAGAAGCCTGGTACACCCTGGGCAGGTGTGGGGGGCTGCTGAGTGCTGGGCCTGCTACACTATTGTCAGAGGAGAGGTCAGTTTCAGCAGACCGTGAGGCTTGGCCAGCTGGCTTATTTTCATAGCTGTGGCTTTGTTTGGAGAGGGAGCACAGCTGGGGAGTCGAAGGTAAATAACAGGAATACAGCCAAGGCTTCCCAGCTCACCACCCTTTCCCCTGTCCATGGTGGGCCAGCCCTGGATCCAGCCCTGGAGGGGGGCAGTGACTTCTCTATTGGAGCCATCTCCCACCTGGCCCCAAAGGCAGGTGCTACCCTCCAGGGTAGATGCTCAGGGGTGCCTCTTCAGGCCGGCCCTGGTTCCTACCCTCCCTGATGGTCCTGGACTCTGCTGCCTCTCGTGCCTCTGATGCCCCCTGCCTGCCCTTTTGCTGCAGAGCCTGCTCTGATGGAGGTGCACTCCGCAGCTCCTGCCAACTGTGCCACTGATGACATAGTTGAGGGTGACCCTTCTAGACATGAGAGGAACAGTGGTGAAGAGGACAGACCCAGTCCTTTTGCTGTGGTGGCTCAGGGAAGAGGCAGCTGATATACCATTGGCACAAATTAAGACTCACGTGCAGTAGATAAGTGCCTTGAGGGAAATAAACAGTGGTGGGCCCATTTGGTTGAAATGAATTTAGGCAAAATGATCAGGGTAGGCCACGGTAGATGGCGACAGCTGAGCTGGGATCTGAAGACAGAGCAGGCTGCTCTCAGAATGGCTCAGGGCCAGCGTGGAGGGACTTGAGCATCTGGGGAGGAGTTTGCATTTTTTTCTCTACAGCAGTGATCAGATCGACCTTTTGTGTATGACAAGGAAGAAGAGGGCACTGGGGTAGCACCTCCACCTGGTATGCAGCTCTGGTAGTGGGGTGCGAAATACTGTTGACCAATGGGTGGATTGCTCCTGAGAGGAACTGAAGGGCAGGCAGGGACCCGGCCTCGAGTTCCTAGATCTCCCTGATGTCTTTCCAAAAGGAAGCAGCCTCAGACCTTTCCCCAGCTCAGCTCATGGTAAAGTGCTCGTGGGGTAGAACAGAAATTTCCTGGAATCGACTGGTTCCTTTGCACATCTGGGCCCCCCACAGTGCCCAGGATCACCCATTGGGTGAGGGTGGAGCAATGAGTGGTTGAATGTTCCCTGTGTCCGGCTCTGTCAGTGTCACTGGTCTTCAAAGGCTGCGTGGACATGTGAGAGAAGGGCCATTACAGCCCCAGAGACGTGTAGGCTCTGCCCTGGGTCTCAGGACTCACCAGGCACCCTCTCTGTGCTCAGCGGGTGCTGCCTCAGGGCACGTGAAGGTGGCCTGGGTCAGCTCTCTTCCAGCTGTCCCAGGTAATGCATGTCTGCTTCCCCACAGGGGAGTGCAGTAACAAGGAGTGCCCCTTCCTGCACATTGACCCTGAGTCCAAGATCAAGGACTGCCCTTGGTACGACCGCGGCTTCTGCAAGCATGGTAGGTGGCTGGGCCTCCCGGTGAGAGGCCCGTCCTCCCCCTGCCCACATGACCCTTGGCCTGTCTCTCCTGTTCCAGTGGAACCTGGTGCTGTGAGACTTGGGGCTCGAGAGGCTTTTTCATGCCCTCTGCTCACTTGAGCCTCTCAAGGCTCCCGTGTGGGCTGCGTTCTTGCCTGCATTTTCATGAGGAAACTAGCATTTGAGAGTCATGGGCCCTGCCCACTGTCCCCTGTGAACAACAGCACAGTCTGGACAGAGTTCTGAGGGGTGATGTCCCCCAAAGAGGGGATGTTAGTATGAGTGACCGATGCTTGGCTCTACAGGTCCCCTGTGCAGGCACCGGCACACACGGAGAGTCATTTGTGTGAATTACCTCGTGGGATTCTGTCCAGAGGGGCCTTCGTGTAAATTCATGCAGTGAGTACCCACCCCGTCTTGCACCCTGCCACTGCCCTCTGCCTCTTTCCTCAGCTCAACATGACTTTGGTGATTGGGTGTTGTTAGCGCAGGGCCTGGGGTGGGGGTGGGAGAGGAACCACTGTCTCTTCCTGAGCCAGAGGTGGCTCTGCCTTGACCAGCACTTAACCCTCATTGGGTCAGGCCCGTCCGGGGATCTGAGGGCAGCTGTAGCCCTGAGGTGTGGGACTGCACACAGCCTAGCCTTGCACCTCACTTTAGGGACTGCCGGCTCAACCTGAGCCCTCAAGGAAGGGAGCTGCAGTTTCGGGTCTCCTGTGTAGAGGCCCTGAGCTTAGGCTTCCACCTGCACCTAGTTCATGTCATTGGCAGGCGTGAAAGAGAATGTCAGCAGTGTCCAGGGCGTGGCAGGTGGCACCACCTAGTCAGATTTGGGTCTGGAGCCTCTGCAATTGGTTCTCCTTGCCCAGCAGGACTCAATGCTCCTTTCCTGGGCCTCGGTGCATGTCTAATTCAGGTGGTTGTGGGGTCAGACTTCCTGGGGGGCATTGCCTATGTGCCTATATGTCCCCATCTCCCTGCTGCCTTTGCACTGCCAGCATTTGCACAGCAGTGTCCTGGCCACTGCCACACTGGGCAGGTGGCCTTGCTGCTGACTTGGTCCCACCCTAGATGGTGGCCTAGAGTGCCACTGTGGGGTGGACGTGTTCCCCATGTGTGTTGTCAGAGGAGTGCTGGCACCTGTAGACCTGCAGGGCAGGGTGTGTTAGGAGGGACCCCAGGGAGCAGGCTTGTGCTTCTGGTGGGCTAATGGAATGTTCGTTCATTTCTCTGCACGGCAGTTGTGCTGGGTCTGCAGGTAGGTTTGAACAGAGCTGGGTCTGAGCCCAGGAGTGTCAGACTGGTTCTCCCACCATCCCTCAGTCTCAGGGCCAGAGCTGAGGACCAGCACCACCTCCCCTCCCCATGAGTTTGTATTCTGTGCGTGGGCAGAGGCTGGCTGTGGTTTTCTTTCTTTCTTTTAAAGATTTATTTTTATTTATACAAGAACTGGGGTACAGGTCAGAGGCATGGGAGGGTTGGAGAATTCACCAGAGACAGAGTGGGGAGCAGAACAGGCAGACACTGCTGAGGGGAACAGCGGGCGAGACAGGAGAGGTCTGCCATACCATGTGGGTTTCTCCCTGGCCAGCGGGAATCGAACTGGCGCTGCAGAGGCTGCAGACAGCTCCACAGCGCTGCGATCAACCCACTGCGCCACTGGGGAGGCCCTGGTTTTCTTAGGGTGGGAATTTGAGAGCGCTGCTCCTCTCTCATCTCCTCTTCTCTTTTTCCTCCCCTCTGGCTCCTGGCTGATTAGCCCTCGATTTGAACTGCCCATGGGAACCACCGAGCAGCCCCCACTGCCACAGCAGACGCAGCCTCCGACAAAGGTACCGTGCCCAGGCCCCTGCTTGGCCCTGTGGGCCTGGCAGTGCTCTTGAGTGGAGAATTCTGTGTCCTCCTCGGTGCACAGTCTCCCGGAGACCCAGCTGGCGACCTTGGGAAAGGAGGAGAGGAGAGAAACTGAGGGAGTGGGGAGTCATAGCAGACAACTCGGGGAGCAGAGCAGTTTGCATTTCTCTCTAAACATGAAAAACTTGCTGGAGCTGAATGCCCACTTGGCACTCTTCCCTTCTTGCCTGGCAGGTGCCCCAGCAGCTCAGCAGTGCCCACCTGGGGAGCTGGGGGGGAGGGGAGCAAGAGCATGCTGCTCTTGCTTCTGGTTTAGACCGTCTCCTTACAACTGGGAAAGCTGGGACTCCAAGAGGGGAGAACTGGCCCGAGGTGCCACTGCTGGTCGGGTGAAGATGTGGGAGCAGGGCCGGGTGATTGCTTCTCTGCCACTGCTGTTATTCTGTGTGGAGACTGCCCGCTGCATGGACGGCTGCGGGGCCAGCTGGCCCCAGTTTTCCAGACAAAGGGGTTCCACAAGCCAGTAGTGGACTGATCTCCTCAAGCATGAGAGGGAACTATCATTTAAGTGGAATTTTGAAGCAGTCCCCACAAAACCTAGGCTACCCTAGGTTGGTTTGGGGAATGGGGGCCAGGCGGCCCGGAGGTGTGCTAGGCAAGGTCTGCAACAGGCTGAGTAAACATACGGATCGAACTTGAAGCCTTCTCTCTCCTGGTGGGACTCGAGCCCTGCCCAGGGCTCCTCAGCACCAGAGGCTGAGCACTCAGGAGGGGGTACAGCCAGAAATTCCTGAGTGTGGGTGCCGCTGACAACCAGCGGTTTCTAGCTCAAGGTTCCTGTGTTTATGGGGGCTGGAGCCAGGAACCCAGTTGATTGGGAAGGTGGCCTTGCTGTCCAGACCCTAGGAGCCCCTCCTGTCCCCTTTTCTCACATGACTCCCTAGTGGAGGGCCCTCTCAGCCCCCAGACCGCAGGTCAGCGTGTCAGCCTCCAACTGTTTTTCTGTGACTGTTGCTCGCCGTGTAGGCTGCTAAACATCTGGCTGAACCAAGCGTTCATCCTGACCTGAAGCTAGAACCTCAGAAACAAAAGTAAGGCCTGATCATGCCCTCGCCCTGCTGCCCCAGAGACCTCCTCGTCTCTTTGGTGTTTTGTTTTCTACTTTTATTTCTCGTTTTTGTGTGTCTGCATGGTCTTTTTCGGGCAGCGGCTCCTGCCATCATCACCAGATGTTTCTTTTCCACCTGCTCTCCTGAGCTGGGCCACCGCGGGAGCCCTTCTTCCTGCTGGCCACGCAGGAGAAGGCCCGCTCTCTTTTTTCCTGTCCCCATTGGTAGTTTGCGTGCACGTGTTTTCCGGAGTAAAACCGTGTTGTGTAACTCTTTCCAGCAAAGTAACAATCCGCCATTACAAAGGTCGTCCTCCTTGATCCAGTTAACGAGTCAGAACTCTTCTCCCAATCAGCAGAGAGCCCCGCAGGTCATCGGGGTCATGCAGAGTCAAAACAGCAGTGCAGGCAACCGGGGACCCAGGCCGCTGGAGCAGGTCACCTGTTACAAGGTGAGTTGGGGGACGGGGGCGGGGGAGGGGGCCTCCGAAGTCAGTGGCCATTCCCTCGTTCCCCAGATGTTTAGTTGATTTTGAAAAATGAAAACATCTTTGCTTTGGCTGACAGTAAAAGTGGGCCGCTCTGGTGGGCCGGAGACCTTTCTACTTCGCTCCGTGGCACAGCAAGGCGAAGTGCGCATTAAAACACGCTGGTTAGTGAATGGATTGCGATCTCCCAGAAGCTAGGCCCCACACTAATCCAGGGAGCCCTGGGGCGTCTGGATGGCCTCAGATCCTGTGTGGGCATACCCAAGGGAGGGGGACAAAGCTTTGGGCCCAAAGCAGGAGAAACTGGATTAGGACACCCTCCCCCAGCATGCTCCCTGACACCCACCTATCCACTGTGCACGCGCGCGCGCACACACACACACGCACACACAAAGAGATGCTTGGGGAAAAGATCAGCTTTTTAAAACCTAGTAGAAAACGCTTATTCTTTGCTTCAGACAGAAAAGGGGAAAAAAAGTCCCTGAGAGTTGTGCCTGGTGGGCCCATCCGTGGGTATGCGCCTGTGTTAACACCCCACCACGGGCAGAAAAGGTACAGACCAAGTCCCCAAATCTAAAACAGCCCTGCATGGGTGGCTTTAGGAGGTGGGTGTTGAGGAATTTACTCTCAACCCTGGTCACACACAATTCCCACAACCAGAGTTCCTTAAAAGTCACAGGATATAGTCAGAAAGCTTGCCGAGGGAATCAGCAGGAGCCGCCAGAAATAAAAACAGACTCACAGGACTTCAGATTTAGGAATTGCTGAACAAAATTGGCACGTGCTTTCTGTAAAAATGTAGACGTATTTAGGGCACAAACTGAACATCGTTTCTTATTCCCTCCTTTCCTTTTTAGCCAGTATGTTCGCTCTCACACCTCTGGTTTCAGTACCAAAACGAAACTCTCCAAAACTCCAGGAGACCTTTCTTACTCTGTAACAGTCTGTGCTTTTTTTCTTTCCAATATATTGTGGTTTTCTGTCAGTATATCTGAATCTCATCTAGTTCAGCAACTACATAACAACCACAATTTTCCAGTCCTCTGTTGGTAGATAGTTACTTATGGATTTCGCTGCTAGAAGTAGCGCGTGCTCGTCCCAGTGACACTGGTGGCATCCATGCCTCCAAGGCGGAGGTCTGAGTCAAAGGACTATACTTCAAGCGCTCAGAGAACCTGCCCTCAAGAACGCTGGTCACTTTCCACAGCTGTTTGGCTGTTTGGCACTCCTGATGGAGAAAACAGACCTCCTGCTTCTCTTGCCCCCAAAGGGGTTTGTGATCTGAGGGGAGAGGAAGTCAGATGCCCAAGGACACTGCGGGTGATTGTGCACGTGGATTCAGGGAAGGAGTCACAGCGCTTTCTGAGTCTGAGCCCTAAGAGCTGAAGAAAAGGGATGGAGTTGAGCAAAGGAAGGGGAAAAAGGGGGGAGGTTTCCTTCCTACAGAGCAGACAGCGCCCACCCAGCCACTTTTCAAGCATACCAAGGAAACTGTCCTGAGGCAGCATAGTATCATCTCGCCCCCTCCAGGACTCTGAGGTCAGGTCTCCTGAGTTAGGAACCTTGGGAATGTGGCGGGGGGACCTGACATCTTAATGCAGGCACTTCACAGTTCATCTCAAAGGCGGCTTGTGGGAATACTGGGTTCCCCAGGGTCAACTGCAGAGGCCGATGGACTCGCCAAGTGCTGTGAAGGGCCTCGTAGTCCCGCCCTCTGGTCATCACATCAGGTGAAGGGCTGACTGGCAGCTACACAGGCCGCTGGTCCACCCACAAGTCATACCTACAGATCAAGCAGATCTGAAAACAGGACGGCAGAATGAGAGGAATGGAGCGAGCCAGTTTGGGCAGGAACCCTGTTGAGCCTCACCTTCCAGACCTAGAGTTGGGGCTGGGAGGGCACTGGGTGGGTTGGCCCAAGAGTGGCTGCTACCACCCATCTCCTGGGTCCTGGTTCAGCACTCAAGGCTGCCATTTGCTTCCTTTCTTAGGATTCCCTTCTGCTTTTTGAAAGGTAACAAGAATGAATGAGAAACTGAACAGGCAGCTGGGAAAAGTCAGGGTTGGTGCTATTTTTGAGAGCCTGTTTACCAAAGCCTGACTTGGCCTTCTCTCTGACCTGTGACCAAAACCTGTACCCCAAGGGTAGCTTAGGCAGGTGTGCAAGAGCCAGGAGGGAAAACTGGGGCATCCCACCCCAGAGTCCACAGCAGTGAATCCCCAAGCAGAGGGAGGAGCCTGGTGGCTTCTCTCGAGTTGTTCCCTCCCCTGTCTCCAGGGATTCTCAGAAGTTGCCTGAGGTAAGTGACTGACCAGCTGTGCAGAGGGGCTTGGCTCTGGGCAGGCGGGGGAGCTCTGACACCAGGGGCTTCTCTTCATCCTGCCTCCCACCATGAGGTCCCTCCTTGTTGGACAAAGAAGTGGGGCCCTGTCTGAAGGTGCTCCCTGCCATGTTCTCTTAGTTTGTCCTCTGGCTGAGGTGTTCTCTTCCATCTACCAAGATGTGGCTGCAGTTTCTGCACCACTGTACCTTCTGGAACTTCCTTCCCCTCATGTTTGTGAAAAATCTGCCACTGAAAATTTCAGAGTCCCTATCCCCAACCTGGCATTTGGTGGGTGCTACATTGAAAATTGCATTTGAAAACTTTTTTTTTTTTTTGTCTCCTTCCCTTCCTGCCGTTTCCAGTGTGGTGAAAAAGGACACTATGCCAACAGATGCACCAAAGGGCACTTGGCCTTTCTCAGTGGACAGTGACAGCAGCTGGAGCCAACTCAGAGCAGCCTGAGAGGCCCATTGTTGGGGACAACTCTGGGCCGTCCTCAGGAGCATGTGTTGAACTGTTCAGCACCAGTATTGGTGCAACCCTGGCTAGAGCTGGCAGGCAGGCACACTGGGGTTTATCATTCGAGGGGCTATTTCTGTCAGTTTCCCTACCATTTTGCTGTAATTTTTTTTTTTTTAAGGGACATGTGCTCTAGTTTGGTCCCTCAAGTCGGCATCATGTTTGTCGAGACATCAAGCCTCCTGTCTGGGACTCCCCACACCTCTGCCCTCTGGGGAAGAGAAGTTTTGGGGCAGGGGCTTGCGCTCAGCAGTTCTGTAAGGAAGATGGTCCTTCCCCTCAGGGCTTCATTAAACACCAGTTCTTGGTGATCCCAGGGGCTGGTGGATCATTTAAAGCTGCAGCCAGCTCAGGCTCACTTCCTCCATGTCCTGCTGAATTCAGAAGCTGTGCCTATCAATGTGATTTGAACGAGGTAGCCCTCAGGGCAAACTCAAGTGCGCTTGTTGTCTCAGCCTGGTCCTGCTCTCTCCGAGGTGGCAGTAGTTGAGAAGAGGTGTGCAGTATTCTCGAGTGAAGGGTCTTTTCTTCTGGGTTATGTTCTTGAGGCACCTGCTTAACATTGTTCAAGGTATGCCTTAAGCTGGAGCTGCAGGCCACCCTTTAAATCGTGACCCAGTCCTTCTGTGCACCTACCTCCTGCCCCAGCAAGAGTCTGTACTGTAACTCAGACACCTTTGGCCTATGGAGACCGCCCTGCCTATGCCTGGAAATGTGAAGCCGTCACCTGCAACCACTGGGCAAGTGGCCTGTTCAAGTTCAATCACAAGAACAATTTTTATGAAGTTGATTAAAGCTTGTTTTTTAAGCCATGTCTCATTACTTCAAGGACTCTGTGCCTAGAAGCCACCTGGCAAGGAGCTTTAATAATGGGGTCACTTGTTCCCATTCAACATGTGTGAATTCCAGAGGGAAGAGACACCAGGGTAAGAAAGGCCTTTGGACTGGCAGCTGTGTAAGTCTGGAGCCTGGCAGGTGTTACTGCGTATCAGATGGTGGATGATCCGTGTGTGTTTGGGTCTTCTAAGAGATAACTGATAACAGCATCCCCACCCTTATACCTGTTGCAGTGTGTGTGTGCACCATACACCCCTCACTGAGAAGCTGGTTCTGGCGATAGTCCCAACTGGCAATGTAAAGAGACTCAGTAAAAGACTAACTGATTTTAGTGGGTTGGGTAGGTGTGGTAAATCCATTTTTAACTTAGGATGGGTTTGTTGAGGCCTGAGTTGGGGGAGGTCTTTACTGTACCCAAGACCTTTGAGGAAGGGTAACGAAATGGTACTGGATCCAGGGGCAGCTGTGACCTAGCAGGGCCTATGCTTTCCTGAGTCACCCCACTGAGCTGCTCCCTGCAGATGCAGCTTCCAGACCAGGCAGGCCAGCACTCTGAAATGGTGCCATCACTACAGAGTGCTGTGTACCACAGTAATACAGGAAAATGGGGTTAAGGGGAGAGATATTCTTAGGAACACAGCTGCTTTCTATGGTGTACGCTGACAAAAGTGCTCAGGACACTCAAGGCAGAGAGCAAGGAGATGCCTCTGGGCACTGCTGTCTAATTAACACCACCCCCTTGCAAGCTGGGAAAGATCTCACCAAGGCCACACATGGTACAAACCCTGGACTAAGCTGCTTCCTCAGGGAATGGTAGGGCAATCTCGCCCACCTTGTGCAGCAGGGCTCCGGGGGCATGGATGCCAGTGAAGCAGTCCTCAAGCCAGTCATCTTTTATTGAGTTATTTCTCAGTTAAGACAGGAAACAACTGGGGTGCCAGGCAGAGGTCATGGTTAGGAATGCAGAAGCCCTCTTCAATGATACTTGCGTCGCCGCTCGTGTTCTGGAGTTAAAAGGCAAAACAGTAAGTCACCCCAAAGGTATGATAAAAGCATAAACTGCTAGACAGGATAGAAGGCTCCAACCTCATAAAGCCATCCTGAGGGTCACTCTCAGAAGATGACCCAGAATTTGCCAGCCAGTATCTCGGCGGAATTTGGGGACAGGAAGGCAGGAGCTAATCTGCCACCTGGCCAACTTCTTTGCAGAAGGAACATCAACTCAAACAACCCTAAGAGGGCCTCCCCGGTGGCGCAGCGGTTGAGCGCTGGGTTGCGAAGCTGCCCGCAGCCTCTGCGGCGCTGGTTCAATCCCCGGCTGCTCCCCGGCCACCGGAGGAGGGTCCCACATGGCGCGCAGACCTCTCCTGCCGCCCGCTGCTCCCCTCAGCAGTGTACTTCGGTCCTTCTGCCTGCTCTGCTCCCCGCTCTGGCTCTGGTGAATTCTCTCACCCTCCCGCGCTTCTGACTGTACCCAGTGCTTGTATAAACAAAACAAACAAACAAATAAAGCATACCTCTATAAAAAAAAAAAAAAAAAAAAAAACAGCCCTAAGACAGAGGCCCCCCCAGACACAGCAGAGAGGCAGAAGGCTGGACATTGTCCAACAGCCAGTGAAACCCAGTCAGAGCACCCGCCACTGACAATGATCTCAGCACCTCCCATCAGACACCCATCCAGCAGGGGGGCCAGCATCAGCTGCACTTTTCCAGAGCCACACACATGTATGGTTAATACATGCTCTCTTCGCACTGGCTGCTAAGAAGATAAAGCAAAATTTCTCACCAGCCTTTGGAGAACCTGAAGCCTTTAACAAAATGCTTCCTAAGTGTTATCTTTATTCCACTGTCATTTTCCCTGTGGCACAATATTGTCTGTAATATCCCATATACTTTTAGTGGGCTGTCGGAAAAGCCAAGACACATTTTTGCATAGAAAACAGAAAAAATGTCATGACTTTAACAACAACCGAACATATTAAGTCCCTCCAATTCTTAAACTGTCAGCAGGATGACAGACAACATGCACCAATCCCACCTTCTCACAGAAGCCCCCTGAAGAGAAGCAATTCAAGAGCACTCACTGAGTTCCTTGTACGAACGGCAGTAGTTGAAAAGCACGTAAGCTGCCAGCACCATAGAAACCCCCGCCACGCTCCCTTTCTTCACGTTGACGTACTTGTTGTAATACCGGTAGTAACCTGCAAACAGACAGGGGTCACCGCCCTGCTTTGCTGTGAACACTTCATGCAGTGCAAAGGAGAATGCAAATTCCAGAACCCAGTCCTGCTCTGGCTCTTTAAGTTACTCACGCTATGTCCACCAGTTGACATGGGGAAAGTGCAGATGTCCCCACACCACATGGGCACTAGACAAGCCCAGCTGCACCCCCCTGGTATCTGTCACTACCATTCAGCCTTAATCCCATAAACTTGGCTCAACTTGTCAGTCTTTGATCTCACCTCACCCTTGCCTGGGATCAAAACCTGACTGAGAAGCCAACCCCCAGTAAGGGCCATTTGGCCATGACCAGCGAGGTCAGCCTGGGCCTGAGGAAGAAGGCAGGCTTCACGTGTTCATCTCTTCAATGACTACCCTGCCAGGGAGGAAATGGTCTCTGCCCTCTTAGGGCTCACAGTCTAATAGGTAAGAGAGAAATGCTGACAGGAGGCCATTGTTACTAGTGAGTGATGCCGTAAAGGCGCAATGCCTCAACTGTGAGTCTGAATAGGCGACATTCACTGCTACTGAGGAGTCAGGGACCATTTCAACTAAGTGTGGAGAAAAGACAGCGTATTCTAGTGTGGCTAATCTGAGGGTAAAAATGAGGAATGGTCTCTTGGACAGCAGGAAACCTGGCACACAAGACAGCCACAGGTGGCCAGAACTAGAAAGAAAAACACAGAAGGAAGGAGTCCCTGAGAAAGGTGGAGACTGCAGACCTCCGAGGGCTGATGTGATTTAGGGAAAGATGGCATGAGGTCCACAGGGCTGATCTCACTAGTCATGAACTTTTAAACACGCAGAAATATAATCTTTGTCTTGGGAGTTTTCCCTGGCAGGGAGATGAGTATTGCAGATGATGTCCACTATACTTCAAACTCATTTTTCTCTTCAACAAGTCTTATGATGTTGTAAAAATGCTGAAACATTTCTTGAAGATGGAGGCAGTGGTACTAATTACCCGCAACAGAAGCACCTTGGCAACAACATCTCAGAGCCAGTCCTTGCCAGGACGAATCAAACATGGGAATCGAAGGGCTAACAATCTCCCCCATCATTCCTCACACAGCTTACAGTTGTCTGTGACAAATCCTTCACTGCCCAAATTAACACGGGAGACCCTCAGATCCGGAGGCCTGTTTTTGTTTGCATACATCCATAAGGCTCTGACCTCTTTGAAATGCTCCAGCGATGCCTTTCGGGGTGAAATCACGCATGAATATCCAGCTTGGCAGCTCTGCTAGCTTGACATCCAAGAGTCGCTTCTCTTTCAATGCTACTGAAAAGGAAAAAAATACACGTACACTGAAAAACCTTCCAATAATACAAATAGCATCCTTTAATGTCCACTTATTTCAATCATCCAATAAAGGTCATTCAGCACCATACTACATAGACGCTGCAGAGTAATATTATGAATAAATGTTAAACCAAATTCAGAATTTTAAGCCAGTCTATATAATGGCTGAATGGCTACAGCGACAACTTTCTTGATAAACAGAATTTTGAGTAACAGCTTGCTGGGAATAATTGTAAAGCAAGACCTAAGGGTGATGAGGATAAAAATAAAGTGAGGAGAGAAGCTTACTGCAAAACTAGTATTTACATATATGAGTTCATTTAACCTTCACAGTGAGTAGATGATGCCCCCCTTTAATCAGGGTTGGGGGCAAAGACTCAGAGAAGTTGGGTGACTTGGCCAAGGTCACACAGTGCAGGCAGTGGAGGCAGGACTCAACCTCAGGTCTGGCCTTCATGCTCCTAAAGCCAATCAGAGGGTAAGTGCAGCCAAGCCCTGGGGATCTACTGTGAAGAAAATAAAAGGGGGATGTGGGAGGAGACCACAGTGATGTGACCACAATTGTTTCTTACCAGGTCCACCTGTTTATTTTATTTATTTATTTATTTATTTTTTGGTGGGACCCTCGCCGGTGGCCAGGGATTGAATTGGCGCTGCAGAGGCTGTGGGCAGCCTCCCAACCCAGCGCTCAACCGCTGCGCCCCCAGGGGAGGCCCGAGGTCCACCTGTTTAATAGCCGAGGGCTTCAAGGGTTCACATGGCTGCCAATCTCCTCAGATATGCCAGGCTGAGTAGCTTCAATAAAAAGGACTAGAAGAATTTCTACCTCATGCATCCTACCCAGGGCTATAGATATCAAAAAACTTAAAAATCCTTCAAATGACGCAATGGGCCCCAGATCACATTCCAACGAGAGGCACGGACCCAGGACGGGAAGAGCTCCTGATTCAGGTGATGCTGTCCGTACTCCTCTCTGGCTTAGAGGAAAACAGGAAGGGACCGGGGATGGAGAGGTGTCCCTTCCCCTGTCTTCCTCCCAAAGATCAACTTAAAAAAAATTCTTAGCAGGGCCTCCCTGGTGGCGCAGCGGTTGAGCACTGGGTTGCGAAGCTGCCCGCAGCCTCTGCCATGCCGGTTCAATCCCTGGCTGCTCCCCGGGTGCTCCCCAGCCACCGGAGGAGGGTCCCACATGGCGCGCAGACCTCTCCTGCCGCCCGCTGCTCCCCTCAGCAGTGTACTTTGGTCCTTCTGCCTGCTCTGCTCCCTGCTCTGGCTCTGGTGAATTCTCTCACCCTCCCATGCTTCTGACTGTACTCAGTGCTTGTATAAATAAATAAATCTTTAAAAAAAAAAATTTCTTAGCAGGTGTCCTCTGCGGGGCAAGGAATCAAGGACCACTGTCCCTTCTTAAAGATGACCAATCACAGAATAAGTCAGACTCAATCACTCGAAGGTTACTTTTCCATCTTGGAGGTCCAAAAAAAGACTAAGGCTCCTAAGGCCAGCCTCAAGAGTTCATAGGGGAACCCCACAAGTCTCCTGACATCTCCCAGTTCTTAGCAAGGGCAAAGGCTGGTAGGCCATAAACAGAAATGCAAGGTTTAATGACAGTTGCTCATCCGCCACAGATATTGTCTAGAGAACCAGACATTTAGCCTCGGTTGACCAGATCACTGTGCTTGTCAAGAAGCGATAGCTGGCGGTTTAAGCCTATGATTTGCATACATGACTTTAAGGACACTTACCCCAAACTGGCCCACTGCCAAATAAACTTATCCGACAAATATGGAGTATCTACTGTATGCTAGGCAGCACACTAAGCATTACTGAGGGTACAGCATTGTCCACAGATGAAAGCCTAGCTCTCAGGAACTAACATCCTAGCTGGGAAGACAACCACCTCATATTGGCTATATTCCCAGGGCTCACCTCACACTCCAGCCAACCCCCTTCTGTTTCTTATCTGCACAGTATTCTTTTTACCTGAGGGATTTGGCATTTTCGGTAATCCAGGATCCTCACAGGACTACCATCTTATTATATATTATATATATTAATATATATCACCATATATATTAAATGTCATTTCGTCAAAGGCATTCTTCCCTGCCACAACTTTCTTCCTATGTAAAATATAAATTTCAGTTTCCTTGTCTGTAAAATGGCTTATTCCAAGGGCTGAATGAGAATCTATATAAAAGCATTTGGGGCCTCCCTGGTGTTGCAGCAGGTTGAGCGCCACCTATGAAGCTGTCCGCAGCCTCTGCAGGATGGGTTCGATTCCCAGGCGCCAGGGAGAAACCCACATGACGCGGCAGACCTCTCCTGCCTCGCCCATTGCTCCCCTCAGCAGTGTCTTCAGTCTGTCTGCCTGTTCTGCTCCCCGCTCTGTCTCTGGTGAATCTTCTCACCCTCCTGCGCCTCCGACTGTACCCCAGCTCTTGTATAAATAAATTAAAATTAAAAATAAAAAAAATAAATAAAAAATAAAAGCATTTGGAACAGTGCCCACAACACTGTAAACTGTGACTATTACTGTTGAAATCTCATTCAGGTCTACATGAAATATCCCCCCAAAAAGCAGGGTTGACAAAGAAATGGCATGTAAATTATGATTTAGGACATTTTAAGCATAGAAGACTTCAGGAATTAATCACATCCCCTTGCAAACAGAAAACTGTGATTAACATGGCAATATTTCCAAAATGTGAGATCATCTCAAATGAGTTTCCGGGTATATTCCAAACCCCTGTTGGAGAGTGCAGTGTCCATGATATTAAGCTCAACAAACAATAATGTCATCTGAGAATGACCTACTCCTTTCTGTCACCTTGCCTGAGGTATTTCCTTAAAAAGTTTAACAAGTGCACATTTCACATTCCAGTTTTGTCTTCACTGGATCCTTCAGTCCAGGAACACTATGCCCTATTTCTTCCTGACTAAGAACATAGTTAACACCTTTCTGCACTCTCAAAGCCTCCTTGCATGCAGTGAGTGCAAACAAGTAATTCTAAAACCAACCAGCTTTAAATATGACAATATGCTGGGGAGTGGGTGATAGAATTATAGATGGAACTAGAATAGCAGAATGCTGCTGCTGACACCAGGTAATAATTGCTAAGCATTTGTTTTATTATCCTGTTTCCTTTTATTTAAAATATTTTATAATATAGTTTTATAATGCCCTTAAAAATAGAACTACGTTGGGGGAGATGTACAGAAGGAAAATAATATTTTATTTTATTTATTTTTTTAAATATTTTAAAGCAAAGTATTTTTGACTTGCATAAGGCCAGTAGTTCAAAAAACACGTAAAACAAAAAACACATCATTTCTAGACCCAGTATTTTTTTTTTCTTCCACATTTACACAAACCACGAGAACATATCCTGCATTCTCCTGACCACGTTCTGGGGCTGGAACAGTGCCTTGGCACAACACAGGAGAAAAAATCCAAAAATTTAAAATTGTTTTTCTACATATTTCTGTGTATCATGAAGATAAAAGTACTTCTTTACCCACAACAAAACTAAGCCCAACTTAAAAGTGGTTCAATTTAGGATTTTTTGACTAGGAACATTTGAAAGTGCTACACATTGAGAAGAAACTACGATGTCACACTCTCCTGCGGTGCTAGGCAGACAGCTGGCCTCAGCTCCCAGGGAGCATTTTCTACTTATATTTTCAATTCACAATGGGTTTTTCATCATGTAAAAGACAAATCAGAGACATTATCACTTTGTTTGCTAATTAACTAGTGGTTTTAGGCTCTGGTAACAGACACCATCTTGGGGTGAGGCTGAGTGACCCAGATGGTGAGCATGACCTTGTGCAAAGATCAGAGTGAACTGGGAAGGACTGGCACTCAGTTGTGGGACAGGCATCATACATATACTAAATTGTTTCATCCTTAGTCCCCAATACTCCACTACAACACTCGGCTTAAATAAGATACCAAGTCTCAATGCTCCCCTTTCACGTTGTCTTGTTTAAAGGACACACCCCCTGTGGATAAACAGTCTCATGCTCATCAGCAGAAAGGAAAAAGTGTCGCTCTCTTCTGTACCAACCTTCATTTCTCCATACTGAGATTAAGAATACATAAACTGGGGTAAACAACACACTGGTCCATCAAAATCCGGCTATTATCATGCCTGTGTGACCTCAGACAGGCTACACCGCATCTCGGTCTTTATTTCCTTCAATTTACAATGGAATCATTCATAAAAACACGCTTTCCATATTTAACGCAACAACAAAGAGAGCAGGGTGCACAGTCCAGTCAGTGCAGAGATCTGCGCCTGCAGGTGGCCGAAGAGCCTGCTGGTCATAAGGTCATCCCCGCGACAACGGTTCAGCTTGCGAGGAGGCCCCGACGCCCGGCTTGGCGCTCACTCGCAGTGACCTTGAGTAGGTCACGTCATCTTTCTAAGCCTATTCAGCGCATATTTGAGACATATGCGTCGACCCTTACGTGGTGTCAGGCTCGGCCCTAGGTATTAGCTCCTCTTGGACCTTCATCTGAGCTTCAGCTTTGGGAAGGGCAGAAACTGCGCGAAGGGTTCAAGTGCACAGCATCGGGATGGCGGCGGGGACAAGGGAGTGGGAGGGGGGCCCGAGAAGGTGCATCCCCAAGTGCGGGGGGCACGTCGCCGGCTGCCTTCAGCCTCCACGCCGCGGCTGCAGGGCGAGCGAGTGGAGAAGGGTCAGTCGTTGCAGGACCCCGGGGAGAGCGTCCGGTGCGCCTGAGGGGAAGCAGCGGCGAAAGCCCCGAGCGACGGACGAGCGGCCCCGAAGCTGCCTCCCCTCCCAGTGCGACCCGGGCCCCGGACCCAGGATCTCGGCTCCAACCTCCAACCCCCGGGCCTCAACGGACCCCGTCACTCACCGGACGACGCCATCTTGGAGTCCTGGGTGTCCGCAGGGCCGGGCCGCGCAAGGGCTGCTGGGTAGGGAGCGACGCCCCCAGGCCGGAGAGCAGAGGCTCACGGGAAGCAGGTCGTCGCGGGCGCGGGGCGGGGGCTGTCAGCGCGCCAGGGAGTGGGGTGGGATTTACGTGTTGTCCTTCCCAGCCACTGCAGGGTCACAGCCAAAAAATACCTGCTGATTGTCATCTTCTTTTGTCTGAATATTGAGAAATGATTAGCTCACAGCTCCCGAGGCTGGACAGTTCCAAATTTATGGTAAGTTCGTCTTTATTAATAGAGCCAAAGTGGCTCCTGACCGTTCTTTTCAGTTACTTTCCAGCAATAGGGCAAATCTAATACTTATTTTCATGTGGTTCCAAAGTCACCCTCTCCCACCCAGGCACAGTAGTGCGGGTCTTTTTACAAAGGAGAGATTGATGACTACTTTCGCAGCTGAGCAGGCCCTGATTCCTCCCTAACAGCCTGAGATCACCCGAGGGGCACAACGGGAAGGTCCTGGCCTCCACCTGGACCACCATCCACAGGTCGGAGGTATTCATCGCCTGCTTCCCTTGGAGGCTGCCACTCTGTTACTGGATCTGGGGCCTCCCCTCAACCTAAGTTTGAAAGGATGAGATGAGGGAGAAGGGGGAGTGATTTTGTTCCCTTTGGACCTTAAGCCAGACTACAAAAGATCCAAAAACCAAAACTCAGATATGGGGACATACAGATCCAAAATGAAGGTTGGAATAAGAAAACCACCCCTTTTAGCCCCAAAGCTTTCCTGCTGATGAGAAAACAAAAATACCAGAGGAATGTGCCACCTTCTAGGCCCTCCCCTCCTCCCTCTCCCTGATCCCTGAGACATTCCACAGAGATTGCACAGTCACCCCCTTCTTCTCCCTAACACCTTCATTTCATTTTATTTAAAAAAGTTTGTGAGCGTGGCCTTGCCCTGGTTCCACCCCAGCATCCTAAAATGAGGAGGCATAGGGTCTGGAGGTCAGAGACTGTGGACAAGAATCTCCACTTCCCAGTACTGGCGCTTGGGGTCTAGAAGATGATAAAGCCAACGGTTTTCCAGTCTGAAAGTCAGGGGTGTGAGGAATGGTTCCCAAAGTCCTTTCCAAGTCTAAATATGGCAATACTGACAGGTATTCTGCAGAAGTCTTCAGAGTCAGAAGATCCTGGAACTTTGTTTAAGCTGAGACTAAGCGCACAGCAGGGACTGAAGAATAGAGTTATGGGTGGACTCTTGATTCTGCTTGTTAGGATGACCAAGCCTGGGAGACTTTGAACAGCTTTCTTCTAGACAAACATGTCACAGGACCACACTTTCTGGAGAGCTTCAGCTCCCTCTTTTTCCATGACCCTCCTTTCCTTCCCCCAGCACTTTTTCTCTTTAGTCTTTGCCTGCCTGTGCCCCATGCCTGATGCTTATTTAAGATTGCTGACCTCTAAGGGATTAAGTCTTCAAGAGGCTATCTAGGAAGAAGGACTGAAGGAAAGGGACTAATGGCCTCCACCAGTCAGGGACTGACAATGAAGAAGAAACCAAGAGCCTGGAGAACCATTATTGGTCTTTATTGAGGTGGCAAGGTAGAGTAACACCACCAAGAGCAGAGCCTGAGGACCGGGGGCCGATGGAAGGGTTTCTCACGGGGGCCGATGGAAGGGTTTCTTAGAGACGCAGGTTTTCTGGGCGAGGAGAAAGGCGGTAGGAGATGCAGGTGCTCACAGGGTTTTCAGGAAGGCCTTATATTTGGCCAAGAAGGGGGCAGACAGAATTTTCAGCTGTTGTCGAAGTTCCTGCAGAGTCATGTCCTGCTCTTGCTGCTCCCCCATCACCTGCTGCCTGTAGTAGTTGATGTAAAAGTTCACCCAGTCCTCCACTATGGTCACCATGGCTTCTTCTGGGATAGGAGGATCAGGGAAGACCTGAGAGAGATGAGGAATTTGGCAAGGGAGAAGGTGGTCAGCACTGTGATTCAGGAAGAACTCCTAAACTGTCCTCTTTTCTCTGATTTGGACTCCCTGTCTCTAGTTGTTTCCATCCATTCCACCATCTCTCTCCCAGTTCCACATTATATCCCCTCCCACCTACCCACCAAGATTCCAGGTCTGTCCTTTGAAAAAAGTTCCCGAGCTTACCTGCTGTTCCAGCAGAACATTAAATTCGTTAATTGCTTTGGAAATAAGATTCTTATTGTCCTGAAGAGCCATGGCCTGTTTAGAAAGACAGAATTTAAGTATTCTTTTCCCTAATCACTGGGTATTTCCCCCCAGTACCCTCCCTCCCTCCCCTTAAGGATTCCTGGTGCTCGCTGGGCTACCTTCTCTCCAATACCTTTAAAACCCTGCCTTGCTCCAAGATCACATTTCTCCCAGGTTGGCTCACCTTCAAGTCCAATGTATGTCTCCTCAGCACCTTCACAGTATGTATGCCCCTCTCTGCCAAGCCAGATGTAGGCAAGGAGTCAAGTGTCTTCAGCCTAAGAGGGAAACGCCCTTTATCCAGGTCCTGAGGGAGGGTGATAGGTAAATCAGGGGAGGGGAAAGAGGGAGAGGCTTCCCTGAAGTTAGAGAGATACCGAGGCCCAGAAACACAGATAAGTGGGGAGATGCAGAAAACCCTACCAGGGACAGATCATGGCTCTCTGCCCCACATGCCAGCATCCAGGCTCCAAATGCTAACAAAACTCACAGTAACTGAGCCTCTGTGACATGACACACCTATAAGTCATCACAACATAGTGGTGGCAATTATTCTCCCAATTCATAGATACATATCAATAGTTTACATTACTTTTATCTTTTCTGTCAGCCACTGTTTCAAGCATGTATTAGGGCATTTGTCCTTACTTTAAAAATCCTATTAGGCAGGTAACAATAATGGCCCCATGTGCAGATGAGGCATCTGTAAGGTGTGAGGACTGTACTCTGTGCTCAAGACTGGCCTAGCCTTGTTCTCTACCATTATTGGGCCCTCAACAAAGCAGTGATACTCCTTTCCTTCAATGTTGATACAAAAGTTTCCTAAAGTGAAAGACAATAAAACCAGATGGTGTCTCATGTGGAATATAAATAACCAAAGCAAAGAAACTAACAAAATCACAACAAAAATAACTCTTAGACTCTGAAAAAGATGGTGGTTGCTAGGGGAGGAGGTGGGAGGGGAGTTAGAAGGGCCAGTCTGATAGTGGGAAGGGTGCAAGGGCTTTGGTGCAGGTATGAAGCTGTGCTCCTGGAGGTTATATAGTATTGTAAATCCATGGCATCAATAAAATTTTATTTATAAAGAAATAGTTTCCTAATGTTTTCCCTTTTTAGTAGATGTTTTTCAAATTTCAAAGTCACCACATATTAGTTGAAATAAGTGAAGCAATACAACCTGTATACTGAGAAAGGGGATTATTTTTATTCCCTCCTCCCACAAAGTAACCAGCCTTAAAGATGTGTGTAGTCAGAAAGCCAACACTCACCCACATACACTCAGAAATTTGTTGATTTGCTTTTTTGTTTATCGCATTTTCTCCCATTGTGTGTTAGGTACCGGGGATGAGTAAGGAGTAAAATATGACCGCTGGCCTCATAACTAAGAAGGACCCCACTTACTCGCCCAAACAGCTAAAACCTGTGACCTACCTGTTGTCCAACACATCTGTTTCCTAGGGACGCCCTCTTTATTACTCCCCCTAACTGGAAGTTGAGACGCTGCTACCGAATGCTACAAAGAACATGGGCCAGGATCAGCCCTGGGGGCTGAACTGGGTCGGGAGGTCGCGGGGAACCCTTCAGTTCCTGGGCTGAACCGAGGAGGCGCAGAGGCCGGCTGGCCTTTCGCGAAGGAAGATTGCCCCCCCGCAGCCGCCGTAGCCGAGCCGGAAGCGTCGTCTGGCCACCTGCGCGGCGCCGCGGGACTGGAAGGCAGGATCCGCGATGGCTGACGACGCGAGCCCCGAGGCCCCGCTGTGCTCCGAGCAGTTCGGCTCCGGGGCGGCTCGGGGCTGCCGCGCCGCCGCCGACGGGAGCCTGCAGTGGGAGCCCTGGGGGTGGCGCTGGTGGGGCTTCTGCGGGGCCTTCGCTGTGAAACCCGATAGGCGACGGGGGTGCGGAGGGGGCGCCCCCGGGACCGCCTCCCCACCTCTCTCGGGGCTCTTGGCCCTGTTCTTGCCGCAGGGCTTCCCCGATAGCGTCAGCCCGGACTATCTGCCCTACCAGCTATGGGATTCCGTGCAGGTCAGCTCTGCCCGGGGGTAGGGGGCGGCTGTAGGTCGGTGTAAGGGAGACCATGCGGGCCACACCTCTCCGTCCCGTTACAGACTGGAGACGGGTCGAGTGCGCCGTGACTCGTCACGCACAGGCACTGATAGGGGAACTTGGCTCTCCGTGCTCCCGTGCCCCCTCCTCACCCCACTTCTTTTCTTCTCCAGGCTTTTGCTTCCAGCCTGTCGGGCTCCCTGGCCACCCATGCAGTCTTGCTGGGCATAGGGGTGGGGAATGCAAAAGCCTCCGTTTCAGCTGCCACAGCCACCTGGCTCGTAAAAGGTGAGCTGGGCCCTGGAGCCTCACCTGTCTGCTCTCAGCCCTGCCATTCCTCTGGGATCTTTTCACTCCCACTATGAAGGCCAGTGCCTTCTGGTCTCCAGCTCTGGATTGGGACGCATGTATTTATGGATATGTGTGCCAAGGCTCCCTGGTACCTAGTACAGTGCCTTGTAACCTGTTTAAAAAAAAAAAAAATCAACCATGTAAAATTTAAAGATCTTACTGACATTATACAGTGATTCATGATTCAGAAGAATTCAGTCCAGCAGGTCAAACAGAACTCTAAGGAACTGTACAAAAAATGACTTATGAGCAGAAAATAGGCAAAAAAGAACCTTGGTTATTGCAAGGTTAGTTTCCCCTAGGGAATGGTAGAAGTCTATCAAGCAGATGTGCTAAATAGGGCTGACCAGGGATTCCTGAGTAAGTCTCTTGTGTTGTGTGACTTAGCATAAGCAACTCCATTTGAGTCTGTTGCCTTCTTTTTAACAACTCAAGTTATACCACCCACTGCCAGAATACCTTTGTCCTGTGCACCTCGCATCCACACTGTTTCTCATACATACTGTTCATAGAGCCTAATCACTAGGAACTCCAGTCCCTAAGTTAACTGTCTCCTCCCCTTTACCCCTCCTGTCTTAGCAAAGGACTGCATAAGAATGCAGTTACTGAATAAAACTGTCAGCTGCCAAACATGCAAAGACAGTTTGGTATTAGGCCACCTAGAGAGTGAAGTAGAACAGGGGAACCGCCCCATGTACCCCATCGGGAGGGTTCATAGCCCCCCACCTTCCTTTGTCCTTCTCTAGTGTTCCCAGTGAGGGTTTAAATCAGATCCGAGGTATGCCCCTATTTTGTCTGGCATCAGCCTGGCCACATCTCAGGTGAGCCTTCCTGGATCTTTTGAAGAATCAGGAGTTTCCTGCTTACACCTTCACTTTTAATACTAATTAAATTGGCCAAATGTGAGTCACCTTGTAGAAAGAAACTCTTTCTCTGATAGTCCGTGTCAGTGGGGAAGTGGAGATCTGTGGCTCATGGTCCTGTTGTCTCTTAATAATAGTAACTCACACTAATGTGCTTATTATGTGCCAGTTCTTAATCTACTCATTCAGTCTTCACAGTGGCAGAGATAGGTATTGTCATTGTTTGCTTGATAGATGAGGAAACTGAGACTTCCAAAGGAACTTGCCCAAGGTCACAGTAAGTAGTAGCACATGGATTTGAGCCTACCTAGGAGGTTTAGTTCCAGACTACATCTTCATTTCTCCACACTGTGCTGAATTTGGGTCTTTTTTTGTTGCTCTCTTCTTGGCTGTTTGGAATGCATTAGGAGCTTGGGTCTGTGGTTGATGTTTTCATGTCATTTCTAAGCACCCCTAGTCTTATGTTGCCTAGATAGGTCTTCAGCTTAAGCAGGTTGTTAAGAAAAAAATAAGACCATTTTAAAATATGGGGAAAAAATGACCACTTTAGAGCCTGTTGATACTAAAGAAGTCCTTATAATTAGAAAGGATTTTATAAACTCGTTTCCATCAAACATGGGAATTTTCTATGTAGTGCTTTATATAAGAAGTTCCATTGGAACTTTTTAATATGGCCGTTTTCAGCTACAGCTCCCTTTGTGGAGCATGATATTAATCATAACTAATAGAACTACTCAGCTGATATTTTACAGCCTACTCTATACTGGGCATTTTACACACTTACATGTAATAATGTATCCTAATCTCTGTGGCAGTCATATTAGGTAGTGAACATTATTAAAGCACTTTCAGAAGGGAAGCTGAAACCTAGAGAGGTTTAGCTCCTTGTCTAAGGTCATGCACATAGTGCCAGTATTTGCATCCAGACTGACTGACTCCAGTGACCCACTCTTAAATACCAGATTCTTGCCTGTTAGAATTTTAGAATGGAACCAAACACAACTCGTAGACAGCGGTTCCTTATTAGGACTTGAAAAAGTTTCTAGATCTCACAGCTCAGCTCACTGTAGGTGAGGCAAGGAAGAGCAGGTAGGAATAAGTTTCCTCATCTAGTGAACAGTGTGACTTTCAGATAATAGAGAGGGTCGGTGTTGTTACTGTATACTAGGGCCAACCCCTAGATTCTGACAAGGACCCTCCAATGACAGCAGGTCCCCTTTCTGCCAAGTGTTCCTTGTATGCAGGACAAATACCTGATCAGAAGTGAATGTGCCATGGATGGGAGGGCAAAAGAAGTTTTGTCATGTCCAGAGTCGCTAAGTTGATCCAATACAAGAACCTTCAATGAAACATTGAAAAATTTTTGTGGAATAAAATATACTCAAAGGGAGGAGGCCTATAAAGCCACCTCGGTGGGTATTACTTCCAGGGACATTCAGGAGACAGAAATGGAGATGCGGAGAGACCAGATGGAAAATGTTATGTACATGGGCCTCTGAGTGAAGAGCAGCTGCTAGGCCTGCTGACTGTGGCAGTAGGGGAAGGCAGGCACAGGTTGCTAAGGTTCTTCCGGAAAAGCAGGGAATCTAAATTTTCTTATGAAATGTCCCATTTTTGTCACCAAATTCAGCTTCGGTTGCTTCTGTGAAAGGGAATGATCCCTTTCCATCCTCAGGAGTATGAGAGACATAGACAGTTCAGGTTCCACCAGAGTCTTAGCAGTCTTGGTCAAGTCCAGGCTTGGGGAAAGGCTCTCATTAGAAGACCGCAGTGCCCAAGGATGGAGCTTGTAGCATGGGGTGAGTGCCTCTGTTTCCAGTGGAGAATGGGGAAAGCGGTCAGTGTCATCGCCTCTTTGTATCATGGGAAATCCCCAGTCTGCCTCCCCACAATCTGTTTCCCTTCTTGCCTCCTCCACTTGAGGGTCCAAGCCCCCAAGGCCAAACAAGTTGAGAGTCCTCTGCCCAATGGATGAGGCCTTCCCAGTTGCTTGGTTCTCAAACAGAACTTTGTGAGCCCCCTGCTACACTTACTGAGAACTGCTCAACTTACAAGGTATAGTCTGATAAATTGGTCAAGGACCAGATGGTAAATATTTTGCACTTTGCAGGCTGTACAGTTTCAGTCACAGCCACTGGATTCTGCCACTGTGTCACAACAACAGCCTCAGTCTAAATGAGAGGGTGCAGCATTGTCCTGATGAAACTTTCTTTGCAAAAACCAGGGCAGGGCAGTCCACAGAACATGGGTCCTTGGTCTAAAGTGGTATGTTTCACTCTGATTACTATCTGCTTTTACACTGGATTTCGCCCTGTGATAGCCCCATGCTTCACATGGTGCCAGGCACACAGTGGGTGGCCCGTTAGCACTTGTCTGGCGGGAGAGGCTCTGACTCCCCCAGCCTGGAGAGGCCTTCCCTTCTGCCACATGCCCCCAGCTCTCTGTCCCCAACACATCTTTCTTATTTATTCTCTCATGACCACCTGTGGCCTACTACCGACCTAAGAGCTAGAATATCAGCAACCAAGGTTTTTATTTTTTTATTATTTTTTAAAGATTTGTTTATTTACAAGAACCAGGGTACAGGCCAGATGCATGGGAGGGTGAGAGGATTCACCAGAGACAGAGCGGGGAACAGAACAGGCAGATTGACCAAAACACACTGCTGAGGGGAGCAGCGAGTGAGACAGGAGAGGTCTGCTGCACCATGTGGGTATCTCCCCGGCTGGCTGGGATCGAACCCGCACTGCAGAGGCTGTGGACAGTTTCACAGTGCTGCGCTCATCCGCCTGCGCCACCAGGGAGGCCCTTTAAATAATAAGGGGCCTCCCTGGTGGCGCAAGGGCTTAAGACGCAGCACTATGAAGCTACCCATAGCCACTGCAGCACAAGTTCAATACCTGGCCAGGAAGGTGACCTACATGGCGCGGTAGACCTCTCCTGTCTCTCCTACTGCTCCCCTCAGCAGTGTGTTTCGGTCAATCTGCCTGTTCTGTTCCCCATTCTGTCTCTGGTGAATCCTCTCACCACCCCCACCCACACACACCTCTGGCCTGTACCCCAGTTCTTGTATGCATAAATAAATCAATCTTTTAAAAAATAGTTTAATATTTACTCATCTATTGGGTTGTCAGAAAAATCATGATGCATTTTTGCAACAAAAACAGAAAAAATACATGACTTTTCTGACAACTCAATATATGTAGTACACTATAATACATCATATATATATATATATATATATATATATATATATATATATATATATATATATATGGCATGCAGAGTTTAGTTTGGGTTGTTCCAGAGCTGTATGAAAAGTTTATTGTGCTGGATGTAGCTTTGTGACTGACTTATCACGTGAGACATTAGGGTGCCTCCGTGTCGAGGTGCATACTTCTGCTGCACTGGATTGGCACTGCTGTCCAGTAGCTGCTGAGTGAATGTGCCCATATTTATGTATGCATTTTCCTGGTGATGAGCTTTTGCATTATTCCCAGCTTTTTGTTTTATTTTGTTACCCCTGATGTGCATGAGTACACAATTCTTTCTAAGGAACCGCTAAGGTGGCCCCTTCTGACCTCCTTATCCAGCCGCTCCCACCCAGAACTGACCTGCTTGAGCTCCCATAGGCAGGGACCAAGGTGAATGAGGCATTTCAGAGCCAGGGTGGACCAACTCCCATCACTCGAGTCCCCTCCTTGTTCCTTACCAGTGCCTCTCTCCCCCAGATTCAACTGGCATGCTGGGCCGTATCGTCTTTGCCTGGTGGAAGGGGTGAGTTTGTCTTTCTGGTTAGCAAACTTCAGCTCCCCTTCCTACTAGTTTCCAGAGGAAGGGAGAGTTAAGTCTTTAGTGAGTACCCCATTCAGGTAACCTGCCCAGGGTGACTTCGCAGGGAAATCACAGCTGTGGCTATGAGAACATATACTCTGCTGGCCATCACAGAAAAACCCCAGTGCCCTCTGCTGGGCTCTCAGTGCCCTCTGCTTGCTTATTGAAAGCAATGCTTACCCCAAAAAGGAAAGACTACTCCAGGGACTGCTGTGGTGGCTCAGACATTTGAGTGGACTTTGCTGTGTGAGTAGGGAGGGGGCTTGGGCACGTCATCAGGCATCAGTATTCCTGTGCCATGCAGGATCACTGGCACAGTGATCTAGAAGGGATTAAGGGTCTTGCCTGCCTGTTTCCTCTTCATGTCAGTATTGGGCAACTTATCATTGACCTAGGGGTGGCTTAGCATCTACTGTTGATTGTGGTTGTGAGGTACAGTGAGATGGTTTGTACAGAGTGCATTGCGTGGCACGTAGTAAGTGCTTAGTAAACACTGGCTGCTAGTAACAATTCTAACGGTGACTCACACGCTCTCGGCTTCATCTCCAGTTTAAGAACAACTTTGTAGAGTAGGATGGAATGAGTTCACTTTACAGATGTGAAGCAGACCTAAAAGGGAAGTTTCTCACCCTCTCCGGAGTTACAACTTGTAACTAGCAAGATGGAATCTGAACTTGAAGTCTCTTCTGTCTATATCAGGCAGCCTTACTCGGCAGAGCCCTAGACCACATGCCTGTGCCATAGATTCCCTCAGGTGCTCCCCATATGTGTTCCGTACATTCCATGCAGGAATGTTCCCATTCCCTCCAGAAAATTTGAAATGAAGGGTCAGGGCTAGTGCTGCAAATTCTGAGCTGGTTTGTGGACTACAACTGGGATATTGGAGAAGTCACCCTAAAGTGTTTGTGCGTGGGCCAGAGGGGCCCCTGTGGCCATCCGCTGTGTTGTATAGTAGAAATATCCTAGGTCTGGATGTCAGAACCTGGCTTTTCCTCTTAACCTGTTCTCCATGTAATTGAGGGGCACCCTACCCCTTCTCTGAGCTAGTGATCTGTGTAACATGGGGTTACACTGAATGTAGCATATTATAGTGCAAAAGGTGGACTTCTTGCCAGGTTCCCTCAGTGAAGCAGGAGCAAGAGGAGATGGCAGAGGGACCAATGATAACCTCCCCGAAAGGAGGCTGGAGGGTGGGGAGCAGCCATCAGACAATCTTTTTTCCCCTTGATGTGTTATGAGTTCATCAGGGCAAACACTGAGTGACCCCTGAAGTTCCCCCCAGTGAATGGTGGATTTCAGGCAGCAGTGACAGGGTGCTGGGACAGGCATCTGGCTGGGGTGGGTTTTCTTGAGCCCTTGAGAATTACCAGGTACCAAGATACCCCGCCCTGCCCATAAGATGCATTTTCTCCTTAAATCCAAATTGCAAACCAATTTCTCCTTCCCAACAGGAGCAAACTGGACTGTAATGCCAAGCAGTGGAGGTGAGGAGAACTGGCACAGAGGGGAGGGGAGTCCTCTGTTGTGAAAGTCTCTTACCTTTGACCTCTAACCTCTGATTCCTTCCCCCAGGCTTTTTGCTGACATCCTCAACGATGTGGCCATGTTCCTGGAGATTATAGCTCCCATATACCCACTCTGTTTCACCATGACTGTCTGCGCCAGCAACCTGGCCAAGGTACCCGTCTCTGGGGCATCCCTACATCCCTGCACCTGCTTTGGTGGTGCTATGTGTGGGCACACTTGGGGTCCACAGGTGATCCCCCTCTTCACCCCTTCTCAGAGCAGCGCAATCATCCTCTCAAGAGTAGAAATCAAATCAGGCCACTTCCCTGCCCCTGTGGCTTTTAGGATAAGAACTGTAACAAGGACTGTGAGGTTCGGTTTCTGAGGTTCATGTCCCCACCAGTCGATCCAGCCGCATTTTATCCCTCTTACTTTGAACAAGCCGTTTCCTCTGCCTGTGTCATAACTCCTTTATTTGTTTATCATGCATTGACTTACCAGCTTCATGAGGGCGGGGGTTGTATCTTAATGTTACCACAGCACCTAAATCTGTGTCTGGCTTTGAAAAGAGATGCAGTTGCCCTGAAGTGTCAGGTCACCAGTGTGGGTTTTGAACTAAAAGGCTGGCTAGGCCTTGCCTGGGGAAGAGTGGAGTTAGTTACAGGCAGGCAGAATGTAGGCGTGAAGTCGGAAACCAGATCGGGCCTGCTAGCTCAGCACTGGGAGGGCGCAGCCAAAATAAAAGTTGAAGGGACGTTCTGGCCTGAGAATGGTCTTAGGGCCTCCACCTCCGAGAAAGAAATTGAATTCCCTTAGTGCCAGGTCCACATGGTGGTGTGGCAGGCAGAACTGTGGTTCCCTCCTGGAAGAGGACAAGGGGGTAATTTAGGGAAAATGCGGGGTGAGAACCAGATACCAAGAACAGCATTCAAGGCTTTGCTGTGGGGTTGCCTGAAGCCATAGGTGTTCACAGCTTGGCTCTCCCGTGAAAGCACCTGTGTCACCACAGCAGATGGCCACTCTGACTTTCACGCTCCTCTCCACCCAGTGTATTGTGAGCGTGGCTGGCGGAGCGACTCGGGCCGCGCTGACCATGCATCAGGCCCGGAGAAACAACATGGCTGACGTGTCCGCCAAGGATAGCAGCCAGGTGAGCAGCTGGCATCGAAGGGACTGGATCCCAGGACATAATGTGGGAATTTGGAGAAGCTTCTGGTACTCCTCGGGGTGGGGGAGGGTGGGAGATGCACAGGAAGAATATAGATACTGCTTGCTCGGACTCCTGGGATAGCTAGTCAGGTGGAAGGGCAGGGACCCGGCTGACAACAAGTCCCAGCTGATCGCCTCTGCCCCTGCCTGCTGCCAGTATAGCTGCGTGAGCCCTGGCACCAGCCCTGGCCCTCCCACTCTCTGGACCATGGTCCCACCCTGGGAAGTGGATGTTCTGAGCACACGAGGCCCCATGTGTGAAAGCACTCGGCAAGTCTAAAAGTGCTCAGCAGGTGAGGTGGCTGGGTGGCTGGCTGCAGGCCTCCGCTCAGCAGTTTAGCCAAAGGTTAAAAGTGTACTAGACACCCTCACCAGTAGTGGGAGCCCTGGAATGTTCCGGGGCAGGGAGAAGGTGATGAAAAGCGCTCAAGGATAATTCAGTCTGGCCAGGAGGGGAGCCCTCACCTCCCACACCCTCTGCCATTTTCCAGGAGACGCTGGTTAACCTGGCTGGGCTCCTGGTCAGTCTCTTGATGCTTCCCCTGGTGTCAGATAGCCCTAGGTAAGCCAGGGTCAAGGGTGGGGACAGGCCTGCTGGACCTCTGCCCCTATGGCTACCTCACTCTTTCTCCTTAGTTTCAGCCTCGGATGTTTCTTCCTTCTCACTGCCCTCCACATCTACGCCAACTACCGGGCAGTCCGAGCCCTCGTCATGGAGACCCTGAACGAAAGGCGGCTCAAGCTGGTCCTGAAGCACTTCCTGCAGACTGGAGAGGTGCTCGGCCCCACTTCAGCCAATCAGATGGAACCGCTGTGGACAGGTGACACAATTCCCGGGCCTCAAGTCCTAGATCTCCCATCTCTTTCCCTGCCTGCACAGCCTGACTTCAGCTTCCCACAGGTTTCTGGCCGTCTCTGTCTCTGTCCCTGGGTGTCCCCCTACACCGCTTAGTCTCCAGGTGAGTGGCCCAGTGTCTCCCAACCATCACTACTGCCACTCCCAGTCCTGATATGTGCCCCTTATTCTGGTTACACACTGACCTCCCTTTCCTCAGCCCCACCTCCCTGGTCTAAGTTCTTTAGTCCCCTGAGCAGACTTGGGGGTCAGCTCGAAGGCAGCAGGCAGGGTGTGTAACATAGGGTAGATAAAGGGGATTTGTTGGGTGGAGGAAGAATGGATGGGAACAGTGATGATGGGGTGCAGGGAGAATGGCAGGATGGATGTGGGGTACGTGGGTAATGGCTGAGGGAGGGTGGGAAGTTGGTGAGGGACCAGTGAAGGGGGGTAGTTGTGGTTAATGGGTGTTCTGTTCAGTTGCCTGGATGGTTATTCCTGCCTTTGCTCTCTCCCCCTCTCTACTCTGCTCTTTCCTTCAGTGTTTCTGAGCTGCAACAGCTGGTTAAAGGGCACCAAGAACCCTACCTCCTTCGATGGGACCTGTCACGAAGTAAGTGTCCATGTTCGCCCAGCCTCATGCCCCCCTCGGGTCAGACTATTGTTTTTCCAGCTCCAGGAACCCAAGCCCTGGACACTTGGAGGCTGCCTGGTGTCCTCAAGGGAACTGTAGACTAAGACCTGAGGCATGCACGTTAGAGCTGTGTGCCCTGATGAAATTCACATCACCCCTCTGTAAAATGGAGCTTGCAATACTTGGCTTGTTACAAATGAGATGATTATTGGATTAAATAAGGTGATTATTGGCATGCATTTTGTACATTGGTCACGTAAGATTGTGACCTTTGGTTACCCCTGGAGGAGCACTTTTCTCTCCATCAGAGAGAAACCTCTTGAGGAAACAAGAACTAGAGTTTACTGGTCTGCTGGTCAAGTGTTAAAAGGTGCTTGTTCTCACTAGCTATTTAAGACTGCAAAATAAACCCACCTTAGTGAGCTGCTATGAAGTTGTATTTGGAAATTAGCCAGAGCTTTGGAGAGCAGCAGGAGATGAAATTAGAAAGGAAAGTGTGAGAGGTGGCCCTTTGTGCCAGACCATGCCCCTGGGGGCAGATAGGAAGCGACCAGGGGTGGAGGTAAGGTCGTAGGCTTGAGGTATTGGGGGAAGTGATCCTTCCGGGGTACCAGTCTGTCTCTGGGTCTCTCCAGACCAGGTCCAGGTAGTTCTGAGCCAAATGGCAGGCCCTGAGGCCGTCCTAAGAGCTGCCACCCATGGGCTGGTGCTCAGAGCCCTGCAGGAAGATGGGCCTCTCCCAGGAGAGCTGGAAGAACTGAGGAAGCAAGTGCGGGCAGGTAAGAGCCTCACAATCTAGACTACTGATGATCTCAGGGGCTGGGGAAGGGTGGAGTAGAGAGGAAGGACTCTGTCGGTCTTGGGGACTGGAGAGCTTCTGACTTTGTGCCCACCCCCAGGTCCTGAGAAAGATGGCTGGGTCATCGTAAGGGAGACGCACCAAGTGCTGGACAAGCTATTCCCCAAATTCTTGAAAGGTAACATCCTTCAGGTGCCTTGGCCCAGAGGCCCTGCCTACCCCACCCCCTCTCCACCTGGGAGGTGAAAGGCCTGAATTCTCTGTGACCTGAAGTCTGGGCCTTATTTCCCTGTCTGTAGGATGGGCAGGTTAGGATGATCTCTGAGGCTGAGTCGTTGCTGACAGTCTGTAATCCCAGTTGGCACTGAAGAACTGGGGGCGTAGGGCAGAAGCCTCACAAATTACTGATGATGTTCTCTGATTTAGCAGCTGTTCCATTTCAGCCTTTCCCCCTATGCTATCTCCATGAATTCTTACTACAGCCAAATGAGGTCTTAGCCTTATTTCATGCCAGAGATCACCCAGCAGAGGCCAGGGCAGCCAAAGCAGCGCACAGAGCCTGCACCCAGCCGTGTCGCTCCTCACCCGCCTCCCAGGGTCCACCCAGAGTCTCCTCCCCAGCAGTCCTGGAGCACCCCCATTGCCCTCTCCCCAGGACTGCAGGATGCAGGCTGGAAGACAGAGAAGCACCAGCTCGAGGTGGACGAGTGGAGGGCCACGTGGCTCCTGTCGCCAGAAAAGAAGGTCTTATGAGCAGCCCAGGTCCCAGAATAGGAGACCGGCGCAAACACACTCTGACCTCAGCAGGACGTGGGAAAGGCAGCTTTATTTTTGCTTAGGGGCACTGCTGCGGCAGACCGACCCTGGCTTTCTGGGAAGTGACTGCCAGTCAGATGAACCGAGCCCCAGGCAGGGACAAGGCAGAAAAGGGAGAACCTGGGCTTCCTCCCTCTGCTGCCCAATCCCCTCTCACCACTGCAGGCTCTGACCCCCACTCATTGTGGCTCAGCCCAGCCCTGACTGTGGCCCACGGGGTCCAACGAAGTTGGCCTCAAGCATAAAAGCCCCAGAGGAACGTGGCCACGGCCATCATAAGCAAGGCATTGAGGTTGACCACACGGGCCCAGCTTGGGTCCTCACTGATGTCCTCCAGCTGCCTGGTTGCTTCAGCCACCTCCTCTGGGGTAGGGGGTGAGGGGCTCCCTGCTCCGCTCTTGCTCATTCCACAGAACCAGAGCAGGCACTGGCGCAACAGGCCTGGTGTTGGGGGCTGGGGCTCTAAGAAAAATTGAGGCCCCACAGTTAGGATGAGGGAACTTGTCTCCCCCAGCCTCTGCCCACCTCCTCGGGCAGTGCCTTACCCTCGATCTCCACTGCTTGCTCCGGGCGCCCATTCTGCTCTGGGAGTGAGGTTGGACTACTCAGCTCATCAGCATCCAGGTCTTCCCGCTCCTCCTTGCTGTGCCGGAGACTGAAAACCAGGCGGTGGAGCTGGGGAGGGGTGGGAGCAGGGGCCAAGTGGGAGTTCTGTCCTCCAAGCCCAGATGCTGAGGTGTCTGTCCACATGGGCACTCCCTGAATTCCCTTTGTCCAGCCTGCACTCCCAGCCCAGGCCCAGCTCACTCAAACCCCACCCACAGGGCCCTTGGCCCTTAGGCCAAAGGCAAGCTCCCCAGCTGGGTGTTTTCAAGCTCTTGGCCCTGCTCACCCCCCTTGCTCTTCCACCCAAGTCCCCCAGCTACACTGAAAATTGTAGTACTTTTGTCAGTCCTTCCTGGGGGTGTCTGCTCACGTTCCTCCTGCTGCCTTTCCCTGTGTCTCCACTGTGGACTGCTGCCCAGCCTTCCAGACCCAGCTGTTTTGTCCTGACCCCACTCGACCCCGAGGCACTTGCTACAGCACAGGACCAAGCCCTTTTTGCAGCTTTCAAGTTAGTAGTACCCTGTCGCTCCCAGTCACCAATCATAGCCTGTGTTGTGAGTCCCAATGGCCAGATTAGGGATTGGGGGGCCCTTAATCACCTCTCCCCAGTCTTCACAAAGCCACCTGGACAGACCACCCCAAATAAATTCATTTAAATAAAAACATTGTGCTTGCTTGGCAAATGCACCTTCAAACTGGACTCCCAACCTGGCCTCACCAACCCTCAGTAAAGAAATTCAGTCTTTTCCACTGGGCATTCCTGGAAGCAGACTGGGGACTGTCAGCGAGCATCCCTGGGTACTGCTTGGTGCCCATCTGGAGGTCCGCACTTACATGCTTGCGGGGAATGGGCTCTGTGCACAGCGAGATGAGGAGGATGAGGACGCTGGAGCAGATGAAGAGCACTATAGCAAAGTAGAGGTAGTGCACGCCGCAGAAGAGGGCCGGGCAGGATGAGGGCCGCACACAGCTGCCCGAGCCGAAGGAGAACTCGGGAATAAGGCGGGCCAGCCCCATCAGCAGGCCCCCAATCAGTCCCCAGAAGGCGCCCTGCGTGGAGGGGTGGGGTGAGAGAGCGCCCACCTCCCGTGTCCGAGCCCCGCCCCAGCTCCCGTGAGCTCCCACCAGCCCACCTTCTCGTTGACGCGGGGCACGAAAAGCGCTAGCACGAACACTGCCGACACCGGGGGCGCCAGGCAGCTGGAGACGGCCTGGATATAATCAAAGAGCTGCCCGCCCTGCGCCGCCTGCACCACGGGGAGCCAGGCCACCGACACCGCCACGATGAACACCACCCAGAGCCTGCGGTGGGCGGCCATCAGGACGTTTCGCCCGGTTCCCCGACCCCACAGTGCCGCCCACCCCCGCCGGGGCTGGAGATGGCGGGACGCCCTGGCGCACCGGCCTACTAGCAGCAGCTCCCGGTCGCCTGCGCGGGGTCGCAGGCGCGTGTAGATGTCCATGGTGAAAAGCGTGCTGCTGCTGTTAAAGATGGACGCCAGCGAGGACATGAGGGCGGCCAGCATGACTGCCAGCATGAGTCCGCGCAGACCTGCGGGTCAACGGGAGCTGTGAGGGCGCGGGCGGGGTGCGGGGAGCCCTGGAGGGTGCAGGCGCCTCCCCCGGAGGCAGTCTCTGCTGCATGCCCGCCCCCGTGGACAGGGGGCAACCTGGGCATGCACCCTCACCATTGGGCATGAGCTTCACGACCAGCCGCGGGTAGGCGATGTTGGAGCAGCCCACCTCAGTTCCACACACGCGCTTACACACCTCGGGCACCACGCAGGCCACCTCATCTGCGGGAAGGAAGGAAGGACACAGCTGGGGGTGGGGTGTGGTCTGGGAACTCAGATTCCTGAAGTGGGAGGAGAGATGGGACCCCTGGTAGCCACCAAGACTGGGTTCCCAGCCCCTAGGACAGTTAGAAAGGGGCTGGATGGGGCGCAGGATCGGTTGGTGAGGATGCAGACATTACCCGGGTAAAGAATGCGGCTGATCATGCCCGGCATGACCATGAGGAACATGGGCATCAGCTTCAAGTAGCCGCACAGGATGCAGCCCGCCTTGATGTGGGTCAGGTTCTTCCCTGCCAGGCAACGCTGCACTATGACCTGCGAGAGGGGCGTTCAGCAACCTGCGTCCAGTCAGGTACTGCCCGCCCCCTCAGGCCTGGCCTCCACTCTTCGCCCTCATTCAGACCGTCCCTCTAGCTCAGCAGGGCCCGCGGTGCCCGCAGCGCCACGCGAGGCCTCCTCTGGGATCTCGCTGACTCTGATTTAGCAGCACCCTGACCGGGTCCTGCCCCTCAGCCACGCCTTGGGCCTCCGCTCCCCAGGTGGGCTCAGCCTCCCTCCATCTCAGCTCTGCCCCAGCGTTTAGGTCTCTGCCCCAGCTTCTCTCCCAACCGCAGCCTTGACCCTCACCTGGTCGCTGCACCAGTACCAGCCAGAGATGATGGTGAGCCCCACAAGCAGTGCCGGCCATGGCAGGTCCCCAGTCACAGGGTCCCGGAGCAGATGGTATGAGTCGGGCCGGGGTAGATAGCAGGAGCTGGAGATGTTGCCCACGGCCGGATCCTCAGACACAGTCAGCGACGTCACTGCCCCCAAGTATTTGTCGAAAAGTCCCGAATACCCGCCCACCTCGTGGAAGGCTGTGAGGGTAAGGCTGTTAGGGGACCCGTCGCCCACGCCAAGACCCTCCCGAGGACTCACATGCCGAAGACGATCAGTGTCCCTGCTCCCAGGTTGAAAACACCACCCTCGACCTTGTCTGAGCCCCCCCCCCCTTGTCTGTGCCCCATACCGTAACCCATGAGGATGAAGGCTCCCCCGAGAATGACGAAGGTCTGCACAGTATCCGTGTACATCAGAGCGGCCAACCCTCCTGCAACAGGCCTGGGTCAGAGGAGCAACCTAGCACACGCCCGGTATCCTTCTGGGAGAATGAATTTCAAAAAGCAACAACCCATTCTGCCAGCTTAAGGACTCCATGGGACAGGAGGCAGGACTTGGTGAGCAGAGTGGCTGAATTTTAGTCTCCACTAATGCCCCCCTCTTGGCCAGGCTCCCACTGTAGGAGCCTGGGCTGTAGGCCTGGGCTGGCATTTTCTCCTCTCCCCCGACTATCTAACAGCAGGGGGCGATTCTCCAACAGCCTGTTCTCAACTCCTTTCCACAGTCCCACCACAGGGGTTGGGTGCCTGGAGTCCTCCATAGAATCAGGCCTGCTACCTGCTCTGGATCTCCTCCTGGCCTCGGGCCGGTGCTGGAATCCTCAAATTGCACCTGGTTTGGTGAATCATGCGGGAGACTGGCTAAGGCCACTCTCCCCTCTCAGATGTTTGAGATTAGAGCAGCTAAATCTTTTTGCACACACTCAACATGTGCTCATTGCTCAGCAGTGCCCACGGTGCCCGCAGCTCCATGCGAGGAGCCCAGGAGACTCCCCAGTTCATGAGCTCAGAGGATGAACCATTCTCTTGAAATCTGTCCTCCAGGTAGGGACACCTTTTTCAAATTTGCACAGACACCATATGTACTAGGTTGCTTTCCAAAGATTTGTGTCTTTCTCCTACTTGGACCACACCACACCAGAACTTCTCCACCTTGCCTTTTTGTGGTGACTCCCCCGCCGCCCCCAGCCCCACAACCCATCTCCAGACCTGCTCCCTTCCCTAAGTTTCTGGCACTGGTCACCTGTCACAGTGTAGACCATAGTGATGGCTAGCAGTGCGATGACAGAGGCATAGATGTTCCAGCCCAGAGCTTGTTGAATGAATACCGCCCCGGAGAACATGTCGACCTTGGGGGAAGGCGCACAGGTCAAGACCCTGGGGTCCAGGCCTACTCCTGCCCTGACCACGACTCGAAGGTTTCCTTAGTGTTCCTTGGTCTGGCCTCCCCAGGCTCCGCCCACTGTGGTCGCAGCCCCACAGATCTCCAGATCCTGCCTCCATCGTGATTCTCCAGCATTTCTCCTTGACTCCGCCCTCCTACAGTCCTTTCCAGAGACTTGTACTTGGAGGTCCCGCCCTCCCAGGGTCCCGCCCTGCAGCCAACCCGCGAGCGCACCGAAATCTTGGTGAAGATGTACAGAAAAAGCGAGAGTACAGACAGGTAGAGGCGGATGCGGTGGCCGCCGAAGCGCTTGCGCAGGTACTGCGGCATCGTGATGACGCCCGCCGTCAGGTACACCGGCGCGAAGAGCCAGCCCAGCAGCAGCACCACGAACAGCGCCTGCGGGCACGGAGCAACGCTGAGGGGGCCTCCTGCTGTGATGCTCCATGGCCCTCCCGGCGAAGGGGCCAGGAAGGACCCTGAAGGTGGTCTCTCCTATACCCCTGACTTCACACTCGGGAAGCCTGACCCCACCCACAGGTGGGGAGTCCCACCTTCAGCCTCATCCCCAGGAACCTCCCCAGCTATGACCTTTGCAGGAGTTCTCACTGAGGGTGGGGGTTATTGGCAAAAAGGGGCCCTCACATTCCACTCAAATGCAGCCACAGCCAAGCCGCTTGCAGCTCCAGTGCCTGCCAGGCCCACAAAGTGGCCACTGCCGATGTTGCTGGCAAAGAGAGAGGCCCCAACCTGGGGGGGGAGGGGCCGGTAGAGATGAGGGTGAGCCAGGCAGCTTCTCTAGGGTCCCTCCTGCCCCACAGCCCAGCCTCTCTCACCGGCCACCACACCATGCTTCGTCCTGCCAGGAAGTAGCCGCCAATGGTGCCTCTGTTGGTTCTGCACATGGACTGGGGGACAGGAGTGGGGAATAGACCTGGATTTGGGGGCACATCTTTGGACCTCATTAGTCTCCTAAACACATTCCTCAGCCTTATTTCAGGCTGAAGATTAACCAGTGCCAGGCTCTCCTGGTTCACACTCCCCACCCCCACCTCCCAGGCACCCAGAGCCACCTAGGCCCTAACCTAGTGTCCAACTCCCCAAGCCTGAGTATGAGTGGCTTTCACCTGATTCTCCTGGGGGGCCTTGCTCATGGGCGACTGCTCAGCCATGTCGTAGACAGGGGGCCAGAGACCCCAAGTAGAATGCTGTCCCTGAAAAAAATCTACCACCTCCCACCACTAGCCCTATCCAATGGCGGGAAGACGAGGAATGAGTGTTGGCTATCAAGACTCATTTGCCCCTCAGTCTGGGTTTCTCCCTCAAAGATCCAGGCATCCTGACCCAACCACTTCCTTGGGTCTCCCAGAGACTCCCCGCCATGGCCCTCAGTACCCCATTGATTTCTCACCCACAAACCGACACCAATGACCAGCAGGAAATAGGCAGCAATGACCAGGATGTCAGCAGGGTTGTCAACTAAAACGCTCTGCTCCCCCAGCTCCGGTGCGGCGCTGGCCTCTGTATATTCCTCCATTCTGCACAGGATCTGCCCCTCAAGGGACCAGCCCTTGGGTTTCCCCAGGGGGAGGATTAATGTTTACCTCAGGGGCAGTGAGCCGGCAAGTCCCCCCCCATCCTCCCTCCGCCTTTTCCCCCTCCCCAGCTTAATTTAGCTGAATCAGGTCATATCAAGGCTGAAGGCTGGTTCTGGCAAGGTGGGCCCTTTCAACCTCAGGAGCACTCCTTCCTGGGCCTTAGCCCCCACCTCTTTTCTAGTGACCCAAGCTCACAATCAGTTCTTCCATCCCCTAAAAATATCCACCCTTTAGCCTTGATCTGGGGAACTGGCTAAGTGAGTGCCCTCATTCTGACTAATCCAGAGGGATCACTTTCAAACCCAAATCTGACAGTGTCACTCCCTTGCTCAGGAACCTCCCACTCCCCATCACAGTCAGGAGAAAGTAGAAGCTCATCAGCCTGATGTTCAACATCTGCCTCCCAAATGGCCAACTCCTATTCAACCTTCAGTACCCAGCCATGTCACCCCTTCAAGAAAGACTTCTCTGACTTTTCTGATATAGTTCTGAGCTCATTGTATGGTCTTGTTTGGGCCAAGTCTGTCCCCCCAACAGACTAGAGATTCCTCCAGAACAAGGAATGATCTGATTCATCCCTGGAGCCCCAATGCTCAATACAGGGCTGGATACGAGGAGGGAGGGGGTTGATAAATATCTGACAGAAAAAGTACCTCCACCTTTCTACAGAAGAATTGACCACACTTGGATGTGTGGATTATGTGTGGACAATCCACACTTGGATTGTCTCATTATGGCAATTATGTCCATGCCTGAGTTGTGGAATGGGGAACAATACTTTAGGGACATGTGTTGAGTTGCTTAAGGAGTGTCTTAGTTTGGGGCTCTTCAAAAGAAGACTCATAAAGATGAGATTTCTTTTAGGTGCAAGTGAGGAGTGAAGGTGTGGGGAAATAAGACAAAAAGGAGAAAGGCCCATCGAGGGTGTTAACAACTGGAACCCAAGCTCAAGGCCACCCTCTGAGCACTGTACAGAAGTGCCTCAGAACCCACCCCCAGGGGCCAGGAGGCTGGAGTGTTTATTCACTGATTGCTGTGCCTAACTGGCTGGAGGTTCCAGAACCTCTCCCAGCCACTTCAGTCTGGCAGGGCACAGGAGCCCACTCCTGCCTCCAGCAGCACCCGCAGGAGTCTGGGTGGGGACTCAGGCAGTGGCTGGGGAGTCTGGGTGCCTGGTATGACCTATACACGACTGCCCAGGCAGATGTGGGCTGAGTGGGTAAGGGCAGGACCCCCAGTGTCTGCTTCAGGGTGATGAGCTGGGTATGCCGGAGAGAAATCCAGGGGCGGGTCTCAGAGGACACATTGGAGGTCTAGGTCCTTTAAATAAAACCTGTAAACCTCACTGTGGCTGGCAAGGCCCTTCATGCTGGGCACAGATTTCCTCTTTGCCCTTATTTCCGGCTCTCCCCCTGGCTGGCTCTAATCCACCCACACTGGTCTTGTTTCCTTTCTTCCACCATGCCAAGCTCTCTCCTACATATTGGCCTTTGCACTTGCTGATTTCTATGCTCAGAATGTTCTTAGGCTCTTTGCCTGGCTGGCTCTTTCTCAACCTTCAAGTCTCAGCTTAGACATTAAATTTTCAGAGGTCTTCTCTGACCAGCTGGTTAAAGCAGTCCCTCCCCTGCCTTCTTGAGCTTAGTTCTTCAGTATTTCCTTCTCACCTTTCCTCCTTCCCTTCCCCTCCCTTCCCTTCCTTTCCTCTTTATTTGTTTGTGTGTTTTTAAATATTTATATATTTATGCATACAAGAACTGGGGTGTAAGCCAGAGGTGAGGGGGGTGAGAGGATTCACCAGAGACAGTGGGGAGCAGAACAGGTGAATCTACTGAAACACACTGCTGAGGGGAGTGGCGGGTGAGTCAGGAGATGTCTACTGCGCCATGTGGGTAGCTCCCTGGCTGGCCGGGATCAAACTCGTGCTGCAGTGGCCAGTGATAGCTTGATAGCGCTGACTTTAAAAAGCCTTGTGCCACCAGGGAGGCCCTCCTTTCTTCCTTTATTAACAAGTATTTATTGAGCACCTACCACATGCTACACTAGAGAGCCATGGCCAGCAAAACAAGCATGCTGTCTAACAAGCAAGCTTTCAGGAGCTTCCATTCCAGTTTCAGAAACAGACACAAACAAGAAAAAATAAACATCTACTTGCAATAGTGACAAGAGTTACAAAGGGACTAAGGGGCTACTGTGGGTGGGAACAAGTGAAATGGTCAACTTTACAAGTAGTCAGGATCACCCCATCATCCATCACACTTGTCACTTGTGTACTTGTCTGTCATCTGTCTCCCTACTAGACCTCAGCTCTGAGAAGACAACCAGCAAGTCCACTTGGTTCCCTGTGGTCTCTTGGTTCCCTTGCACAGTAAGTGTTCAAAAACACTTGGAGAATGAAAGAATTGTGACTAGAGATGGCAAATGTGAGCATCCTCACGACAGGGAGGGGATTACAAGTCAGGAGACAGACAGCACCCCTGGGAAGGCTGCATGGAAGAAGATCTTGGGAAGACCTAGGGAGAGGAGCCTCAGAGGAAAGGATCTGGGGATCTGCTTCAGGCAAGGGGAGAGCACACCCACATTTGTCTCTTGCCCACGTATTATATGCTTTTCTTGGCTGCTAGGTCCTCCTTGAGCTGGGAGGATCCATCATTTCCAGCCCCATGGACTCTGATAGTCTGGATCCACCAGTGAAAGCCCCTCTCTAGAGAACTGCACGATCCAAGATGAAGAGTCTGGGCTCACAAAGGTCCCTGTGGCTTGGGGACTCAGGTGGAGCCTGAACTTTTTCACACCTAAAACTTCTGGTTTCACGCTTCTTTGCTGGGGCTTAGCTTGTGTCACCTCCTCCAGGAAGCCTTCCTTGACCACCCCCCAGTCTCTTAGAAGCCTCCTGGATTCTACACTCCAGATTCTTTCCCCAGTCAGTGCTCTGACCACACCAAATGTCATCCTCTGTCTAGGGGAGATGTTATTAGTCTATACCAGTAAAAGGGAAGCTGTGCCTTAGTACCCAAATCCAAAGGGTGGGTGACGATGTCGTTTTTGGAGTCAGTGCGGGGTCCTTAGGTTCACTCTGGGAAAGGTGTCACCAGAGCTCCCCTTTTAACAGCACGCGGCAAGTTTCCCAGGCAAGTTTCTCCATGAGACAGAGACGTTAGTTATATTTGAAAGAGCAGGTTTATTAGAAAAGGGACAGAAGAGTAAAAGACACTTGCATAGACACAAGCAGGCAGAAAGAACTGCCCAGAAAGGGGAAGATTTGCTGAGAGAGGCCTGCATGGTCGCAGGCGGGTGGCCTTGAGGAGAGCTGCCTCTGCTGAGGGAGGTCAGTGGAGAGAAGCCCCAGCATGGTACAGGTCACGGGCAGGCAGGAAGGCTGCTGCCCTGCAGAGGGAGAGAGTTGGTGAAAAGAAGCACCTGCGTAGCCACAGGTGGGCAGAACTGCTGCCCCTCTGTGGGGGCAGTATTAGGTTGAAGACCTAGGACTAAAGACCACAATTTTAACCTCTGTGAGTATTGGAAAAAACTTAAGAATTACCCAGTGTGATAAGGACTTACAAGTACATTTATCTGTTGACGACTTAGTAAGGTTCATAGGATAAGATTTTTTTTAGTTCACTAAACCTGAGAGTATAAGTAAGAATAACAAGATTATTAGATTGCCCAATTTTTGTTATCAAGTTAGTAAGGGCAGGAGCAAAAAGTAGATCTGAAAGTTAAGTTTCCTTACCATAAGGAGTAGAAGTTAACCTGAGAGTTTAGTAATTTTATTTTTATTTTATTTTTTTAAAAAAGATTTATTTATTTATGATTACAAGTACTGGGGTACAGGCCAGAGGTGTGAGGATTCACCAGAGACAGGCAGATAGACCGAAGTACACTGCTGAAGGGAGCAGCGGCGAGTCTGGAGAGGTCTGCAGCGCCATGTGGATTGCTCCCTGGCCGAGGATCGAACTCGTGCTGCAGAGGCTGCGGACAGCTTCACAGCGCTGCGTTCAACCCCTTGCGCCACCAGGGAGGTCCTTTAGTAACTTTAGATAAAATGGTTTTAGATATTTAACAATTTAGCATTCGTATGAACTGGCACTTCACGATGGTGCCCCTACTCTTGGGGGTCCTTCGGAGAAGGGGAGGGAATTTGAAAACAAGACAAAGTGGTGCGGGTAGAGATGAGGCAAATTCAGATTAAATGTTTAGGAATCGAGGGAGCCGAAGAACGGGGCAATGGCGCAGGGAGGTTTGCTGGGGCCCAGCTCGAGCTCGGGTTCTGGCTCCACCACTATCTACACAGCCCCTGCAGGTTGCCGCCCTCAGGCTCTTCTGATGTGAAAAACAAACCGCGTGGCTGACGCAGCAGGTCCCCGCGGCGCCCCGGGGAGGGCCGGGACCCCGCCAGCCTGGGGGCGGGGCGGGCGAGGCTGTCCCTAGCGCGCACCACTCCGGCGAGAGGGAGAACGTGTATTTATGCAGGTAGAAAAAAGTGCACTGGACAGTGAGGGAGTGGGGAGCAGGGCACCCCGGCCTGGCCTCTGCGCACTGGGGATCGCGAGTGCCTCCTCCGGCCAGGGGGGCCCGCGAGGGAACGCGGGAAGCGCTGCCGCGGGAGGCGCCGGGGCGCGCCCCTGCGGGCTGTGTGGCTTGGGGCAGACCCGCCTCTTCTGCACTTGACCTCGGAGGACGGGCAGTACCGCGGGGGCGGGCCCGCCGGAGGGGGGCCCCACTGGGCGGGGGCGGGGCGGGGGTGGGGGCGAACGCCCGGGCGGGGGGCGGGCTCCGTCGCGAAGCGGCGCCCCGGGGCCGGGGTCTCCGGGGGGCGCGGTCACCCGAAGAGCTTGAGGAAGCAGGGCTGGCAGTAGGGCTTGCCGGCGCGCTCCTGGAAGGAGCCCTTGGTGAGCGGGCGCAGGCAGAAGGTGCAGGTGAAGTGGTCGGGGTGGAAGCGGCGGCCGAGCGCCGACACGCAGCGGCCGGTCACCGGGAGGCCGCACGTGGCGCACAGCGAGCCGCGCCGCGCGTGGAAGTGGTTCTCGCACAGCGGGCGGCCCTCGTGCTCGAAAAAGCTGCCTCCGGAGAAGGGCGCGAAACATTCCTGCGGAAGCGGGGCCGCGTAAGGACGGCCGGCCGCCGAGCCCCCCGGCCCCGGCCTGCCTGTCGCCGAGTACCCACCGCGACGCCCAGGCGCCGAGCCTCGGCCCCAGGCGCGCGCGGCCCCGGATCGCCGCCCCGTCCGCGTCCCCGCGCCTCGACACCCCCCCACCCCGCCCGCCCAGCCTCGCCCCGCCGGACCGACCGGTCCCTCCGCCCCCCCGCCCCCGCCCCCGCGGCGCACCCTGCACACGAAGCAGTCTGGGTGCCAGAGCGCGCTGAGCGCCGAGATGTAGTTGTCCAGGATGGGGCCTTGGCAGCCCTGGCAGCGCGGGGCGAACAGCTGCAGGAAGTCCCGGCGGCAGTAGGGGCGCCCCTCGCGCTCGTGGAAGCCTAGGCGGGAAGAGAGGGGGGCTTAAAGGGCGCGGAGCCGCGTGGGCCACGAGATCCGGGACTACGGGAGGGATGGAGGGCCGAGGTCTGGGCCTGGGGAGGGGCGGGAGGGGGAGACAGAAGAGATCCCAGAGTGGGAGAACGTCTGAGAACCTAGGGGGCCGAGTCAAAGGTCTAAAGGGGCTGGGCAGGATGTCAAGTGGACCCCCAAGCTCTCACCCTCATCTCCGAAGGGCTCCCCGCAGCTGACGCAGCAGAAATGCTCCGGGTGCCAGTGGGTGCCCAAAGCTGTAACCATCTTCTGCAGGATGGAGAGGAATGCTCAGTGTGGTCCTCCATCCCAACCCCACCCCCTTTCCCGCTGGGCACCTAGGTGCTGGGTGGAAGTGAGTTTGAGGAGCAGGAGATATAGCAAGGAACTTGCTATGGAGACTCAAAAGAGAGAGGGCAGAATCCCAAAGGCCATGGAAGAGGCCAAGGGGCTGAGTTGGGGTGGGGATGGGGGGGCAGCGAGTGGATGAGGTCCAACCCACAGGCGCCTTGGGTGACGCAGAAGTGGGGTGCATGGGCTCACGTGTCTGATGGGTTGATTGCAGAGGCCACATCGTGGGGAGAAGCGCTCAAAGTAGCACTCCGGGCAGAAGGGGGCTCCATCCTTCTCAAAGAAGCTGCTGCCTCCCAGGGCTGTGGAGCAGCCGCCACAAACGAAGTGCTCTGGGTGCCAAGCTCGGCCCAGCGCAGTCACCACCTGTGAGTTGAGGTGAGGCCAAGGTCAGAGTGTCTCCAGGTGGCCACGTACCCAGGTGAGCTGAAGTTTTCAAGTCTTTATCTCCGAGAGATCAGGATGCAGAATTTAACATTCAAGTCAGTCAGTCTGTAAGTGGTGGAGAACGGACCCGGGTCTTCCAGCCTGGGGCCCGCAATATTGTTAGGAGTCACGAAGATGGAATATCTTTTAAAATCAGAAGGAAAAAATGAGCTAAACGAAAATGATTTAATACTGATATACTCATCTTTATACCCACAGTTGTAAAATATAATTTTAATGTATTTTTCTAACGGAGGATGGGACCAATGCAGGCGAGAGTCCCCAGGGCCCATGAGAGTCATAATGCCACCCTGTTTTGCTAAGATTGGAAATTCTGGGTTGGGAGCAGGACACTTGATCTAGCAAGGGGAGTTAGGTCAACCAGTGGACACAGCTGTTGTCATAACATCTGCCCAGTCAATAAGTCAAGAGCCACAGCTCCCAGACCAGAATCTTCTGCTGGAGGAAAAACAGACTCTGAGTGCCTGAAAGATGGTGGGTGGGGCACATGAGGCTTTTGTGAAGATTAAATGAGATGTGGTTTTATGAAGGAGCAGCACAGTGCTTGCACAGTAGTATGGCAATAAAGGGTAACTGGGTTAGAACTCTTTTCCTGCCACTCACTTGCAGGGTGACTCAGAGCTTCAAAGTTTCCTCGCCTGCATAATATAAATAACAGTAATGCCAATTTCCTGGATGATTTATTAAAAGGCAACAGCACATAGTCTGGGTCTCAGTAAAGAAGGGTCTGTGGGTCTCTAACTCCCCATTTGCAGGATTCTACCTACTTGGCCAGCAATGGATTTGTTGCAGGAGCCACAAAGGCCCTTGGCCTGAGTGGGAACGCCACGGCGGCTGAGGTCGGATTGCAGCAGCCCCAGCATGGTGTCCAGGCTGCCCTTGCTGGTCTGATCTGGCGGGGATGGGGAGTTTTCATTCACAGAGCTCGGCACTGGTGGCTGGGTTGGCCCAGAGGCCGGAAGCTGCAGTAGGGATGACACGAGAGTCGAGTCAGCAAGGTGCAGAAGTAGAAGGGGCTAGAATGGTTTGGGAGTCACACATTGATACCATCCCTCCCCCACCCTTCCCCGCTTAACTCACATGGTTCTGGACTCGGAAGTCAGAGAGTGAGGCCATCAGTCTATCCAGCTCTAGGGTGGCTGAGGTAGCCGAAGGCTTTGGGAGAACAGGGGATGGGCTGGGAGGGCTGGAAAGAGCACAAGGAGTATCAGCTCAGAGCCGCTCAGAGTAACTCGCCTCTGGGACTGGTCACCCCTCTTCCAGCCCTGCCAACTATGCCAAACTCACAGGCTGGGCCTTTTCTTGTCCTCAGCTTGGTCCTCTTTCTGCTGCCCCGCAGCATCTTTGCTAGATGGGAACTGAGACATTATTTCATCTGCAGAGAAGAGAGAAGGGCTCTGGGCATGAGGCCATGCTCTGCCCACCCTCCCACTTACAGTTTGTATCTCTTCAGTTGCTATTCTGGGAAGTCTCTGTCCTTCCCAGCCCTGCCCCCAGCCCATTAAGGTCTGTCAGGGTAGCCCTGATACCTGTGATGTTGAACTGAGTAGCATTAAGTTCCTGGAGTAACCGGTCTAGCTCACAGAGCCCTGTGCCCAAGACACCGCTGGAGGAGGAGAACGGAGGGGCAGCCGGGGCTGCCGGCTTCGGGGACCGAGGCTTGCATACCGTGCTGGGAAACAGGGTGGGAGCCTGGGTTCAGGGGCGGGAATCCAAGCCTCCCACCTCAGCCTCAGCTGGCTTCTCTGTCCCCCCACCCCGGCCCCAGGCACCTCACCTGTACAGATGGTCTTTGTCCCCAGAGCTTCCTGAAGACTCCCCCGGCCCTGTCTACAGAGAGAAGGACGCATGTGGGGGGACAGCCCTGGTCTTTACCCCAGTCTGGTCCTGCCAAGCCTAGCCCTAGTGGTTGCCCCCGGTCCCCAGCACCTGATCTCACCTGTGGCTGATGGCCATAGGTCAGGGGAGATGTGAGGGGCTCTGAGGGCCGCTCTTTTGAAGCCCCTGGTCTTGGCATGTGTGAAGTGGTGGTCTCCAGATCAGAGAGCAAGGCATCTGTAGGGAGAGGCCATCAGGGTGAGAAGTTAAGAGGTCAAGGTTAGGGCAGAGACAGGACCATAGAGGTCAGAGGATATGGATTCCAAGTGGGTAGTATTTGAGGACAGAAGCTGGCATGAAGGGGTCAAGGATCAGAAGGAAACACGAGGCCAGACAAGGCGAAGTGGAAGAGCAGCAAGGAATATTTACGGCCAGAACATCTTAAATGAGGGCCTCCCGGATGGCGCAGCAGTTGAGCGCTGGGTTGCGAAGCAGCCCGCGGCCTCTGCGGCGCCGGTTCGATCCCCGGCTGCTCCCCGGCCACCGAGGAGGGTCCCACATGGCGCGCAGACCTCTCCTGCCACCCGCTGCTCCCCTCAGCAGTGTGCTTCGGTCCCTCTGCCTGCTCTGCTCCCCGCTCTGGCTCTGGTGAATTCTCTCACCCTCCCGCGCTTCTGACTGTACCCCGTGCTTGTATAAATAAATAAATAAATCTTAAAAAAAAAAAAAAAGAACATCTTAAATGACTCATCCTGGGAGTCCTGCACAAACCCAGCCACTGATATCTTTTATTCTCCCCATCCTCACTGATGCAGTCAAAATTGGCTCTTTACTCCAGCCAACTTTGGCTCCACCCCAAATTGCTCAATTGGCCTAGTGCCTGGCACCCAGCTTTCTGATTGGACGCTCGTTTTGCCACACCCATTAATGCCCCTCCACCTCCCTTCTAAACAGACCCCACCCAGCAGCCCTGGCCAACCTCCAGGCCAGCGCCCGTTACCCCTACTGAGCAGCACCCCCTAGTGCCAGGTACTGGAACCCCCTCTCTCCCAGGGAGGACACAGCCTTCCAGCCCCCAGTCACAACAGACAGAGAGGAGGAGACGTCTGGGTTCTCCTTCCTGCCCCAAGACACCCACCACTTCTAGATCCAAATCCTTTGAACTCGTTCCCTTCCAGAGCCTGGAAGTCCCCGATCCTTTATTCTTCTTCTCCGAGCACCGAGCACCGTGGTGGAGCCCTTCACCCCTCCCTGGCATCCTGGCACTCCTTATTTAGTATTCCCTTTCTGCCCCAAAGGCCTGACCCCTACCTTACTTCAGGGCCCTTAACTCTTTCCTTCTCCAAACGCTGGAGCAGGTCGAGTTCTCCAGAACTTGATGCTACATTCCCCCTCCCGTCCACTTTCCCAGGCCCTAGACCCGAGGCCCCTTTAACCCCTCCCTTGCCAGAGTCCCCAAGCCCAGGTGCCCAGGCGCAGTGCCTCCCTGCCCATCCCTCCGCAGCCAGAGATGGAGGAGCAGGGCGAGGGAAGAAGGGAGGGAGAGGCCGGCCGGGGAAAGACAGGAAGGGAGCGGCAGGAAGGGGGACGTGGAGTCGGCAAGGAGGCGCGGGCTCAGCCCAGAAGCGAGAAGACAGGAGGCAGGAACCCGGGCACGAGGGGAGCGCGAGGGGCCGCCAGGATGGAGCAGAGCATCCAGGCAGCGGCGAGGGGCTGGGGACAACGGGACCCCACTCACCCAGGTCCTCCATGGCGGGGCGCGAGCGGACCGCGGGGCGAGCAGGGCGGGGGCCGTGTCCGGTGGGGGCGGGGGGCGGGGGGACGTCCGGGAGTTGGAGCCCCGGCCGTGACCATGTAAGGAAGCCGGGACCCGCTGAGATGGGGCTTGGGGGTGGGGTGGGGGGTGCAAAGAACGGGAGAACCCGGGGTGGGGGCGTGTAAAGGAGGGAGGGCCCCTGCCCACCCAGGCCCGGCCCGCCCGCCCGCCCGCCCGCCTGCCGCGGAGGTGGCCACACCCCAGCCTTGGCCTCCGCTGCAGGGAGCCCCAGGCGGCGGAGCCAGAGTCGGAAAAGTGGCTGTCCGGACCCAGCTCGGGATCCTTTCTGCCCAGTGAGATTCTTAGACAGTCTGAAGCCCCCACGCAGACACCTTCCAGAGCCAGCACTCTAAGTGCTAGGCAGAGCCTCCCTCCCAGGAGGCTGATCCCAAAGAGAATTGCTCCAGACAGAATTTTTGGATTGGGGCCAGGAGTCATGTTCCAAGGTTCACTCAGACCCCAGGTTCAGTCAGACCCCAGGTTCAGAAACCCCCCCTTAGTGGAGACTGACAGACAAGGGACAGAGATCCAAGAGGCACATCATGCAGACACAAAAGAGATCTCTCAGAGACAGAGACAGACAGACACAAGGAACCTTCCCACAGACCCTGTTTCCAGGACTTGGAAACAGACATAAGGATAAAGTGGAATGAGCCCCACCCAGCCCAAGCCCCTTGCACTCCTGGGCCAGCCAGCCCCAACCAGCCTTGAGGACAAAGCCCTTCGCCAACACTAAGGAGACCTGGACTTCTTCCAAAAGAGCCCTCCCCAAGATATTGGTGACACAGAGAAGAAAGCAACAGACTCCAGTCATAAAGGAAGAAGAGGCTTTCCCTGGACTGAGACCCTGAGAAATCAAGGTGCAAAGGAGATACTCAGATTCTCCAGAGATGGGTGTAGACACGATAATGCTGCAGCCGCCAGCCGTGGGCCTCAGCCTGGATCTGAGTCCAGACATGAACATGGTCTCAACCCAGCAGTAAATCAGAACAACTTGGGGAGCTGATGCTCAGGACAACCTCTCCTCAGTCCAATTTGATCAGAAAGGGTCTAGGCACCAGTATTTATTTAAAGTTCTTTGGGTGTTTCTAATGACCTGGACTCTCAGGGAGGCACAGAGACAGCAAGTTTCAACCTCAGGTCCCCAGCTGCTAAGTGGAAGGCCCAGCCCAGGTCTTTCTTCAAAGTCAGGCTCAGGGGAGCTAGTGGAGACCCTGCTTTGGAGACCAAAGCAACATGAGTCCTTCTCCACCTGAATGCCAGTCCAAGGGCCTTGTTTTTCTCAGAGCATGACTAACACAGGGTCTCACAGACTCCAGGGCCCCTTCTCTCAGGCAAACAGCAGGAAGACACTTGACCCAAAAGATGAAAGTAGACCCAGAGACTAAAGATTCAAGACAGGCGAGGAGTAATGCCCATGCTGTGGACATACACCCCTACCCTCACAGCATTGCCTCAGTCCAGCCCTCTCAGTCCTGACCAAGGACCAAAGTGTCCAGCTGAGTGGTTGTCTGAGCGATGAAGTCAAGTGAGCAGGAAGCAGACTTCCCTTGGGGCCCGAAACCACATCCTAGGGAGAGAAACCTGGGAACTCTACCCAATCCCAGGGCTCCGGCACCACCTCCTAATGACTTATTAAATTCCTGCCTGACAAGGGTGGCCTATATCGAGACAGAGAGCTGGACAAGACCCTGCTTGACACGTAGAGTGGGGGGAGGTCCCACAGAAAAAAAAGCAGAGACACCACACAATAGGGTATCGAAGTCCAAAGATTTAATTAATCTCCAGAAGACGCGGCCAGGCCAGGTGCCTGGGGTGCTGGGCTGGTCTCCATCTCATGGACTCCATGCCCAGACTCTGTCTGGGTTTCTCACTCCTGGTCTGGGTTTCTCATTTGGGGTCCAGCTCCATCCTCTCATCAGTCCTCGATGGTGACTCCATCTGCCCAGCTTCCTCTTGTGCCACTCTGAGGCAGGCTTCCTTCGTAACCAACTCACCCGTCAGTCCCCTCCCAGGGATCATCAACAGTCTAGGCTGGGACCCCTGCCCCCCAGTTCAGCTCCCATCACCACAGCCAGCAAAGCATCAGTCAGGGGTCCTGCCTCCTTGCCTGCTACCTCCACAAGCCCTACTAGGGCCGAGGCCCGCTTCCGTGGGCACTGCCCTGGCCCCAGTGTCCAGCGGGCACAGTGGGTGTTTAGCCGGGGCCGGCCCAGGCGGAATACTTCACCCACTGACTCGGGGTCCCCCTGGGGTCCCAGGTGGACACGGCCCACTGCCTCCTCCAGCTCCTCCTCCAAACCAGGCAGCAGGAAACGGCCAGCAGCTTCTAGTGCTTCCTCAGCATCGGAGCCCAGCAGGGGCTGGCCTGGTGGGGGGACAGGCCCCAGGGCAGCCCCGCAGCCCCGGCAGCCATGTAAGTGATGCAGGACAGGCCAGGCTGCGCTGGCTGACAGGCCTCGAAGTGGCACCAGGTCCATCTGAGCTTCAGCGAAGCTGCCAGCCAGCAGGGCACGGAAGAAGGGGGAGGCAGTAGCTGAGGCAGCTCGCTGGGCAGGGAGCCGCAGGCCCGAGTCCAGCAGGAAGTGCAGGTCAGGGGCTGGGATGGGAGCTGGGCCCAGCAGAGGTTCATAGAGGCAAGGGGAGGCCGGGTCCAGTTCACAGGGGATGGCAGGGGGGAGGGCTGGGCTCACAGTGGGAGACACCAGGCCTTGGAGGCAGGAAAGGGAGTCTGCAGCAAAAAAGAGGAAGAGTGGATGCGGGACTGGCCGAGTTAGTGCCGCCAGGAGGAGACGGAGGCCACCCTGGTCCAGAAGTAGTCGGCGCCACAGAGAGGGCTTCCTTTGGGGGGAAAGAGAATCTTTCAGAAGGTGGAAATGGGTGGGACTAAGGAATAGCAACCTTGCTCCCCGAACCCCGCCAGGTACCCGTGTCTCCCCCTCACCGACAGATGAAGGGCAGAGTCAGTGCGCAGGCTACACGGTCCTCAGGGCTTCCAGAGAGCAACAGGTGAGTGAGGGCACCCACTCCAAAGGGCGACTCGGCCTGCACAGTCAGGTTCTGTAGCAGCATCTCACCTGTAGGGATGGGCAGAGCTGGTCAGGGTGGGAGCTGGTGTTCAAGATTGGGATGGGAGGGGTAAGACAGACTTCTGGGCCCTTGAAGGGAGAAGGGTAAAAGCTCAGGGCAAGAAATTGACACGTGAGAGGGGCATGATTACAAGTCCTGGAGGGGTGAGATCTGGGCATTAGGAAGTGGAGAATAAGGGCAAGAACAGAGTGGGCTGATCAGGGAGTGGGCCGCTCAAGGACTGAAAGAGTCAGCTGTCAGGGTGCAGAAGACAGGGCAGTCCCTGGTGATGGAAGTGGTAGGGGCTTAGTCAGTGTGCCCAGTGGGGAAGTAATCACGCCCTGGCAGACCCAAGTGTAAACTGAGCAGGCATGATTCTAAGTTGTTAGAGCCAAGACTGGTGTCAGGGTACGTGGGCCCCAAAGGCTGGGCAAAGGGTGCGGTAGCACTTTGCACACTGGCATGGTAGAGCACAAAGGTGTCTCCCGTCTGTTTGGGTGGTGGGCTGGGAGGGCAGTGGGCAGGCAGGCCAGATTCTGTGCCCAGGGAGGGCACAGCTGGAGGATGGGGTCTCAAGAGGCGTAGGGACACACCCAGTTCCCGGTGCTGGCTGCGGCGAGTGGGCCGGGCCCGGGGCGCTGGCCAATCATCTGGGGAGACACCAAGTACCAGCCAGGCTCGCAGGAGTGCAGCGCCGTAGCTGCGAACAAAGGCCTCGAGGCAGGCAGGGTTGCAGGTGAGGCGTGTCAGGATGCGCAGTGCACGGGGGTTTGGCGGACCTGGTGCTCCTGTTACATAGGCCAGCAGGCCGCACAGGGCTGGGCCAGTCACCAGTGCCCCACTAGGGTCGGGAGCCTGGGAGAAGCGCGACAGCAGCAACAGCGCTGGCCCCTCCCGGCCCCAAGGCTCCTCAGGGGTGCCAGGACTGCGGCCTGGTGTGCGCAGAGCACGAGGCGTGCGCAGTGAGGTTGAGCCCGGGGAAGGGCTGGTTGGTTCAGCTGGCTCTGGTGGCGGACAGCGTTCTGGGGACCAGTCAGGAGAGATGTCACCCGGGCCTGCGGCATAGCCCTCGGAGATGAGCCACGACCTGCAGAGGGGAGACAGAGACTGATCGAGAGCCGAGGTAAGGGGGCAAGTTCAGGCAGTGGTCATGTCAAAAAAGGAGGTAAAGCGAAGGGGTGGGCCTGAGAGGTAAAAGGGGAAAAAGAGAAGTAGGAAAAAACCACAACTCATTGAGCAATTACTGATGCCTATTATGTGCCAAGTTCTATTTTAGGTGCAATGAACAAAACACAAGTTCCTGTCCTCCTAGCGTTTACACACTGCTAGGGTTTGCTTTCTAGTGAGGAAAAACAGGCCACAAAGAAGGAACTCCCATAGTATGTGGGTGTGTGTGAAGTGAGACATACGGAGAAATGTCAAAGGGAAGGGAGAGCTGACTTTTCCCTGCGATGGTGATGGCAGCCTCCGCTGACAAGAGACGGGCTCGTCAGCGCACACGGGAGGAGGCAACCAGATGGAACTTACCTGATTTGCTCAAAAACGAGCAAGACCAATGTGTGACGGGGCTGTGGGCACCCGGGAGAGTGCTAGGAGGCAAGTCAGAGCTCACAAGGAGGCTGCCATTTCCTGCGCACTGCTGAGTACCAAGTAAGGTGCAAAGTACCTTCATTTATTTAATCTTTACAACAACTCCATGGGGGATGAGTGTATTATTAGCCTCCATCTTACACACAAGGAATCAGAGGGTCAGAGAAACTAATTAACTTCCCATGATGACACAACCTGTAGGCGGTGGTAGCAGAGTAAGAACTGAGACTCCAGAACAGATGCCATTATTAACTGGCCACTGCATACACTGCCAACCAATGAAACTGCCTGGGCTTCAAAGTTCAGAGGTCCTGGGGTGAAG